CATCTCAACAATGAGATATAATATACCCCCTCTCACTCCCAAGTCTGAAAGACCATTCATACCATCTCAACAATGCGATATAATATACCCCATCTCACTCCCAAGTCTGAAATACCATTCATACCATCTCAACAATGATATAATATCCCCCCTCTCACTCTCAAGTCTGAAAGACCATTCATACCAACTCAACAATGATATAATATACCCCCTCTCACTCTCAAGTCTGAAAGACCATTCATACCAACTCAACAATGATATAATATACCCCCTCTCACTCTCAAGTCTGAAAGACCATTCATAGCATCTCAACAATGATGTAATATACCCCCTCTCACTCCCAAGTCTGAAAGGCCATTTATACCATCTCAACAATGATATAATATACCCCCTCTCACTCTCAAGTCTGAAAGACCATTCATACCATCTCAACAATGATGTAATATACCCCCTCTCACTCCCAAGTCTTAAAGTATGTGTGAGGGCGTGTGAGCAAGTGGTGGTTGAATGCGCGTGTGCTCGGAGTAAGTGTTTGCGAGTGGGTCTATTATAACACGTATAGTTAATCATGTATATGGTCTTGCCATCTTCAATTGCAGTTAAAAACTAAGTGTTACATTGTAGGGAAAGTGCTTCGTATAAGTTGTTCAACTTGTGCCCAATCCCATTACTAATTATATTGGCAATAAAATGTTTAAATCGAAAATTGGTAAAAATAAGTGAAGTCAAGACTCAGGTATCATAGTTTTCAATTTTACAGAGAAAACTTCAATGCAAAATGTAAAGCAGAACTACGATTACGTTGTTCTTTGTTCTATCCCGGCTAGAGTGGGTGACAGCTTCATATATCCCTCGTAGCTAGGGCAAGGATTTACACAACCAGAACTGTTGTCATTTTTTTCTTTTTTTACTTTTATATAAATTGGAAGAATTGGCCAATATTTTCCGAACATATCTTCTTCAGACTGGGATGTGCTCATAATGCTGTAGGAAGGTCATATGGTGTTTTATCTAAATTGTGAGTTACATTACCCATAAGTCACCCTACTCCGCCATGGGGAGGGAGGAAGTTTATTTAAGATTATAGGGAAATAACTTTTCTGGGTTCACATGATTACTTTCATCAAGAAATAATTGAAACTGGGTTGATTTTTTTGTGTCATGGTATGGTAGTTTGACGTATGAAAATTAAGACCTTAGCCAGTAAGGTGAATAGGGTGAACACAACACTGTTCTCACGGACCCTAAGGCGTAGGACATGTTCTAATTCCACAATACGCAGCATTTTATAACCCGTATACTATATACATTGAATAGCTGTCTTCTGAAAGTCAGACTCGCTAGCCGTACATTGTGTTATCCAAATTCAAAAAGTCATACTTTACATGTACATGTTTTATCTTGCTTTCATTACAATTCCAATTACTTTTACACCCCGTGTGCCTCTTATATAACAATTGTATAGACGAAGGCTTGTGTTTGCTATAAACACAGTCAGACTGCATCAAGGTATGTCATCTTCCACCCAGGGACACGCTCTCACAATAAAAAGACACTCCATATAAACGTTAATACTTTTAATAAATTCCACCTTTACAAAATTACAACTGAATGTCATTATAAAGCAAACGTCCCGTGTGTGGATCTCGCTCACAGATTCCAATCATGACATCAGCTAGATATTATTCAGCAGGATCTCCATCTTGTGCAGCCTCCAGCTGCAAAAGAAAGTCGGAGTCAATGAATTGTTAAAGGGGAGTAACTCCCAACACTTCACACACACGACGTAATTAAAAACACGCAACAGCCATGGGTTTTGCTAGGTATTATTCAATGTTATAATGTAGATGTTGCCCGAAAGAGTTTAAGTTCTATTATTTTTATGAAAAACAATTGACAAATTGGGAACATTTTAGTTGAAATAGAGAAAAGTACAAAACCAATTTGCAACTTGGACAGAATCCCTTAATACAAATTGACAATGTAAACACATTGCAAAAGTCTGACAGAATTGATATTATTTTCATTTAGAGTCCTGTGCAATGCTTCGTGTTTAAAGCAGTGATTTTTCTACTTCCTTTCCACAAGGGCCTGTGACTTTGGGGAAACATCAAACACACACAAAAAAATCATAATTTCTTGAAAAACGAAGTGTTTTTTTGCATTGATTTGGGGGAAATACAACAGAAACTATCTAAGGGGAACGGGCTTTATAATGCCCCATATTCACCCTAAAAATCACTTCAAGGCTAGATGAAATACAGTATATGTAGTGTTTTATGTAATATTCTAGTTTCAAAAAGGTTCTCTATCAGTTTCATACATGCGATATTAATGTATGCATTTTACAAAATGGATTCTTACCGAATTTCCTATTCGTATTGCCTGATCTCTGGCGGCTAGTGCTGGCCAGGACAGGCTCGATGAAAAGAAAATAATGTAGCATATGATAAACTTCACCTTGCTGAGTTCTGTCTTATATAGGAAGGGCAACGTCTGAAAAATAAATCGAATTAATAAATTTTAACAATTATATTTTAATTATGATTTTGTCCATCTGTATATAAATACACATTACACTAGGCCTACACAATTCATGAAACAATCTACAAGTCAATGAATAAGGCCTACTACTAAGTACTGACCCTCGTTATTCTGTACACTAATATAGCATGTAACCTAGGCACAGGCATTTGTATTGTTTCTGTCAATAAAAATAGATCTGACAAAAAAATCGCACCCTACTGCATACAAAATGCCAATAATCAATATACATTTGTTTCTATCAATAAAATTTAAAAATAGTCCTGACAAAAAAAACAACACCCTACTCATAAAAAATAGAATTATATAATCTATATGGTATTTTTTATGAGTAGGGTGCGATTTTTTTTGTCAGGACTAAACAAATGCCTGTGAGCCTAGGCTACCGTCCTAATTGAATATCAGGTCGGGTCATATAACGGTATATTGAATTCATATAGCGATGACGCCGATTGAAACATGAAATATGATATGTTATTTGTCAACTGTGTATAATTTATATGTATAAGTCTTATTACTCAAAAATGATAAGAAAATACTTTAACCAAATACTAAACTAAAGTGTCGCCACTCCCTAAATCACAAAGTCAAACAACCTGGTTGGCAGCAGTGAAGGTCATTTGATCGCACCCGAAAACATTGAAAGAAATATAAGCAAACAGGGAAGCCTTACGTCATTTGGTATTCCAGGAGGGTGACAACGCAATACTCTTCCTGTTGTAAATGTCCGACGGGACACAGCCCTTGTGCACAACTTAAAAGCTGACTTTCCTATCAACGCCATTTTCACCTCTGGCGTTATTTTTCGTTCAACAAAATGTTTGTAAAACAGTACAGAAAGCGAAGTACCGTAGTGACGTTGATCAAAGTTAGGTGTGTGTATAATCATGAAACCGCACTGCCGTACCGGGTTATTTCTATCTGGAGTTGTCTTTCCTTACATTCACTTTCAGCGCTCTTTTAAATGTTTTTTTTTATAGATTGCGTGTTCACTACATAGTAGGTGTATTTTCCTTGCATCTTCGCCCCTTGTCTGTCTATTTTACTTCTCAACTTTAATTCTCTATACCAATAATCTGCAAATATCTTCTTCCTCCTAACTTTTCTTCTACTTCAACTTCTTAGTCATTTAGTTATTTTATTTTTGTTTAAAATAACTAAAGGATTGATAATTATATTAGTCCTAATTATAATTCATGAGAGTAGGCCTACAAAGTGTGTTGTATGTCGAAATTCAGTGAAAGTGTGCCGGTGTGTCTATAGGCATTGATGGTGTTGATTTCATCATGTTTAAAAAAGAAACGTTTTAGTTATTCCAATTGAGAATCTTGGGTTTATATGTAGTTGTCGATAGAATTTTTGTTCTGTCCCACTGGAATAAAAAAAAAACGTCTTAGTGAAAATAAATGAGGATAAATGGAGAACCAATCTTGCATGCGCGATAGTTTATAAACTCACACAGTTCCCGAACGAGTAAAAGTACATTATAGGTCATTTGACTCTCATTTTCATGTGAATATCTAATAGGACTATAAAATCATAAAAACGGTAATTCAAAAATGTTTTGGTAACAATCGAGATAGAATGTGTTACAGCTGCTGGGAATTGCTTGTTCGACTTCCTCGTGCAGCCGACGTAGATTTATGTAACTAGCTATATAAACTATCTATTTCACTTCCTGGTGTTACCGAGATGGATTGTCTATTATCACCTACAGAAAATGATTCAATATTGCATGTTATAGCGATTGATATCTGACTCATGCATGCCAACAGAGTGCTTTCGATTGCAAGACGATTAAAGGGGCATAACTCGTGTTTAAAACTTGTTGGTTTATGACACCGGGAAATGGCTCATCCATCCGAGTAAAAATTAAACAAAGAATTTTGAAAGCTGAACATTTGAAAATGTGTGTTCACCCAAAGAACTGTTGACATTTTTCTAGCTAAGGAGTTAGAAGCATCAATAACCTAATAACTCGACATTTTATTTAATAACTTTAAAAAAACAATGTCCTTAACTTCGCCCATCAGTTATAATAATTATGATGGGTTTTTTTGGTCGATTTTGACGGCTGATGATCAGAATAATGGACAACGTTTTCAGTCAGTATAGGTCTATGCATTTATTCATATATCCATTGCTAACTGTCTTATCGTTCCACTGTTGGACTTGCTGATAACAGGATAAGTACATATGACGTACAAATATACTAGACAAGATTGACAATCTTTACAAGGTGGTTACAAAACATTTTACTACAAAGTCCTCCAATCTCGTTTTCTCCTAGTCGGGTCAGTAGTGGTCAATGCATGTTTCCTAAACAGAGGAAACGGTAGAATATATTCGTATGGGGTTTGTAGGTTTATTCAGTAAATAAACAAATATACCGTAAGCTGACTAATATGAACTGCATGGTTCACTTAAAAGTGTGACTGACATGACGATAAGGCTATTACATATACTTGATTATCCAAAGACAGCACTTTCTTTGGATAAAAACTATGCGGTCTCTGTGGGTGTGTATTGCATATGTTTTTGAAAAATACAGTTCTATGAAGCTTACCTTGTATAAGCTTTGTAGAGTCTATCGAAAAATCCTATAAACATAACCATAAATGGTAATTTCATGTAAAAACACGTGCGTTATACAATGATTGATATACATGTAAGTGATCTAAGTGTATTATCGCTTGCAATGTCAATATCCGTCCTTAATGTATTTGTTTCCATTCATCGGTTTACACACAGGTTGTCAGGACGATACAGGTTTAATTTCTATAATATCGTGTTCTCTTTTTCACAGACCCTGATTCTGACTTTTTTACTGCACGTTACGATAACAGGTACGATTTAATGTTTTAGCACCAAATATTGCAGCGATCTTGCTTAATTTCTATGTTATAGATTGGCAATTAAATTAAAGCCTAATTATGCATCTTATCATTTCTGTTTCAGCCTGATTCTGTCCCCGTTTTTCGTGGAGCTAGTTGTGTCATACATTTTGGTGTCGTGCCTACTTTGGGTTCTGTTTATTATTGAGTGTTGATGTTTTATTAATTTATTTTTTTATTCTCCATAACTTAATATTATAGTGATGATTGTTATCACTAACAGACTGTTTTAAAATGCAAAATTAATATAACCAAAGAAATATAGTACGCCATAAAAACTCACGATGTTTAGGATAAAGAAATAGCACTCTTGCACGGCTGCTTGACGAACGCCGTTTTCAGTGTTGTTGCGTCCCACTTTCATTAAAGGATCGAATTATTAGGCAACTGTAGGACATTACAGACTTTAACCGACTAAGAACATCTGTATTGTCCTCTCCATCTTATCTCTACGTTCGGTTGTGCCTCCGTAGGTTTTCCAGTTGACCCGTTATCTGAATGGGGCGACGTGACATTGTGTCCTATAGTGACATTTTCTGTGTGATATTGCTACTGACTGGACATTAAATGACCTCAGTTATATCTAATCAACAACTAACAGTTCTAAGCAAATTATACGATGTGTTTGAACATCCTAGGTTATTAATGAAATGAGAAACTTTAGATAGGTTTAGATGTCATCATTAAGATGTGTCCACACGTGCTAACTAATTGTTGAAATGAGGTCTTTCGTCCTAAATAATAGTTGAAATATGTTCGTACGACAGTGTCAAGTATTTAGGTGTGTGTATATGTCATTTTAATCGTCGAGCTGAGTTTGTCTGTCTTCAGCAATTGTTTTAGTTGTGTTTGTGTCATTTTTAACTGTTTAGATTTGTCTGTGAGCCCTAATTAACTGTCTGTGCGCCCTAATTAACTATCTGTGTGCTCTAATATCTGTTTAGATGTGTCTGTGTGCCCTTATTAACTATCCGTGTGTCCTAATAACTGCTAAGATGTGTCTGTGCGCCCTAATTAACTATCTGTGTGTCCGAATAACTGTTTCGATGTGTCTATGCGCCCTAATTAACTATCTGCGTGTCCTAATAACTGTTTAGATTTGTCTTTGCGCCCTAATTAACTATCTGTGTGTCCTTATAACTGCTAAGATGTGTCTGTGCGCCCTAATTTACTATCTGTGTGTCCTTATAACTGTTTAGATGTGTCTGTGCGCCCTAATTAACTATCTGCGTGTCCTAATAACTGTTTAGATTGTCTTAGCGCCCTAATTAACTATCTGTGTGTCCTTATAACTGTTTAGATGTGTCTGTGCGCCCTAATTAACTATCTGTGTGTCCTTATAACTGTTTAGATGTGTCTGTGCGCCCTAATTAGCTATATGTGTGTCATAATAACTGTTTAGATGTGTCTATGCGCCCTAATTAACTATCTGTGTGTCCAAATAACTGTTTAGATGTGTCTATGCGCCCTAATTAACTATCTGCGTGTCCTAATAACTGTTTAGATTTGTCTTTGCGCCCTAATTAACTATCTGTGTGTCCTTACAACTGTTTAGATGTGTCTGTGCGCCCCAATTAACTATCTGTGTGTCTTAATTACTGTTTAGATGTGTATATGCGCCTTAATTAACTATCTTTGTTGCCCTAATAACTGTTTAGATGTGTCTGTGTTGTTGGGATGAGTTTGTAAGGGTTTTGTGAATTGGTGAGATGTCTTTATATATCCTTATAAACTGTTTACATTTGTATGGTAACTGTGTGTCCGTTTCCGTAACTTTAGATTGAGACTCACGTGTTTTGTATTTTAGTTTCCACCTCTGTTAGCTTAATACCAGGTAGGAATGCGGGAAGAGTGTCGATATACCACGGCGGATGGGGCACCATCTGTGACGACATGTTCGGCGTTGAAGAGGCGCGTGTTATCTGCCGTATGCTTGGATACAAACTAGTGTAAGTATAATTTTGAAAATCATAATGTGTATGGTACACTTCACACAAAATAATCCTAATTTATAATTTATTTTCATGTATACAATAATTGATTCCCTTGCATGTTTATTATGTTGCTCTTTTGTTTTGTTTGCTTTTAATTTTTGATAATATTTCCAAACGGCATCAATACCTATATACATATTTAACACAATTACAATGTACTGCACTGGACATGTTGATCCTGTAATCCATTTACTATATAGGATATGATATGTTATGTATTATATACAATATCGCATGAAGAATTCGTTATAATTCATAATAATGATGTGGACTGGCTTTTGTAAATACCTATTTCTCTTTGCTAAGTAATGGAACTGTATATAAGAACAAAGTTTTGAATTGTGTAGTTTTAAAAAAACATCTCGCAGTTTCCACAATGCCATTTGCAATGTTATACAAAGTGCGTTCCGTGAAAATACAAAATTACACAAAGTTAAAAAGGATATTGTTGGAGAAAGGAGTTTTCTTTTGTATTTTTATAGACACAATTGATATCAGGTTGTTCATGTTTATCTAATTTACGTAAGACTTATCAGAATTGGTAAATAATTTCTCCATGAGTTCTTCTAAACAACTCTTTGAAAAGGAGGGTCGCCATCAGAAATCTGTTTACTACTAGACCAAGGATCCAAACCTTGTATATGTTGGACTTCCGGTTAAGTTAAGTTTGACAATTAAGAAAACTCCTATTTTTCATGACCGATATACATAAGGTTGAACGGAATTTTAGGAATTTTAAACCGGCATGTATACTGAAAAAAACCTGCCGTTCAATCCTTATATTTACATTCTATTTTTGTAGTTATTATTGACCTAAATATAGATTTCGAAGTGCCAGTATCGTAAGTGCAAACGAGATTCCTGGAACAGCATATTTTTTTATTTTTTTTGGTAAAATACGTTTAATTTCTCAGGAATATTATACATCATTCGTGGGATGAGCTGCCCCAGCTGCAACTCACAATACAATTTGTTTTTCTCATCTCATTTTCCTTATTCCTTAAAATAATTAATTTTTCATTTCATGTACATTTTTTTCTCACCTAAATGTTTGCTTCTAATGGGTGTGTCATACATATGTCTACAAAAGTGGAGCTCTATGAACGAAATTTCTTCTGGTAATGCTTAAAGAGGAATTTGCAGATGAAATGTTAACATAGGTAAATGCATTTCTTAAATACTTTTGCATATCTGTGAATGTGTTTTAAAGAATATCTGTATATACTGTTATCAATGTGCATTACAAACCCACAGGGTAGCCGAGGCCTTCAGTTCTGCACACTTTGGTCAGGGCAGTGGTACCATACTAATGGACTCTCTCCGATGTACCGGGAACGAGACGGACATTGCCGACTGTCAATTTGACGGATGGGGGAAGAATGACTGCTCTCATAGCGAGGACGCCGGAGTGCAATGTTGTAAGAAGGAACCCGGATCTTGTTGTTCAAAGAGCACTTGTAGTTTTAGACATTCTGATTTTATTTGCGATTTAAAAAATCAAGTGAAGCTTAAACATATTTAGCCAACAATTCTAAGCCAGAGGAATATTGAGCTTAATAAAACTGTTGCGCATTCTTTTCATAACATTTTCTTCGGGTTGGTAAGTATGGATTATGAAAAGATTCATGTAGCACAACCAACAAGTGCTTATATGTGACGTTTAGATGACTAGTATGGTATGTACTCTGTCACCTTCATCAGACAAATGATGCTTCACTGGTCATTTGTCTGATGAAGGTGACAGAGTACATTCCGTACTAGTCATCTAAACGTCACAAATAAACACTTATTAGTTGTGCTACATGAGCCTTTTCGTAATGAACCGATTGCGCTTTTAATGATATTCTCTAAAACTGTCAGATACCGGGTCAAACTGGGTTAATGACAATGTATCATCATAATGCAATATTAAATAGGTTGAGTGGCAACAATTGGATAAATAGGATCAGACATGTTAAATAACTACAAGTAAATTAAAACCAAAGAACCACATTGTAGGAAAACTTGGTACACAGAAGTAATATCATTAGGGCGAGTTCGGCTATTACACAAGTACTGCTGGGTTAAGTGTACTTCATACTTATATCACATGAAGTCAAGTATTTATGGGGACTTTATACTTCGGGTTTTTGTGATATTTTACGTAACAGGGTGGTTAATTCTGCTGCTGGACTATCGGTCCCCGAGGCTGACTGTAAGATTATTTGACCGAATGTTTTGTGAGAGCAAAGTCCCGCTTAACCTTGATAAGAGCTTAGACTCAGAATGTGGAACCGATGAGTGTATCAATTCCTTGTTTTATCATGCCAGATCAATGTAAGTGAACTGTCTTACGTTATTTTGATATTGAACCTACAGCTGAACTCCATTTACGATTGGTGGGCAGCACTGTTCGGTACGAGGGTCGACTAGAGGGGCAGAACTCGGCGGGGGTCTGGGGTGAGGTCATCAACACTGGTGTAACGGACATGGACGCCTTGGGTGTATGCCGTATCCTGGGATTCGATTTACCGTATGTATTTATAAGTTGTCAACTCGATTTTGATCGACTACCTAGAACAAAGAAAGCTTAATAACGTCATTAGTAGATACTGATATAAACACTAGGCGTACTAATTTAGAGACAACCTAGTCAATAGGTCTAGAAAAAGGGTCGTTCATTAAACTGCGCCACTTTCAGTTGTCATGTGAAATTTCCCCCGGACATTCGGTAAGGCTGTAAATAGTATTGTTCTTCAACTGTGAAGACTTTTTAAGGTATTGGCTACAGTTCCTAAGCAGAAAATTGTCCATGGCAAAGCATTACTGAGGTTAAGGAAATCGATTCCTTAACTTGAAAGAAAAAGATAAAAGAAAGTTCTAAGCATTGCACTAAATGACTTTTGTTTTCTTCTATTGTTCCATAGAATATTTCTCCCTAGTTTACAGGCCCGCTTTAGTCGCTTTATGCAATAATCAAACGATGAGTACAGCATGTCATTGCTTGTCCCTGACCATTAAAAGATGTACAATTGTAATAAGGCATTAGTAACGACTCTTTCCAACAGAATAAGATTTCCTGAAAACAATGTGATTGATTGTATATTTTCCTGTGTATATCACTTTATTGTTTCACCAGAGTTTAATTTACTTTCTAATTGTGCTGAAGGTATGTTACAGTATGCTTGTGACGTCATCGTAGTATCATCAGTGTCGTTTTCTTTCGTGTAGGTCTGCCAAGGTCGTTTCAGGGTTGAAGTTCACCCAGGGTGTTCACAACCAGGTTCAAGCCAACCTGACGTGTATGATCAACAATGTATGTAGTTCTGACCCCTTCTCCACAGCTCACGGTACTCCACTCGGCATAGAATGTGGTGAGTTGGATGAAAGGCGAGCAGGTTATGACCTCTGACAAAAGGTTGGGATTCAGGATGTGACCTCTGACAAAAGGTTGGGATTCAGGATTTGACCTCTGATATAAGGTTGGAAGTCAGGATGTGACCTATGATAAAAGATTGGAGGTCAGGATGTGACCTCTGACAAAAGGTTGGAGGTCAGGATGTGTCCTCTGACAAAAGGTTGGAGGTCAGGATGTGACCTCTGATATAAGGTTGGAAGTTAGGATGTGACCTCTGACAAAAGGTTGGAGGTCAGGATGTGACCTCTGATACATTGTATAAGGTTGGAGGTCAGGATGTGACCTCTGACAAAAGGTTGGAAGTCAGGATGTGACCTCTGATATAAGGTTTGAGATCTTATTGGGTTGAACAAAATGAAGCATGAACACCTGTAAGGGTATTTTATGACCCTATGATTTCCTGATTTTCTGTTTCATGATTAGATAGGGGGTAAACGTCTTGTATTCCATACCATAAGCTAAGACAAATACTTGATTGAAATTGTGTTTTAAGGGTTCTATTCAAGGTAAGGGTAAATTACTTTTGGAAAATCTCATTTACTGTCGGATATAGTGTTAACATATGTCCCAGTGAGGATGAAAACATTATGAGTAGAAATTTACCATGGGTTGTTATTTCTTAACTAGCCTATCACCCACCTATTGAAGAGTTACTTTGTTTAAGGACACACGTCAGTCAGACTGGTAGATGGAAAGATGCCACTAGAGGGCAGAGTGGAGGTCCTCCACAATGGCGTCTGGGGGACACTCTGTGCCGAACACTTCACACCACAGGACGCCAAGAGCGTATGTTCTTCTTTAGGCGTGGATATGAGGTAATGACAGTGGCAATTCATGAACACATGTCAGGAAATATATATGGGATTTTAAATCTCATATGATATGGAATTTAAGATATTGTTTATCATATCATCAAGAAATTTGTATATATATTGAGAAAAATAAGCTATCTCATTTCATAAAAATTCCAACACCCTCATCGTGACGTCATATTATAATCTTGATATTGTTTCATTCACTTTGGGACCATGTTCTGCGAGTTCCTATGCAAAATATATGACATGGGTGTATCAGCTGAATAACATGGTGATCGGGCGGTTTTATTTTCAGCCATCAGAATGCTACAGTTCACAGTAACGGAGAATTTGGAAATGGTCACGGACCATCCTGGTTATCGAACATACAATGTACCGGAAGTGAAAAAGATATTGGGGCATGTAGAAATATAACATGGGCGCATCACACCTGTACAACAGGAAGTGTCGCAGCGTTGTCGTGTCGTACGTATTTGTAAAAAAAAAAAAAAAAAAAAAAATGATGAAAATAATAGCGAAAGTAAATGTTATATCACTGTCAGTTTATCTTGTTAAAATGTGTGTGTTTTGTACAGTATTGTTCAACTGGCTGGCCTGTTATAGTCACATCTCTACCGAAAAGAAATATACAATATTATTGTATTCGTCATCATTGTGACTTAGTGTAGGAGCCAAATCATAAGACCAATCTCGAATCAAACCAAGAAAGCGATCTCTGTTGTATGGTTATACTAGAACATATAACACAAAAAGCTACATGATTCAATGATTTGTTACGTTAAATAACTTATATAATATTAATTTTAAATAGTAGACGAATAGCATAGTATAACTACACATGCTATATACGTCTTTTATTTTGTCGTTTTTTATACGAAAGCTTACACCAACATCCGGTTGACGGGCGGTGTTGGACCATGGGAAGGCAGATTGGAGGTATTTCACTCTGGAAGCTGGGGAACCGTGTGTGGTCAAGGATTCGAACAGCCGGAAGCAGATGTAGTATGCAAGATGCTGGGATACGATTCAAGGTTGTACTCAATATATTTTGAAAATAAGACATATTCTTTGAATGATTCGATGAAAACGAATCTAAAATAAGATGTAACATAAGTCTGTGCATAGTAGTAGTATTCGATCGAGGATTACTGTTCCTCATTATCTGGTAAGTCAATCATTTGCCAAATACATACATATAAAGATATTTTTTTGCCAATAGAAATAAGGTTTGATTTGTCAAACTTCTCGCTGCTAAGAAGAAAAAGTACTGAGATGATGTATATATATCGACAACATTTTGGATGAATTTTAAGGAATAATAAATGAAAAATAATCAGCCGATATACAATGTATGATATTTTCTTACCAAGTTGATTAGTGCATGGTTAATTGCAGAAAGCAGATATGACCATCTAATCTTACATTCAAATGTATCGGCCTGTTTTTGTCCTTGAATATATACCTCACCTATCATTCATGCTAATTAATTATCATTTTCAGTCTGGCAGAACTCTTACAACAATAACATAGCCTTCATCATGGTGTGAACTCTATGAATGGCAATTTAGTTGGCTTCTTCCATGATTAAAGATGTGCATTGTATCTTACCGACAATTTTTTTTTTCAAACCCCCAAGCGGCGCAAAGCGCCGCCGGGGTTTGATCTGTAAACACTTTGTCCACTTCCGGTGCTTCCCCATGCGTAAAAGCCTTCTGGGAAATTGAGGCCGCATACTGTCTACAAAAATATGATGGTAAACCCTACGGTATCGGTATTTATTGCAGTTTACTTGTGAAATATCATGAATTATCTATTTAATAAAAACACACCTTTAATGCAGTGAAGATAAACGAAACATTATATCTTCACAAGTAAAAACTTCACTCACTCTATAAGTGTTGTCCAATCTGAACGGTACATTATATTTTCTGCGTAGATGTTCAGTTTCAAGTTTAGATGAAGTGACGGCAGAATAAGTGGTTGTGCTGTCTACCTTTGCAGCATACAATATTGTTTTTACATAACTACACAATTAATATCATTTTTGTCTGAAAATCTTACCAGATAACACTAGCAAACGGCAAAATTGCAGTGAAAACCCATTCAAAATGGCGCTTTGTATTGTTGTCAGGCATGACGTCATTATAACTTGGCGTCAAAAACTACGTTATACATTCACGCGCTTTTCTGGTGTAGCAAACAGCAAACCTAAACAGCGGGCAAACATACACATATAACTACTGTTTCCTACATAACTTAACAGTTACATTTTTACTATTACTATTATGTTTTCTTCGTGCTAGGTGCGGGGTGGGGGTTCGGTTGGGGGGGTGGGGGCTGTTAAACCAGGATACCTTATCTCCCATCCCTCCCTTAACCCCTGCCAGCTGTGGAATTTTATCTCAAAATATGTGTCCCCATATTGGGACAGGGGCAATTTCGGCCCCTTTTTGTTAAAGTCGTTCTGAACAGTATGTCATATGTTATGGATTTGAAAGAGTCCACAATATAGGCGGACTGGTCGAGTGGTCAATGTAAACACTACGGCCTTCCATGCGGCCGGGGTTCGATCTCCGAAGTCGTCGTACGCATGGATATTCAGAAAAAGTGTTTTTCTCCTGCCTATACAACTCCAACAACCCAGGTGGAGTATAAAATAGTCTGGGGTGGATGTTGCGGTATCTGTGCTGTAGCATTCAAGCGAGGTGGCACTATAAATGATACCGTTTGAAGCACGGTCCCGCTACAAACAGACAACATTACGTTTACATTTTCAGGTCACACGCAGTCATACACATATTGGGAGATATTAGCCAGGTGGCATATGGCTAGTAGTTAGCGCCTGATAAGGCAGCTCCTGCGAATTCCTCATTAAAAATTGTATTGAATTAATGTACATGTATATGCTTATTGTATTAATTGTATATCTATGTAATGTAAAGTGGCTTACATTTGTATGTTAGCTAGACTGGGCGCTACATCAAATGTTGTATATATGGATATATATAGATATTCAATGCTTTTCATAAAATAACAACAAAAGGGCAAATTAACTTCCGTATTTGGAGAATTATTTAACATATTTCACTTGTATAAAACGAATATGTGATAACAACCAAAAAACCCAGCGTTGTGGCAAAATATGTCTTCGTTGCAGTCTCGAGAAGTAATAACTATTATTCAAAGGGGCGGGGGGCTACGATTGACCCTTTAACCTAGAAAATTGTTGATATTTTATCCAAAATAGTCGAAAAGGGACATTATCAAAAGAAACATATGAAAAAATTGCTGCAATTTTGACAAAAGGTGTGAAGGATCTTTTATGTAAGTCGTCTTATGTCCCGGATTCTCTCTCTCAGAAGATGACGTGATTGCCAAATCATTGACATTTGGCCCAAACGTGCGGTTAAAACTAGATATTGAGCGAGAACGGATTATTCTGAACAACACAATTAATGTCATCTATTTATATGATTATGATTAAATAGATTCAAGTATGCAGGATTCGTTCTCTCGTGGTTGATGGACTGTCAGTAAGTCATTTTCATAAACAGGTTTGGTGTCCAGCAGTTTTGCTGCATTTTCTTGTTAGAATCGTGACGAGTGTCACGCGTGGAATAAGAAACCTATCTTGTTGTGGTTGTGGATCACGGTCTGTCCTTTTATTTCAATGTCTCCTGATTCGCGCTGTTTGTCATCTAGAACTGATTTTAAGTTACCATTTTGTCCTGTGGTGTTGACGTTGTGGTTTTTGTCTTATATTTATCTGATGATTCAGTGATGCTGCCGCAGAGATACTACCGAACTCCTATTTCCGCGGTCTTCCGTCAAGGAACATATTACTTGATCAACTTGGCTGTTTTGGGTCTGAAGGTGATATTACATTTTGCCGGACACAGGACTGGGGTGTAACCAACTGTTCACATACACAGGAAGTCGGCGTCCGCTGTCGTATGTTATCTCTATTATTCCGATTGTTTTCCGAATCAGTCAAATGCTTTGGAAAATATGTTTTTGGTTTATAAGTTGTGAACTATTAATACATTTTGTTGTTGAAATTGCTATATATATATATATATATATATATAGGCAAAAAAGAAATAACGACAGTGCAAACAAAGGAATTTGTCAAATTACCAGGACAGTCCCTCATTTTCTCAAGAAAGAAACATGGACACTTACATATCACAACATCATAACAATATCATAACAAAGATAAACAGTCACTATGAAACAATACTATATCGGTTTTTTATTTCATTTTTTAAACAAGTTATCACCTATGAAATATATAAATGTCCCATGGTGTCGGAGAACAATAGGATTTAATTACAGGTAATCTATAGTCTGTACTAAACCACCTCTTGAATTTTAGAAACCAAGGATGTGCGCCTCGTGGACGGATCGCATCCCCTTGAGGGTAGGGTAGAGGTAAGGGTCAATGGGTCGTGGTCAACCATCTGTGATGACCATTGGGATGACCTTGACGCCACCACAGTGTGTCGGACGCTACTTCAGTACCCGATTGATGGGTAGGTAGATGATAATAAAATCAAGTCTTATGTAATCATGGTTATATGTAAAAAAATCATATGCCGTGAAGGGCAACATTAATATTTTCGAACCCATTGAACACCCTTTGATATCCTTTCAAACCAACCGTTTTCTTATTTCGTAATCGTTTGATCATTTCAATCAATAGATGTTGATAAAGACTTGGTACACTGAAATGCATGTTTTGCCTATAAAGTGTCGTAATTATTTTATCCATAATCTCTGTTTTGGGAACTAAAACGTACAGTACGATGTCTTCGGATTTTCCTCATTTTGTATGCGTTACAATTACTTATTTTTTTCAATGTAACAGAGACGTTGTTGGCAAGGCGTACCAAGGCGGAGTGTTCGGGCGAGGTACTGGGCAGGTCGGACTGTCGTATGTACAATGTAACGGTACAGAAGAGGATATTTTCCACTGCCAGAGAGACGGACAAAGACGCGTCAATTGTGACCATGACAGAGATGCGGGGGTTGCCTGCTATGGTGAGTTGATGTGGCCAGTTGTCAGTCACGAGCACTCTGATATTTCGAACATGTTTTGGAAACACTGACGAAGTTGGGGAAGTTGAATACGTAGAATGAAAACATGCTATGCCAACGCGACTATATATAATTCGGTCATATATACAGAAACAGATGTATATACGATATTCAACTTTACAATATTTGAACATATTATTAGTCCCCTACCGGGGGGGGGGGGGGGGGGGGGACTATAGTTTTCCTCTCCGTCCGTCTGTGGACGTACGTACGTAACACCAATGTTTGTAAGCGCTCTAGGGGCTTCATTCCTTGAGGGATTTTGATCAAACTTCAAACAATTAAAAAAGACCTTAATATCTCGGACAAGATTGAGTTTCAGGGTTGTTGGGTCAAGGTCAAGGTCACCGTTACTATTTTTAGAAAATTCTTGTCAGCGCTCTAGCGGCTTCATTCCTTGCGATATTTTTATCAAACTTCATACAATTACAAAGGGCCATAACATCTCGGACAAGTTCGAGTTTCAGGGGTGTCAGGTCAAGGTCAAGGTCACCGTTACTATTGTCTTGTGTTACCCTTCCATCTATGAAGAGTTGGTAAAGCACCTTTAGACCCTTCCATCTGTGAAGAGTATTTGGTTCTACCATATCTGGGTCTTGAGAAGAAGATTTTTGAAATTTCAGTCAATTCAACCCTTTTTGGCCCCACCCATCAGCCCCTGGGGGTCAGTCAGGGCTCATATGTGCATACTATCAAACTGCTACCTAATACTGATAATGCTAACCCAAATTGAATTACTGCGGTACTTCCAATGGAAATTAAAGAAATGTTGGTCCAAAATGTGATTTCCCTATATAAACTATAGTAAAGTTTACCCCCTCCCCAGGGGGAAACGTGAGACCCCAGGGTCAAGAAATTCACAATTTTGGTAAAGCACCTTAAGACCCTTCCATATATGAAGAGTATTTGATTCTACCATATCTGGGTCTTGTGGAGAAGATTTTTGAAATTTTAGTCAATTTGACCCCTTTTGGCCCCGCCGCTCAGGCCCCTGAGGGCTTGGGACTAAACCGGCCACTGTTTTTGTTGACCTTTGTCCATGGAAGGTCCCTGCAAAATTTCATTGAAAGTGGTTAAGGGGTTTTGGAGAAGAAGTCGAAAATGTAAATTGTTTACGGACCCACGACGACGGACAAAAGGCGATCGCAATAGGTCACTTGAGACTTTGTCTCAGGTAACCTAAAAATCTAGTGAATTTCATCTGGAAAGGGTTTTCTGAGGGTTTTCTGAGGGTATATACTGCGCTTTAAACTATCCAGTTACCAGGTATATAATTTTAAATACTGCTCATCGATACAGATATTCCTATCCATACTCACTTAGCCACTAAAACGACAAATTATAATCAATATTATTTTGGTGTTCAGCAAGGTAACATGTACATGTTAGTTATATAACCTTGAAGTTGAACATATTTTACTGAATAACTATCACAGCTTAGTGTCCATAGAAGAGTTTTCTATTTGCAGGAATTTAGGAGATGTAGTTCAATTTTGACTTGTTTGACACACTCTGGGATGAGATTCCATGGATCCTTATTTATGCTGTAAATGTCCTCTGACAATTGACTGTCTAAGAGAGATTATGACTGCTTCCTCTTTGATTTCCTTTACGTCTGGTGAATCTGTTGCTGTAATGTGGCCCCAATTATGATGGCAGACTGGTAACAATTTAAGTTGAGATAGGAACTGAAAATACAAAAATAATATTGTGTAAAATGGCATGGTTGAGGATAAGTTTGCATGATACAGGCATTCATATTGACCGTGAAATTCATAAAAATCATATCAAATATAGAAGCAAGTTTAACTTTTCTTGACAATTTCAATTAAATATATATCTCAAATGTAAAAAGATCATTTTGATCTTGCCATTGACTCATGACTTCATCTCATCACTAATTAAAACATTAATATTATCCGAAAGTGATGCTTATAGTTTTTTTCCATTAATTCCCTTAAATAATAATGTAAAAAATAAGACTAATCAAAATTAAGAGGGTTATTCTATGTAAGATTAAATTTGAACATGGAAGGGTCAATTTCATTTTTGAGGGGTCAATGCCCTCCAGGATTATCCTGTGTACTAAATGTTTTGCATGCAATTGTATCTTATCTCAATATTTATAATATAATATTTATGGTTATACACCAAAATTTATAACTCGAAATAAGGGTGGGGGAGAAGACGAATTGTATTTACCTTATCAAATAATTCCTAACTTAATTGTTATTTAGAGTGTCTAAAATAAGCAAATATTAACTTCTGTTTACAGAAATACATTTTATCACAGTCTTTAATCATGAAGAAATTTACATGTAATGACATGTTTTGGTAAACATTTATGATCCAAGTCTGACAGGGAATTGTAATATCTGATGTACAGCATCACCATGATCCTTCTAGTATATACTGAAGGCTGTATGTTCCCCTCTTACACTAAGTGTAGAAATATATATTTATTCAATAGTACTCTGTTCCTTTGATCTTCATTTTCAAACAATTGAGAATTATATAAAAGCTTGAGACAAAATTAATTCTTGTATGACAAAGGTCAAATACGTCGTAGTACAGGAAGTGTGAATAGTGCATTGATTATGATAAAGCTTTTAAACCTAAGAAATTTAAACCTCTTGGGGGGGGGGGGTACGTTTCGGGACTTTTTTTCCACCATGTATTGAACAGAGAGACAGTACAGTTCTCAAAGTGTAACACGTGTACACACTTACTCGAGACTTTATACAAACTAAATCAACGACATACTAATTTGATAAACGTGTGAAAAGGGTATTGTATAAATGGGAAATTTACAATGCGAATTTTGTGAACACTTCGGGGAGCTTACGAGTAGTCAGGCGGTAATTAGCCACACTGCATTTCTTTTGCGACTTTGTCATCCAGTCTTTGGAACAGCAGGCTTTAATAGTTGACCACTTCTTGCTCCGAAAACAACTTCGTAATCCGAAATCCAGTTAAATTCGCCCAATATACTCTGTACTCTTCATTTTCTCCATTTTGTTTTTATGTTTACCGACAACAACGTGGTTTCCCGCATTGAAGAGCTCCTATAAATACCGTAAATACGCAATTCGGCGTGCGTATGTGCTTGACAACGAATAATCTTTCTAATAGCGTAGCCTTTTTCACTGTATCTGATAATTGAGGTTCGTAATTCTGGAGATAAACGTGAGATCTTCTGCAGTTCTATCATAATGAATTGATAAACTGCGTGCGCATCCTAACCCAAAAAGACGGAGTAAGTTAGACGATCGAACTAAACAGCCGGACGGAACAGCCGGACGGAGTAGCCGAACTAAACGACACAATGAAATAATTGGACGATAGAAACGGTCGAAATAACCGAACGGAACGATTTAGCTGATACGAACGAAACAGACGAAACATACGAACGGTGCTCGAACGGTGAACGATCGCTTTCTAGACGCTAGACTACCGCTAACCGCACGCAAGCCGCACGCAGAACGAACTGAACCTAGGTGGATACTTGGGCGTAATTCTAACTGTATTATTACATTAAAATCAGTTACGAGCTAATTGCATACTTTTCATTTCCCCAAATTAACACCAAAGGGCACCATTTTTATAAATTATTACAGTGTATAAAAGCTAGCGGGGCCTGTAGGGGACACGTATTGCTTAAGCAATACTCAGTATGCATATATGCTTGTTAATATTATCCACAGTATGTTAACGATGTTTTCATTTATATAGTAAAACGTGCAACTTATGTTCGAAATCATAACATTTATTAAAAAATTATTAATTATAAATTTAGAAATGTTTATATTTAAGATCTTGATTCATTTTCGAGATTCTAATACATTCTATGACTTATGCACATAACGAACTTACAGCATTATCCATTGGCTGAATAATTAATTAAAATAGATTGGCTGCGTGATTCATATCAAGAGTTAAAAACCGACAACAGCGATAGTTAAGCAAATTTACCCGAAATGCAGTTGGAATTGAACATTTATCACAAAATGTCGGATTTAAGTAATATCATTTTGACAACAGATAAAAAGATATTGTTATACAAATAACAACATTTTAATTTTAATAATAGGCTTTAAATATACTGTATTGATTAACGTTATATTTAAAATAATTTAAAAAAACTTATCACATAAAAATAAGGAAGAAAAAAATGAAAAAGAGAAATAAAAATGTGTCCTACTGAAGTGGGAAATTATATTAGCATGCACAATACAATAAAAGTGTTTTTATTTGTTTTTATAGTCGGCTATAACACCACATTACTGGATAGTTCGAACCTCACAAACGACAAAGAGGGAAACATCCACATATCGGGGAATGCGATATGTGACGAGAATTGGGACGAAAATGACGCCAGATCTGTTTGTAGGTCACTCGGCTATTGGTAAGCATACTGAATCAGTGTGACATGAAACATTTACAAGTGTCGAATTTGCTGGCAGTTTGTACTTGAAGTAGTAAGAATCGGAACCATACCATACATAACAGCAAGCATAGCGATTATCGATACATTTCAACCGGTATCTGTAGAAAATCAATGTGAAAGCAGTATATATATTATATCAAATCTTTTTTATCTGTTTATTCTAGAATAAGACGATATTGACCAAAATTGAATGAATGATCCAGTTAATAGTAAAACGTAACATGTGGGTTCCCAAAATGGACCGAACCGTAATTGGAAAACTGTTCATATACAAACAGCATTATGTTTATTTTGTAATACAAATGAATGGTACCTGTTCTTAATCAAAGTTGTGATATAGTTTTAGCGATGGTTTTACTCATGAAGTTAATTGAAAATTTCCAAATTCAACCGATTCAACTACGTAAGCTTTGTTAATAGACACACGCACTGGTAAAACCCACGAAATAGATGAAAGCTAAAGGCATACATATTGTTTCATTGTATTAAAAATAATATTGTTTAAGAAATTGAATTGAAAATATTAATATATTTCTTTAAAAAGTGTTCCATCTTTGGGTACTTCACGTTACCACAGCTCCAACGTATTGTGTTTTTATGTTATGTACTTGTTCGAATGGGACATGCATTCTTGTATTCTGTATTCATTTAATAATTAATGATGGCTAGTGCTTTTTATTCAACACGAACATGTATGTCCGGTATTTTTCCTCAAGTTTCTTATTTTCGTTTTCGCAACCTTTTGGTAACAAAGCGAAAGAGAAACGTTTTGAATGACTGATTGGTGGTAATTCGAGGTTCTCATATCCATTTCGGCGCTCACAGCTAGCATTCAACACTTCTAGCTCTGCCCAATGTGATATTTAAATAAAACTTGTCCTCCGCTCGTACAGGAGTAGCTCGCCGACCGTGTACGAGAACAACTGGTTCGGATCATCGTCTGGAGGCGGCAGCAATATCGCCCCACAGTGTCGGGGCAACGAGGCCAATCTGGCCTTCTGTCCTCTGGCAAAGGAGTGGGGCAAGGACACGTGTTCCACAAGCGACATAGCCGGTGTGAGGTGTAACCCATCACCACTGGGTAGGTACTGAAATAGGACAAAACTTCTTCTTCAGTGCTGTTAAATGTTGTACATCTGAGGTGTCACAGAGACCTACAAAACCATACGTCTCTGGGTGTCATAAGAAAGCAAAACGGTTTTATCTGATAATTCAAATTATACAATGAATTTGTACGTATTCCTTTTGATTTGTTTTTCATCAAATGTTTTTTTCTTTTACTATTATTATCCCATATTCCCACTGAGATCCAACATTTTGAAACTTTGATTGCAACCTCATTCATTACATCCTAAAATGACATTTACTGTTTATAGGACTATAAACAAAACTAAAAACAAACCTTGTACCTTGCAGGTTACCACCGTGTTAGGTTAGTGGGAGGAGACCAGCCAGGCCGGGGCCACCTATTGGTTAGGTACAATAACAACTGGGGATACGTGTGTGATAGAGGGTGGACGCAGCGCGATACAGTAGTCGTGTGTAGGATGTTACGGTACAGGTGAGTTTATAACATACTTAACTAAACTGTAGACATGATAATTATTACAGTTGTCTTCACATACAGGTATCTTGTACATTTGACCTAAAGAAGGACGATGCTGGGGAGAACTGTAACATATACAATCGATTAGAATGTTCAGTTATTTCTGTTTGCCTTTCATCTCGTGTAAATGTTTCGTGTATAAAATCTATCACATGTACTCTAGTACGGAGAACGTCCGTCCGTCCAAACTTTGGTTTCCACGAGATCACTTGGTTAACTATCATTCGAGTTTGATGGAACAGGGTAAACATTAACAGTGTAATACAATGTATGTACAAAGACAAAGGCAACCTTCGAAACGAGCAAAATCTGAACACAATACATACGCATACTTTACTCTGATTCGTCGACGTTTGCGCTAAAGATCAAACAAAATGTCTTACTTAATTATCAATCAATTTTGATGAAACTTGTAATTATACACAATACACAAAGACTTCAACTTAGAAATCCGGTTATAATGAGCATACATTTATTTCTGCACAGTCACTTAATGAATTATGACTAAATTCTGATGAAACTTGGTCAATATTTATAGGATACAATGAGAAAGGCTACGTTTGTAGTTAAAATCTGCTCATAAATAAGCATACTGCGCTGATATTGTTCAGTGTTACTTAATTACTTACTTTACAATGTTACACAATTACTTAATCAAAAATGCTAAGATCTTGATTTAACTTAATATTTTAATTTGCAAGGCTTACCAGGTACTTCAAAAATGTGTCTGTTAACAAAATATAGGAAACACTCAGAACATTTTAAATTTTAATGGTTAAAAAAATCGTTTATAAGCGGACATTGACAAAGGGAAACCATTCCTATTCTTTTAATGAGAAATGATTTTGGTAACAATTGTCGTGACTAAAAGTATTCATAATTAGTAATAGATCACAGGGCCCCAGACTTTAAGCCATTTCAGAGGTCATATCACCATTTCCATGAAATTTGATGGCTCAAAGCGTTCTTTTCAAACTCGATAGCCTTAGCGAATTTTTGGAAATAAAATTATTTCTTCAAGTCTAATGAATGCCCTGAACCATAGCTTTTTACTATGGACGTATCCTGATATTTCGTTGTTGTTTTTTCGTTGAAGATCTAACAATATGACGTCCACTGCATTAACTAAGGGGACCAGTCCGATTCTTGTCGGAGATATAGAATGTCATGGTAACGAGACGGACATCGGGTTGTGTAAAGCGGATCTAGATAAGTCTAACTGTACCGACATGGTGGTCGGTCTAGATTGTACAGGTAAGTCAGGTGATACAGGTATGTTTAATTGTACTGGTACATGTACAATATAATTCAGGTGACAAATGTATGTGTTAATGTCTTGACCTCATTCGAGTCTATATATTATGTACTTGTATACTTTCTGAACCTTTTTGAGTAACAAATCTCCCTTTAAATATATTCAGTAAAACTTCATTACGTATTTCTGAATATTTTTAATGTACTATCATAGATGTATAATTAAGAAAGTCCAGTATCATTTCCTCGGGGTTGAACTGAATTGGAAAGACGCATGTCACGGTAACCTATTTCATGCCACTTTTAGTGTTAAATCATGATAGAAACTGTCTATTTGTCTTCATATATAAGTTAGGGAAATATTCGTTTTAAGTTAGAAACGACAATGTGCAAATCAAGTCATTCACCAAAGTGCGGAAACTTAAAGTGAAGCCAAGGTCAATGCATTCCTTATACATGGTGGTAGAGTCCTCTTTGGTAGTTTTATCATTGGAAATGTGATAATGTGTTGGTTATTTTTGTGTTTCACATATGATTTGCCTTGTTATTATTTTGTTATCGTTGCTAATAATATGCTAAGTTATATTGCGGTAAAATATAAAAAAAAGAAAACATGAAACATTTAAATATCATTACAATGTTTTCGAATATGAAAATTCGCCAATCTGAAATGCTCTCATACTTTTGTGATAACGACTGTTACCGTGTTGCTGCATGGACATCTTTACTGTACCACTGGTATATCTGTATAATCTGTACATATATCCTTAGACAACGTTCAAGCTCACCTAGTGAACGGTACCACTCCCCTGGATGGTCGTTTGGAGGTACTCAAGGACGGACAGTGGGCTATGGTGTGTAGCAGTGCTGTAAGCACCGCCACCGCCAAGGTCGTCTGTAGTATGCTGGGCTACAGGTAATATTGCACGTTTACAGGTAAGATTGTACGTTTACAGGTAAGATGGAGAATTTACAGGTAAGATTGTACGTTTACAAGTAAGATGGCACGTTTACAGGTAAGATTGTACGTTTAAAGGTAAGATTGTACATTTACAGGTAAGATTGTACGTTTACAGGTAAGATGACACGTTAACAGGTAAGATTGTACGTTTACAGGTAAGATGGCACGTTTACAGGTAAGATTGTACGTTTAAAGGCAAGATTGTACGTTTACAAGTAATATTGTACATTTACAGGGAAGATTGTACGTTTACAGGTAAGATGACACGTTAACAGGTATGATTGTACGTTTACAGGTAAGATGGCACGTTTACAGGTAAGATTGTACGTTTACAGGTAAGATTGTACGTTTAAAGGTAAGATTGTACGTATATGAGTATCACATAATATTTACAGGTAATATTGTACGTTTACAGGTAAGATTATACGTTTACAGGTAAGATTGTACGTTTAAAGGTAAGATTGTACGTTTACAGGTAAGCTTGCACGTTTACATATAAGGTTGTACGTTTACAGGTAAGATTGTACGTTTACATGTAAGGTTGTACGTTTACAGGTAAGATTGTACGTTTACAGGTAAGATTGTACGTTTAAAGGTAAGATTGTACGTTTACAGGCATTAACACAATGAATCCAGACATCATCACATGATTGTATGGCCACCAAAAGACTTAACTTTCACTTGACCGGCACAGAACCGTCTCCTCTGCACCAAATGTTTAGAACTGATTTCAATGGTTCAATAGGAATATGTAATGCCCCTGGGGGATTCCATGCTCAAGGCATTGGTAACTGTCAATTCAATTCAATTAGTTTATTCTGTAAGCCTTACGACTTATAAGATACAAAACATTTTAATACATATTACCAGGTTAAACAGAGAAATGATGCACAGGAGAGTGGTAATTGTGTGTAATCGTATCATACACACACACACACAAGAATGTGATAATACTATAATGACTGAGAGCGCTTCATAAAAGCAAATCTTATATATTTCCGAAGATGACACAAATCTTTTACATTATTAACACTGAGCAATCGTACAAGTTTAAATACACTGGGACGTCTAAAATAATATGGCTTCAGGTATCTCACCCGTAAACCTGCATTAATAGGACACTTAAGGATGAAGTGAAACTCATCCTCAATATCATGAGTATCACATAATGTACAAACTCTACTGGACCTAACTAAATTATTGTATCTTCCACTTTCAATATTGAGTTTATGAGAGCTTAAGCGAATACATGAAATGCTGTTCTTATACAACTGATCAATAGGTTTTTTCTAGTAGTATTGCAGACCAAAATTATCTACTAAATGCTGATACAATGTTCCTTTTGGGGAATTCTGTGTAATCATAAAATTTGTGCTCTATTAACTTATACACAATCTTACTTTCATAGCAGTTATTCCATAAATACCCTAATCCTAACTTATTCAATTCTGAGTGTATATTTATAATCCAATCATCATTATCTTATATTCTCTGTTCATAACATGCTTTCAGTATACAATCGTCTGTTTGTTTCACTTTAACCCAGTATTTCAGTATTTTCATTTTCCGAACAACATACATTAGAAGTCTACTTAATTCGTAATATACAAGGTCATAACATGTATTTTTACCCACACCTAGTGTTTTTTTACAGAAATATGTCTGAACCTTTTCAACTTCTAAAGCTCTGTGAAACCCCATACTTCACTTGCATACCCCAATACACTGCTTACATAAGTGTCGAATACAGAACATAATGTTTCAGTATTAAATTTATGGTTCTTTAATTTGCTTGATAATGCAAAATAGGCTTTCCTTCCCTATCCTGCTGCATGTTGCTGAGTTTTATTGAACTTCTACTTCGCTATTGTCATAAAACCATCTTTCGTCCTGTTTTACAATACCACCATTCCTGAAAACGACAATTTTAGTTTTATCTGTATTAAGAGTAAGCTTCCATTCCTTATTATACAATCATAAAGCATCTAACATAGATTGTAGAGCATGCGGTGTTTCTGCAATAAGAACTGTGTCGTCTGCGTACATAAGTAAAAATAAGGATATCATACCAATTTCAACTGGTTGACAATTTTCTCTTATAAAATACATTTCACAGTCATTGACAAATAAACTGTATAAAATTGGTGATTAATGAGTTTACACCATAACTTCCCTCTATCAATAAGGTCAAAAGCCTTTTTGTAATCTACAAAGCAACAATACAACCTTTTCTTTTTACTTAGAGATCTGTTAATTAATGACAGAAGTACGAATATAGCATCTACAGTTGAGTGACCAGCTTTAAAACCAAACTGGGCACCAGTAATAACTGAATTTGCTTTGTCCCACTGTGTAAGTCTGCAGTAAAACGTTTGCCCATACAACTGACAAGAGTAATGTCACTATAATTACCAACATTATTAATATTACCTTTTTTGTGTACTGGGACAATGCAGCCAGGTGACCACACTTCCGGAAAGAGACCCGATGCAAATATTCGTCTGAAAAGCTTCGTTATACAAGGAGTTAAAATGTCTTCACAATCTACGAAAAGTTCATTTAAAATTAAATCTTCACTCCAGCTTTTATCTGTTTTCAAATTTGGAATTGCGATATGTACCTCATCTTCTGTAAATGGTTTATCTAATTCTTCAAATATTGTTTAATCTATGTCATCATAAAAGTCCTGAGTAGTAGCATCAATATCACCAGTGTTACTACTAACACTTTTAAAATACTCTAAAAATTCATTGATATTAATTTGTGGTTGGGATACACTATATTTACGCGTTGAGAGAAAATATTTATAAAACTTCTTCGGATTGTTCTTTCTAAGAAACTCAACCACACCACCTTCTTGTCGTTTATATTGTCGTTTGAGTCTATATTCCAACTTTTTGTAAGCCCGTTTTTTACTTATAAGAACAGCATGATTCTCACAGGATTTAGAAACATTAAAATTAAACAATCCATTTTTATACTCATTATATCTCATTTTACATTCATCAGTAAACCACGGTTTGTCCTCTTTCTCCACCTTATGTTGACGGGGATAGTGTGATGTACTTTTAGCAATTTTAACGTCACAGTTAGGTAAAACTACCTCATTTATATCACCACAAAATTTGGCTACACATCTATCAAGTTCTTCATGAGTACCCAAAGGCATATCACATATATCAAGGAGTTCTTCAACTATTACATTAAGACTATTCGATATTTTATCTACATTATCTCTGTTCCACCTTACATTTTTAAATGTCTTACCTGTACATGAAGCACAATTTTGGTCATCAGTAAAATTATTGCTATATGTACTGATATTGAAGGAGAAATACAATGGTGAATGGTCAGAAAGAGTATTGAACTCGCCCGTACCAAAGTTTATAACATCGGAAATATAATCACAATCAACTAATAAGTAATCAATAAGGCTTGTGCCGTTGTTACTACAAAATGTAAGACTTCCGTCTTTGTCACCTGTATAACAACCATTAAGTATACGCATACTCGTATTTTTACACAATGAAAGTAGTTTTCTGCCATAAGTATTCACATATTTATCCATGTTACTACGATTCTGAATATTTGAATTATTACTGTAATACATATAATATAACGTATCATTGTTGAGGCCATCATTTACTATGAAATCCGGTCTAGTTCCTGTTCTAGCATTAAAGTCGCCGGTAACATATAGATTTCCATTTGTTTTGTAACGGCTAATTGACTCTTCAAGAGTAATAAAAATGTTCACATCACAATTATGATAAAAAAAACACTATTTTCTGGCGGGAAATAGCAAAAACACAAAAATACAGACTTTTCATCATAGCTAAGTTTTACCCAAAATATACAATCCACAAAATTTTCAACTAAACAAAACACATTTTTTTAAATATCTCTTGTGTAAACTCCGCCTCCTTTCCCAATAGGTCTAGGAAAAACATATGTACAGTACCCATCTAGCTCAATAACATCGGTATCTGTAATCAAGCATTCGGTAATACAAACAATATCATATTTATAAATTATGTCTACAAAGTTGCCATCAGTAAGTTTGTTTACTAGCCCTTTGCCAATATTCCATGACAGAACTGAAAGTTCACTCTCCTCTCTGTCCTACCTCTGTTCCTTGGGTGAACAGGATCTGTAAGAGGTACTAAAAGGAACATAAGGCTCACTTGCCCTCCGTTCCTCAACTAGTTGCCCAGGAGTACTAGGAGGCACACACGATTGTCCTGGCTGGGTCCGGACGAGGTTACCCTCATTAGCCTTCACTGTCTATAGTATTGTGAACAAACCAAGTGGCATCACTCTTCATGTATCAACGCTGTTTCTGAACAGAATTTTAGCAATCTTTGTACGGTATGGGAATATTCTCAAAAGTCACTATTACTGTTTACATAAATTGTCAAACTTTGATACTGACTTAGGTGCAAGTGCTGGCATTTTTGTCTATTTAGACATTTTTGGTGGAATGCAGCGTTATTGTTAGGTACACATAAAAAGCGGCGTTGAATTTGCGATGTCAAAATTGTTGTCTGTAGCATTCTTTAATAGAAAGTCCACTGGAGTCTTGAATTTGTCAATAACACTGCTTCTAGACATATTCTTTATATATCATCCTGTGTATACGATATTGTAATCGTACCTTATCTCAATTTTAATGATTCATTATCATGTTAAGCTTGAAAATTGTAAAATTATATTGTATAGCCTTTGTTGTGTGTTCATCGTACTTTGTTCAAGACCGCTCAATCATACAAAATATCCATAAATATAATTTTAAAAATATTCAGATGTATATCTTCAAAACAACATTTGGAATGCATCGCATATACAATGTAACTCTTACTAACACTAGTACGTGACGTATAGGTATATGTAATAAACATCTCGATTATCATTATCAATGTACATCCAAAACTTACTTTTACTCTCTCTTAACATCGATATTACTGTTTTTCCCACAGCAATACAAAACCGATTCTCAAAACATTTACTGACGCATCAAGTCACGTGACTATCAACGAGATGGCATGTGAAGGATGGGAGGACCACATTGGTCAATGTAATCACCCTTCAGGACTAGGATCCGTCTGTGCTCGTAATGACACGTTCGTCAGTCTACGGTGTTTCAGTAAGTAATTAAGTCCTCCCTCACAGACGTATGGACATAAAGTCATGACGGTTGTACGATGGTGTATTTTGAGATTTATTATATATTTTCGTAAATATAAATATAATCATACAGTTCCTTGCAGGCAATAGAAGCTCCTAAATGCTAATGTTATTTTGGCAACATTTTCGACGCCAAAATGTTTTTTTTGTAGTTTTGTCTTGAACCATATATGCATCTGACGTAGTACATCTCAACCCATCCATCAAGTGCTGGATGCAGCCTACCTTTCTTAGTACATTGACCTTTTGGGCATCCCCATCAACATTGAGGTTTTGCGTTTAAGTAAATTTCTCTGATATGTGCATTGATGGTCAATGCGGGGCACAGACGGGACATATCAATCTGAATGGCTTGTCTATAATGCTTCTTGTAATGTTGTGATGTATAAGTATCCATTGGTTTTGACGTAGCCATACAATAACGTTTTGTGATCCGTTATGAGACATTCAAAATAAAGTTCACCTAACTGTTGTATTGAGTAAAACAATATTTTCATATTCTAGCAAGAATATTCACTTCGTATACTCTATCTTTCTGGAGTTTCAATTCTTTATATTTAATTTCGTTTAACTTATCATACTATGCAAATAGAATTAGCATCTTCCACAAAGAAAAATACATTATGCTATTATCATTTGACATTTATGTCAAAGGATAATATGATTAACGTCATCGTAACGAAATATGTATAAAACAGTATTATAACCTGAATGATATATCACAAATACAATTTCCGAGACAAAGGATTTTACGTAATTGCAAATATAATGTGATACTTAGGTCATTGACATTATTATGGTAATTGATTTACAGACTGCTCTTCGAGCTATTCGACGGAGACAGGTGACATTCAATCGATCAACTACCCTCAAAACTACGAAAATGATAGTGACTGTCTGTACGTCATCACGCCCCCTAAGTCTCACTCGCCATATGCTCTCGTCATACAGGATCTAGTCATGCACGACGATGAAGACTTCCTAGATGTGAGTCATGTTAATACAGCTAACAGAATGAGGATTTATCGGAGGCACCATTTTGTCATCCCCGTAATGAGGGTGAATTTATCATGAATGCGAAAAATTAGTTAACAATATAATATACACAGTAATTAAGTGTAAAGGGCGAAAATGAAACGCATCAAATCTGGATTTTACCGGCGAAGAGCGAAAGTTTGATTGGGTGATAATACCCTGGTATACAGCAGTTTTACATTTGCGAAATTTAAAATATGTTGAAATATTTGTTTGGATTCGTATCTCTATTGCTGAGCATATTTAATATATATAAATGCATAAATTTATATTCTTTAGTTTCCAAAAACTAACCTATTAAAAACCTACCGATAGTTGTTGAAATACAACAAGTGCAGTAACATTACTTACTACAAATATTTTGTAGATACGAGAGACACCGAATGGTCCTAGCCTCGGAACTTTTTCACGTGGTGACGTGTTTCCTGTTATAACGGGCAAGCAATTCTATGTTAGATTTCATTCCAATGGATCTGGGTCTGCCAAGGGATTCAGATTAACCTGGAAACGTGAGTCGACACAAAAAAAGAAAAATTAATTGAACTCTAACTTCATTTCATTAAAACGAAAATGCAACCTTAATACAGTAACATTACCCAAAAAGAGGTTGAATTGTTTTACTCTGTTCTCTTAACATTTGGATACTTAATATCCAGATACGAGTAGATAGTAATTGATGTGCATTTTTAAGGAACTAAACCTAAATAATTAACAGGATTATTCTGTTGTAACTTAATAGTCCTTCCATTAATGAGGTTAACAAGCATGCATTGAGTTATAGAAGGGTTTATCAATATTATCTTATCATCCCTTACTGCAGGGACACATTATTTTTTTCCCGGAGTAAACGAATGCTTCATTATTAAAATGTATTAAAGGGTGGTATTTTAATGTTACAAATAATAAATTATTAAAAAACATGAATATAAAACAATATTCAGGCTGACATACACCTTATAATGGCGTATGATATGTAGTAAACTGGTCAGTTAATGAATATTAAAACAGGTGGCAACATAAAGTAACAACATTCTAGTGCAGTGTATTTTAACTTATATTCCGTCTTTGCATATTGCAGAGTTATCTTCTCTTGTGAGCAGGTATTGATTGTTATGTCATTGGTTTGTGAGAGTAACGTCATCAATTTTTGAGAAAACGACGAAATTTTTTCACACAAACCAATGACGTAACAATCAATACCTGCTCCCAAGAGAAGATAACTCTGCAATACGCAAAGACGGAATAATGTAAACAGCCTATTTCCTGTCGGGACTCTGGGACGAAAGTAAATATATAAAGATAGCCACAGACAAGTCTTTAATGTCCCATATCTTGTATACTGTAGCACGATATATCGCGTTTGTCCATATTAATACGATATGTAAGGGACTTAATCATTCGACATAGAATTTATTGTCATTGACATATCAAACTCAAAATGATCATGACATTTACTGTTCGAGCAGCTCTGGTATTAGAGGATGCAATGACCTTGAACTGCGGCAGCACCACCTGGAACGCCGTCGTCAATATGACGGTACTGAAGTCGTTGTACCCGGATGTTGGGGTGTCAGACCTTTATCTCTCCAAACAATCGTGTACTGGCACGGTCGTGGACGACCTGGTGGTGTTTCAGCAGGCTTACACAGACTGCTCGTCCTCCAAAACCGTAAGTAGTTGACATTGAAAGGTAAACAATATAAGTCAGATCTATAAATGAACAAAAGTACTGATATTTATTTTATCTATTTATTTTTATTTATTTATTTATTTCCAATTCAACAGACCCAATGGTCCACTAACAGAATAGATAACAACATTACAACACAATTATAAAATATCACAATCAGTTATGCATGTAACACAGACTAAAAGATACTCATATGTAAAACAAAAGGAATTAGTGATAGCAAATATTCTTTAACCGTACTTTGAACTCGGCGAGAGAGGAACAAAACGTATCACAGTCTTACATTGATTGCTGATAGCGTAAAGTCTACATACCATATATCATTTGAAATAATGTTTTATTGTTTTTGGATTTATTTTAAAGTCTGTGTTTTTATAACTATGCTAGATCAATTTTCACGTTGTGGAATGCTAGCTTTGCATTTACGACCTCGGCGCAAAAAACTTCAACGAACTGTCTATTCAGTTCCAGTGGTTGACGTTAGTTTTGCAGTAACTATATCCTGGTATATTTTATCTGAATGCTTTGTTTCATACCCTACCATGTATGTTGATGCTAACGACCTTTGAACTCTTTGTATATAGACGACGGATTCTGACATCATCTACCACAACCAAATGATCTACCCTAACGCGCGCACGCCCTTCCCTGTTATCGTACATAGTTACCTTTGGCGCGTGGACGTAGCGTGTAACGTAAAACGCCAGACCAATGTGTCCCAGAGCTATGTGCCTACGGCACCGTCCGCCACACAGACCGTAGACACCGGTCACCATCACCTGTCAGGGTCCTCAAACTACGACATTCACCTCACGTTCTACCAGGACCCAGGCTTCTACCAGGAAATCAAGGTACGCCTGATAACTCTGCTAGTTGCTATAGAAACATTCTTAGATTATTATCTCTAAAGCAGGGGTACTCCCTTCTATTCTATAGAAATATAAAAGAAAAATCACAAAACGGATATACAGATGCTGTAGTGTATCCGAACTGCTTTGTAGGTTTCCTGTTATTCTATGAAACATAAATGTATCTGGTTACCCGGTAATTGTTTAGGAATAACACAGAAATTGGTTAACAACACTATCAACGTGAAATCTTTCTATGAAAGAGACATACATCGGAACACACAGTAGGCATTAATAGGAGTTTCTCTTTTGGATATTGTCTTTTACTACTACAAATTTGGGTTTACCTTTTTGACGGAGAGGTGCAGATATTTTTTGCGAATTATTTAAAATACTTTAGTTTCCATTAAATACCCTTAAATCAGACCCTTTTCAATACAAATCAGTATGCGTATACATACAGGTAAAATCGATCAGTATCGTGCTGGTTTGGACCGTCATTGAACTGTGTGCATAGTTACAAAATAATCAATTAGACTACTAGATTCTGATTGGATAATTGGCTTCCATGCAATACTGCTCTTAAACTGGTTCTTTTTTAATCAAATAGAGCACTGTATAGCGCTTTAAATTCGCGGGGTCAATATTTCGCGGTTCTGTATTCAGTACATATTCTTTGTACCTTTGTAGGAGTAAACTGTAATCAGCTAATCACCTACTTTGTGTACACATAAATATGTTGTGGCCACTTATATGCAAGTGTTGTTTTACATCGACTGCCCAGTTGTCCGGTAATAATCTGATTTGATTTCATTTAAGCTTGCATAACAGCGTTGGGTTTATAAGTATTTTCAACATGTTGTGATAAGGTCTGTTAAAATGGTTAAACAATTTCGATAATTTGCTGGTGTTAAGAATTCTCTGGTGTTTGTCAAAGCGCCAATATAGCAAAATCGAAACCCCCGCGAAAAATAAGCGCTATACAGTATACCAATTCACAGTTTAGTATCCACGATATATTAGCAATTTCTACACTTAGTCGACACTAAAGCTCAACGATATATCACAGCTTGCTATTTCCTAAAAGTGGGTATATAATTCTACATTTTTAATTATAGGGTAGTCCTATAACAACACACATTGGTGACAATGTCTATGTCAAGGTTGATGTCAACACAAATGACCCGGAAGTGAAAATGAGGTTGGATACATGCGTAGCGAAGCCTACAGCAGATGCAGGGCCTGATCTAACGTACCCTCTCATACAAAATGGGTATATCTAAGACTATTTGTTATTTACACTTTATACTAGGTGTACAAACTTCAGCTACTGATGCGAATAGATTTTAAAACTTAATAATTTTCTATTGATGTACACCATTATATAATCTTTGCCTTGCCCGATATAATCACATGCGTGTCAATTTATAAATAGTTAATAAATCAATAACAATCCAATTTTTTCTCCTTGATAATTGATGAAGTCATCAAAGCAAGGTGAACAAACCGTCTTAATGACTAAAATTCTTTAGTTAATTAAGGAGGATGAAATGCAAAAAGCGACTCAATACATTGATACATTTATTGAAGAACATATATTTCTGACCATTTCGAAGCAGAAGAGTTGTGTTCCCCTGATTCGGCTAAGGGTTAAAACATTTCCCGAAAATGTTTTATTTTTGGCATAAATAATGTTTCCAAAAACATTTACATGTGAGACATGTCCTATCTCAAAAGTCCATATATATATTGAATTTGAATATTTTGCCACCCTCCTCTATCATTCTTTAAATAAATAGCTATAGATATGCAACTTGAAAAGCCTCATTCATAGCGGTAAGGCTTTATGTTAATGTAAATCAAACAAAATATTGAAAGAGCATGGGCCAAACAGGTCCTTACCGTTGTCGTAGTATTTGACCATCATCCAGTGATGTTTACAGTATTAAAGCAGAAATAACAAGAAAATGTTAAAAACAAATACCCGTGACGTAGTCCCTTTAAAACGATATAATATTTATGTTATTTCAATTCTTATTAAATTCTTATTTTTTGCAGATGTGTAGTTGACCAGGATACCACGATTCTATCCCAGGGTTCCCACGTAACAAAGTTTTTATTCAACGCGTTTGAATTTCCGGCGAATCACAATTCTGTTGTTGTGTCATGTAATGCTACCTTTTGTCGGGCGGATGAACTTTCGTCTCGGTGTTTACAGACTTGTCATGCGCGAAGGTCAAATGATGTAAACATGATCACAAGAACCAACTTACACAAACCTATAGGTAAGCTATTATTTATGAAATTACATTTCATGCTTTTTCAGGAGGACTATTTTTTGTTGAATATTTGCAATGGTCATTTGCATGAATTAACTGAATTTCATTTATTAATACACTCAATGTAAGCTGGCCTGCTCTATATTTTTGTGGATGTAGCGAAGAGCTGCAGCATATAAGTAAATAACGATGGGGTAAGATACTGGTGATGTTTTTTTTTAAATATTCAAGAATTTTATGTTTTGTCAAGACATGTATTTTCAGTTAATATCCACCATACTTTGATCTATTCGACTCGCGTCTTGGTAAGCTCTTACAGAATTGCCTGCTTTCTCAGACTTGATTACATTATTATGATTTGGTAAACATATCGTGTATTTTATTAACATAGTTTCGAAGATAATAGAACAATCAAATTATGTGATTCTATAGATGCGTATCATTCACATAGAAAACTTTTCTATTTCAGCTATCTACATATCACCAATAAATGATACGAAGTCAAAGTCTCCAATTATAAAGTCAGTGTGACAACATGTATTATTATAAAATAAATAAAATCATGCATTGACATATCAAAGATTATTTGTTTTCTACAGTCGTAGCTACGATCGCATAGGGAGCGGTAATATTGGATAAAGAAGCTATTTTATGAATACCTAAATATATAGTAGATAATAAATAGATAAATCCTTGCGAAGGAAAATATAGAATAAAAACAAAATCTTTCAGATCGTCCGCTAGGCCTTTCTGCCTTCTAGGGCTTCTTTAGGCGGATTCCTAAATATATATAGCAGTGTACAGTAGAAATGACCCGACTCTGATAAACAAGGCACATGTCGAGGAAACGTAAACACAGCGGATTTACCCTACACAACACATGTATACATGTATATATATTTGTAAACTGCATTACATTTACAATACATATAAAGCACTGAGAAGTGTATAAACCTCTTTTTTCTATGTATGTCACTTGTGTGAAAACCATGGTTACCACATCAAAAATTACCAAAAATGCCAAAAATTGCTATTTTTGACCCAAAATTTGACCCCCGCAACTAGTATTTTTTTTTCCTAAGGTCTGTCTGAAATTATGGATTATCTACCTGGTTGCAGAATTATCTGGGTCCCAGTAAAGTTGTAAAACTTGATTTTTTCAATTTTGTGTCGTGTGCTTTTGTCAAATTTTTACCTCCTGTAAAGCTAGCTTTTCATGTGTAGGCACCCTTATGGATTATGGCCAAAATTTTATCCTCGAACCAAAATAATCTTCTTCTTTTTTTTACAAATGTGAAGCTCACATAGCCCACTTCATCATGCTTATACCAATTTTAGCACAGTTTTATTTTTATAATTGTTTTACATATCATTATACAGGATTAGCCATTTAACAAAAATATCACCCATGGCCACAACTCTCTAATGTATACTGCTACCTATACATATGAAACAAGTTGTTTTTTAAACAAATTTACTTACTACAACCATGTTATATTCTCACAACAACATATGCCTTCTAAATGCATTGCAATGGAAGGATGTAACACCCATTGATACGAGACTCACGCCGACGACGTTGAAAACAAGGGGATGGTTTGAGAAAACGTGCTGCGCGAATAGTTGCATATATTCTTGGTACCGTGATAAAAATATCTCTAGTTCATTTTTATTTCGAAAGAATGATCTTATATTTTAGCGTTCAGTATATCGATGATGATTTGTCTCTTATTACATCAAATTTCAGAACCACTAATCCGCCAACCATGAAAGTGTAGATACCAGAGTGTGCTATTGTTCTTTACATTTATATTACAATGAATGAACAACGTGACGACTTCAACTTGTTCATCGTTCATTTTCCATTCCTTCGATAGTAACGTACTAAGCTTCCATGCTAATGGATTTTACATATCACATTTGATGATCTATGCCAGATCATGTTATACATAATGTAAGAATCCGGAGGTTTCCTGTCACATTCGAATGCAATACCGGAGCCTACTTTGAGAATCAGGATCCTCCTGATACAGTTGCGTCCTCTTTACCAATAGGAAAATGCCAGCGTTTTCTGCCAGAAGGGAATTCCGTTGCCCTCATGGTGACCGAACTTTCATCTATGGAAAGTAATTGTCAGCTAAGATAAAGCAACATTATTATATACATTGTAACATCCTATAAAATTTGAGATATATTTGTAGTATATTAGCTATCTGATTATATATCTACATCAGAAAAATAAGGAACAACAAAGACTTGCCTTAGACAGGAGAGACTCAGGTGGAGGAAGATTGCTACAGCATATACCCCACACGAAGTATGTAGGGTAAGAAGATAGGATAGTAACAATGTTCATTCTGGTGTAGTAAGAGCCTTTTACATTTTTTATATCTTAAACCCCGGTGTAATACTTTTAATTGACATCATTTAGAAATAAATATACTATCATTAAATGAATTTAATAATTAAATAGATAATTAAGTGATAAATTTATTACAAACATGATTATTATCATACCTATTGACAGTGATAACAAAGATAATTGGTCGCCATGTCTTCAAACACTGCAAAAGCAAAACCATTATCTACCATGATCATGGGAATACACTGCTGATGATTATATTTAAATCCAATGTAGTTGTTTTCTATATAAGCTGACAACACCTAGTCCAAGATTTGAGGTGGTGATGGGGCATCACATGTGCCGCTTTTGTGTATTTCGATCCGAACGGTTGAACCTGTTGGACATGAGTTGTTCATTTATGAAATAAGGTCGGACCTAGTAATCTGATACTACCTCCTGACGAGCCTCAACAAAACAGTGCAGGGCATGTATACACATTTGCAGGTCCGCCAAGGTTTATACCCGAAAATGTTACTTTTCAAACCGGATAACCCGGTTGTTCCGCATAAACGAACAGGCCCTTCGTACCTCTGATCTGGACGCTCACAAGAAATCACAAGATATCTCTGAGTGGGTTTTGCATTGGTCGGGGCATCATGGGTGTCACATACTTGAAGATATTTAATGTGAGATCGTGGTAGTGGTGTTCTCTAACACAGACAGTACTAATTACACTGTTCACTTTTCATTACACTTAGCTTTTCTAAAGGTCATCACTACCCGTAAACGTGCCACGGCTGCCTCCTCCTTGTACATTCCATCCTTCTGGTACTTTCATTTCGCACGTGGTATTGTAAGGAAATATTTGGTGTTGAGCAAAGAGATGCACATTAGTCCTTGTATTCCAAAATGCAAAAAAACGTGTTTTTTAGGTAAAAAGGCATTGTGGGATAAGTATGAAACTTTCACAAATTAAGTATCATCATATTACTGATATCTATGCCAAGTTGAATGCAATCAGCGCATAAATATTGTAAATAGGCAGAACAATTGACAAAACAATGAAATGGGTTAACTTTTACGATTAAAACAGATACGTTCCTTGAGACTAGGAGACTTACCATTGTTTATTTGTAATTCAACTTTGATAAGTAAGAAAACAAATTCGGACCTGGAACTCACTTCAGGTACAGGTGCTGAGCACATATTATGATATGTATTATAGACAATATTAACTTTTAATAAGTTATATTTATAGCTTTAAAAAGGTGCAATGCACCTTTTAATTCACTAACAATAGAGAGGTATTTGGAATTGCCAAGTTTGAGATGTTTCCAGAAGCCATAACTCGTTATAAAACAAAAGGAAAGTGTTTAGTAAATATGTATTTTATGTAAATGTACTCTAATGAGTAAAGTTGTAAATTTCAACTCAACATATAAAATAAAAAGGAACAAAGCACTGTTCATTTGAAAATTACCTAAAAGAACTCTCTGACCTAATCCCCCGTTATAAATAAATAATATTTAATTGACGATTACATTTCTGTCATTTTTCTTCTTTTGTATATGCCTGTTTAATTTACACATGTTATCAAAAACAGAAATGATGTTAGGTTGGTTGTTTTAGCTCATTTTGAAAACAGCATATGTTATTTGTGATTTACCCCAAAAACCCACTTCCGGTCAAACTGTTGCCTTAGTTATTGGGCATGGAATACAAAAGGACACCATCAACAAATTAAGGAGATGAACTCCCAATATACTTTGGCCAAAAAATATAGACACTCATCCTTTGCATGGAATAAAATATTATTTAAGGTACTAAGTAAAGGAGAAAGGCCAAAAACTGTCCATTCTGTGAGAGAACAAACTGATCGAGGCTTGTAGGGCCGATATATGTGCATTCTCTCACAGAATGGACAGTTTGAGACTGTTCTCTTACTTAAAACACAGTACCCCTTTGTATTAATAGTTGGCACCTTGTTGTGTTAAGAATGGACAGCTACTGAACAATGTACAGGTAATGAAGTTAACAATGACAAGGCATTTGTGTGTATGCAGCATGAGCTATGGTCATTCATGCATGAATGCATATTATTAACTTACTGGACAGGTACAGGTAGAGTTACTATATTGGGAAATGCACGTAATTTTCATGTCCAAATACAGATATAGTGAATCCTTGGTATTTATCAGTCAGTCCAGCTTGGTCACTTGAAGCAGGAACATGTGATCATCAGGAGATGGCAATATCACTTTCAACATCATTGTGGAATATTGTAAATGTTAAGACATGTTGATTAACACAGAGAACAAAAGTAAGTTTACTCAGGTGGCACTTAGATTGCAGCATCATGATAAAAATAGATAAAAAAAAAAAAAAACGAAGCAGAGGGTAAAACAATTCATACCTCAAATATCCTCTAAACCAACACTGGTGGCAGTTAAATGATCTCCCCTTTCCAGGAAATAGCCACTATATTCGTGAAACATCAGGAAATGTCTATTGGATTAATTCTACCTCCAACTATGGATCATTGTGTGTGAAAATTTGTTGGATTATTCATAAATCAAGATTTGTGTTTTTCTATTCCGTCAATATTCGTATTTTAAAAGAATTATTGGATTACTGTATTCCATCTTCAAATAAGTTTTACAGCATTCTGTTGGATTACTTTATTCTCAAAGAGTTTTCTCCTCAATAAAATTCAAAAGTGGTATGGGCAAGCTGATTATTTCTGAATCAAATATAACTATATGTTGTGTGTCAATGGATTATATTTTGTTAAATTTTTAATATATTTAAACGTACATTTATATAGTAACGCCATATGTTGTAAATAAATTGTGGATTTTCTTCAAAATGTTGCTGGTACTTAAAATTGTTTTTGTTATCTGTAACTGTCCATTTTAAGGCCGGTTACTGTCAGTTATTTAACATAACAATGGACAGCTACAGGTACTTCATTGTACATTCTAATATAATGTTCAATGAGAACAAATGATGATGTCACAACTGTGTTTTAACTCTGTTTCTTAATCTGGTATGTAAAATATTTACTTTTTAATCGCCCATCAGATAATTATTTGGAACTTTTAAATATTGAACATTTAAAAGAGAATTCTTAAACGGTGTGTGTGAACTCTGTGTCTTATGGCTAGGTCTAATTAATTCCAACGTCGGATTGTAGACGGGGAAAAGGATGAGTTTGAAAGTTGAAGTCGGAAACTAAGTGGTAGACAATAATTAGGGGCATTACGGAGGTTGTATTGTGATTTTTATGAGACAAGAGGAGACAGTAGATAAGTAAGATAGGTGAATTTTGAAGAAAAGTTGTAGTTTTCTCCTAGATCTTCTCTGAGATAGGGGTTCGAACCCACTTTCAGAGTATAAAGATTCTCTGCTGGAATAATAGGGCAAACCCGTGATTATCCGTGCAGACTCCAGTTGCAGTTTTTCTAGTTTGTCTGCGTCACCAAGAGTACACCCATCCCATACCTCGCAACAGTATTCTAGTAATGGAAGAATATATAATCTGTATATTTTGTTTAGTGTTGACCTATTTAATATGCATTTTAGTTTGCGAAGTACACTTACCAGTTTTGAAACTTTTAAGCATATGTTGTAACTATTTTCCAGAACTACTCCGATGTGTCTATGATTATCCACGAAGTCAACACTTACATTATTAAAATTAATATCCATAACATAATCGAGTTCAATATTTGAAATAAGTAACGCTTTCGTTTTTACAGGGTTGAATTTAACTAACCATTTTCCCGCCCTTTTTTAGTTTCAATAGCACAAGACGATTCTTCCGAACAAAAATAAATATGTACCATCTGCTAACAATTTGGATATGCTTTCAAGATTATCGGAAATATCATTAATATTGAGAATGAATGATAAAGAACCTGGAACCGAACCCTGCGGAACGCCAGCATCAGTAGTTTCCACATGTGATTTAGTATGTCCAACAAACGCCTGTTGTTGTCTACCACTACACATATATATGTAACATACATGTAACATAGTTATTTAACCAATTTATCTTTCATCTGTTGTTTATTGAGTATTCATACCGGAATGCTTCTTGTAATTGTGGTCAGTAGACAGATGGTCTAAATTAATCGTACTTAAACAAGTTCTAAGCGTCAACATCAAATCTAAGCGAATCAATCCAAAATTTAAGAGAAGCAGTATAGAAAAAATAAATTAAACAAAAATGGCTTAAACACCCTGATAGAACCAAATTGACATCTATCAAACATCATCTACCCTGGTTAGGCAGACCAGAACGTAACTGCAAACAAAAACAAAAATAAAACAAAACAAAAAACCAAACCGGTGAGGGAAACTGACTGACGCACATAAATCGTCCACAAAAGCGGAAAAATAAAACCTCTCGGAGTAGCAGAACGACTCTTCTTAGGAAATATACTGCAATCAGGCAGGAAATAAGCAAAGAAAATGAGCACGAAACTCTTTTGGCGGACAGGAAGCTAAAAAGCGAGACAACATCCATGCTCAATACTCCATGGGTTATGCTCAGTTTCGCTTTTATACCCCTGGAATATGTCATAGAAAATTGAAAGCTCAATGTGCGCCACCTTGTGGATGCGACAAGAAACCTTGTTTAATTCTTTGATGAACATCAAAAGAATCTCGCCGTCGCGTAAAGGTAAAATAGATTGGCTTCGAAGTCGGGTGTTGCTTCTCTGTAATCTTCTAAGGACATGCATCAGCCTAGCGATTGGTCGGGACTTTTTACCTGATACCAATCAAATAGCTAGCCGCGTGCCTTCAGTTTTGCTAGAACATATTCCAGTACAGAGAACGTAAGTGAGTGTAAGCCCTAGAGTATCAAGGATGGACAACATCGGAATCGCCCCACTCAACTAGGGAACCAATCTTCTCACTGGAAGTAGTGACGAGGCAGATGCTCTCAACAAACAGTTCCAAGCTGTCTTCACAAAGAGGCCCCCCAATCCGGAGATTCCTACTCTCACCACACCCAAGTTTCCCATCATGAGGGATCTCATTATAGAGAAGGGAGTGAAGAAGATGGTCCGTGATATTAACGCCAGTAAAATCAAAGCCAGTGGTACTGATGGCATACCGAACCAAGTACTACAACAATGCCCAGTGGAACTAGCCACAACATATTCTAACTCATACCTTCCACAATTCAGTATGAATGGAGAACTTTCAGAAGACTGGAAAGTACCAACGTTACACCAATATGACGATTAGTAATTGTCACTTACTAAGTATCTGCAGGCTAGTGTCATGTGTGTGTTGTAAACTTGTCGAGCATATCATTTGTCGCCACTAGTCCTTCAGTTGCCATCTCCAGGAATACAACATCGTAACACACCCATATATATGCACAGCATGGCTTCAGGTCAAAACACTCCTCATCCTCCATACCCAGGGGTTACGCTCACTTACAATCCCTGCAATCCTGTCATAGCAAAATGAAAAGGCACAATATGCGCCACTTTGTGGATGAGCAAAGAAGACAACTTTGATCCTTTGATGTACATCAAAAAGGCTCGCGATCGCATAATGGTAAACTTGACTAACTTTGAAGTCAAGTGTCGCACCTCTGTAATCTTCAAATGACAGGTATCAGCCTAGTGATTGATCAGGTGGGTGTTTTTTTTTTACCTGAGACCAATCGAATAACTCTTTTCTACCTTCAATTTTTATTCGATGTGTGCAGAGAGCGTAGTTGACACTCCTATGAAACACAATTACCACTTATTACCCAGGATATTACCAGCATGTACGACAGGAAAACTTCATCAATGCCTTTGATAAGGTTCCCTATACCAAACACCTTTACACATTAGAGAACTTCAGTGTGAACCATGACACGGATTGTTTAAAGTCTGTATGACTTCAAGGACCCAGAGAGCACTTGTAGATGACAGCCATTCAGTAATACAGAGCATCGGCCCGGATTGTGTAGTAGACATGTGGTAGGCCTACTGCCAGATTGATCCCGAACTGGTATTAACTTGACTGTAATAGACGTTTTAATGAAATAATCTGGTGTAATTAGGTATTTTGAGTGGGAAATTGTGATATAATATAGGTGTGGAATAAATTAGATATAGGACTTTAACTTGAACGAACCTCAAAATCACCGGCACTTGGGACTAAATGTGTAAAAAATATTTAAATTGCTCGTTCTCATTATTTTTGAGGTGTAAGTAATACTTCTACTTCTACTTTGTAGTGACCGCCTTCAACACGCTGAAGTTTATGCCACTTGGACTACGCCTGGCTTAGCGGAACAATAGTTAGCTAGTATATTCTTGCCAACTTTTTTGTTCTTCATCACCAATATTATTCTAAACCTTTTCAGAAAGTTACCAATGCAGAAACTATGATACTAACCGACTATTGTTCAGTATAACATTACGCTTTGATGTGATTTTGTGTTTCCTACTGAACGCACCCCTAGATTTAAAGCATAATCGAACGCGCTATTATCAACTTCCTGATTCTCACTTCCGGGGTAAACAACGTGCACATGCAACTTCGATAAAATGTATGGCGCTAGTGATACACTCTTATATTTTCAATATGACCTTTTTAACATAGTGGTCATTACTATCTGATGTTGTAATAAACTATCTACATTCAAATAAAAAAGCAAGAGTGATGAATCCACTCTCCAACTTTCTGTACATTAAATTGTAAGGTGACTGTTCTGGTTTGGTAATGATGAATGTAGGGTCGAAATACCACACAGGTCCTGTCACCTCCCTGTGCGTCGTCAAAGGAAACATAATAGCAGGTCAGTAAGTGTTCTTATACAGACTGCCAACCTACAGCATGCTGTGGTTGAAGTCTGTCATGTGTGTTTAAATTTATAGATTACCTTACCCTGCTTTCGTACTTGCCAACCTCTCAAATGTATTGTATAGTAGACAGTTAATTGATTAATATAGCAATTAAATAACCAAAGATATAGTGAATCACAATGGGATGAAACAGTGCAAATAAAAATCAGCATTATCTTAACCAGGTTAGAGTTAGTCATTACCAGTATTAAGTAAAAGTAGACGTTTATGATGCTAGTTTAACAGTCCAGGTACCCTAATAATGTGATATTTCAAGGTGTAGGAAATTCAGTATGTCTAGGTTATCAACATCATGGAGTATGATGTTATGCTTATGAATGCACTATACAAAGACAAAAATGTCATATGTACTCACAAATTTGTCATGCATTTATAGTTTGTTTGTAACTTCACCTGGAAACATAATAGGATTTAGCATAAATACACTTCAGGACTTTATCCTAATTTTGTAAAAAATAAATAAAAAATCATTAGAAATATAATTTATCCTAGAAAGACTGCAAGAATGCTTGACAAGTCTCTTTTTTACAGGTATTGGCAATAGTCTTTACTTGTATGACTTGGAAGAGAGACAATGCATATTGAAACAGGCAGGTGTGATACACAGTGGAAACATTCATGGAATCCGGAAATGTAAGTATTTATAAACATATCATGAAAGGCTTTCAAAAGGCACGAAATATGTGCATTACAATAAAGGAAACGGCTATCAAGAATGCACTGGTTCTAACCACAGCAAATGATCAAGTAAAAATAATGTGATCATGCATAACAAGATGTAAATATATTTTTCTGTCTATTTAAAACTATGAACTTTGGTTTCAGCTTTATCCAATGATGTGCTGCTATGTGTGTTTGGAGGTAAAGTTTTACGAGTGGTAGGGGCTGGAAAGAGCCCTGGGGTGAGGACTTTGGACCCCCTCGGAGAGGAATACATGGCTGACGATTGGATCTGGGATGTTTGTTGGCTACAACAGGTATGCTGTCTTTTATAAATATTGTGTACATGTATATTAGGAATCTTTGGTACTAAAACCTGGTGTTAATACTAAATTGCTTTGCTTCTTATAAATATGTACATTTAATACTGAAATTGTTGTATGTGTACTGTGTAGGGATAATTAAAAAAGGAAATGATATACCAGTACAGTACTATCATTACACTTATCCAGATTAAATGCACTGCATATATACATGAGCTTCTCAAGATGTGTAACATTTGTTTTGCAGCAAGGACAGCAGGACCAGCTGGCAGTGGCTACTGCTCACAATGTGGTCCTCAGACTGGACAGTACACTGACGAAGCTGTCACAGGTCGCCTGTGTTGAGAACTGCATTCTGTATCTTTTTGCTTCTGTATGATCTTTGGAAACAAAAAAAAACATTATTGGGGAAAAAACTCCCACAATGAAAAAATCTTGTGTTATTTAAAGATCTCAGTATTCCACTAACTGTTATACAGTTACAGAGGATGTTTGACCTTGACAACACAGGACCTAGACCATCAAGTTACTGTTTTAAGTCACTGCCCTGAGCCAGTTATAGAAACCATTTGACCTTGACCCCTTATAAGACCCTATCTCCAAGATAATCTATCAAGTTCCTACACTATAAGCTAGCTACAGAGAACATTTGACCTTAAACCCAAGTACATACCTTGACCACCCAATCATTGCATCAGGTCCCTACACTATAACCCTGACAAAGACCTTTTGACACTGAGCCCTAGCTACAGTACTGTGCCAGGTCCGTTAACTATAAGCCTGAGAGAGAGAGCGTTTATCCTTAACACCTACAGTTACTGCGCCAAATTTCTAGGTACCTGCTGGGAACACCTTATCCTAGCTGCGGGGACAGTCTTCAATCAGGTGCTAATGTGGGCTCCTAATGGTCAGACAAATACCACTGGGCAGTCACTGGTCATCCACAAGCTAATTGGTCATCAGGTACCGAGTATATGATTCAACTGAATATGATATACAATATATGTTGTTGTATAAAAGTTGCTGAAATCATTTAAGAAGTTTATTTTGAAATAAGTTGATTTTTGGTATAATGGGGTCAAGATGGTATATAACAATATATACATGTAAATAACAGGGGACAGTGAAACTACTTCAAAATAAAAGAAGTAAAGAGAAACCTGATAATGAATTTCAACTTAATATGTTAACTCAGTGTAGCCATGAAGTTCAGGGGGGTTTTCAGAGAAACTACGCAAAGGAATATCAAACAAGATTATGAAAAAAACTTACTTCACTTAATTGTCCCTTTAAGATAATTGTGAATGCATACATGTAGTTTGCCTCAAGTTATGGGTTGGGCCAGCTGTCATGTTATGAAAACACTATTGTAGACGAAATTCTTTTAAAGTTCAAAATAAAAACATTTCAATTATAATAATTGAAATTTATGAGAGAAAAAAAGTTCAGATAGTGTGCTATTATTTTTTTGTGTAATTCAATATTCTTTTGAAACAAGCATTAAGAACTTCTAGCTAAATGCTCAGATGATGCATTTTTTATGACTTGTGAAATGTTTTGATTTCTTTTATGATACTTTATACCATACTGTATCAATATCCAGAAAAAAGACAAAGGTATCAAAAGATCTATTGCCAGTATTGCAGGTAAGCAATATATGGTGCGTATCATTTTCCAAACTAATATGTTAACCAACATATACAGTAATTTGCTTCATGTTTCTGATTTTTGTATTCCAGGGTGTGATTTTCTCTATTGAGTTCAGTTCGGCAAGGCGTCAAATCTGTACTGTCTCTGATGATCGGAGTGTGCGTGTCTGGCAGCTACAGTTCCCAGAGGAAACAGAGGACAGTGATCGAGTTATCTCCCTTGATTGGTGGCAGCAGTGTCAAAGTACAGAACTATTTGTCCTGTACGGACATTCCGCCAGGGTTTGGGACGTGAAAATCCTAACCTCTAGTATTGTCAGTGTGGGAGAGGTAATGAATTAAATGCATTTATATATATGGAAACATCAAATTGAAGATCCCACATTTACCCCTACATGTACATAATGTAATTGCAGTGGTAATCAGGGTCATTTCATTGGTCACATTCCAAACAGTTTGACAACTTGGATCAGAGTTGAAAGTTTATGACATGGAGATGGGCCCACTGATCTGATGTTGTATTCTGACATTCTCATTGAGAAATTCTTTCAATAGTTGTATAAATATTTAGGGTTACCAGTAACAGCACAATAAATATTGGGTGCCCGGTGTAGGTGAAAAGTAACAGTTTATTTTCTAAAATGTATTCCACTTTTATTTCTTTTACTGTATTTTCTATGAGTGCAAGTGCCTTTTTAATGTAAATGACTCAAATTGGCATTTTCTTTGCTGAGTTACATATTGTAGGCATATGAAAGGATAATTGTTTATAGAAGAGTTGTTTAATGAGAAAAAAAGACATGTGTGACGTAACTGTCAACCCTACATCATTAGGAGGAAGACTCCCTCATTTTGACAAAAAATTACCTTTCTCCCTTGAAACTCCTTCATTCAAGTCCAAACTCACACGCACTCAAAATCTACATTATGTGGTAAAATTATCTCCTAGTTACTTTATGGTGTGTGTAATAATCATAATAGGTGTGTCAGAATCAAATAATTGATTTTTGGAGTTATTTTGATACATAAAAATGGAAAGATAAATTGAGCACAGCAGTTTCAGTTGCATTTCACACACTTTCTCCCTCTTTGGAAATGTGGAATGAAGGAGATCTCCCTCATTGGAGGTTATAGAAGTTGACACCTTGATGTAAATGTTGATATTGATTCTAAAGATACTTCTCTAAATCAGCATAAGAATAATGATGAGACTGTACAAATGTGTTCATCATTATCTAAACACATGTATACTTTTTAGGTGAATCAAATGTAAAAAGAAATCAGTTATTGAACTTTAACCCATGGATCTTTCCTGTGATTGTTGACATAAGTTCGCCATGCTATAATGAACCTTTTCCTAGCTATCCCATGTTTCTCTTTGAAAACTGTTGCAGGATTCTACATGCTGTGTGTGGGACAACCAAGGGAAGATAACTCAGAGGTTCAAAGGTCACAAGGTAATACCTTTACTTATAAATATTCCTACATATTATATAGAAATTACCGAAATAGCTGAAATCTTACTAATGTATTTATTTTGAAAAATGTCTTGTCATGTTTTAGGTGCCTTACATTATGCAAAATCCATAGCTTGCTAAATGTGTCTTCTCAACATAAGGAGACAAACTATGAAATTTTAATCTATCTACTATAATAGACTCAACAAATGCCAAAGTCATACCTATTGTGTGTCTGTGCATGGGTAATGTCACATTCTCCTACAACCACTGTAGGTTTCCTCACTCCCAACTCGTTGGATAAACCTCCTAGGAAGTGGCAAACAGTTTTGTTTACCCATGCACCAGTGGATAACACCCAGGAATTTTCAACCAAATAACACACAATAGCCATTACTCACACATTTTGTTATAAAAATGATGGTTTTTGTCTCTCTTTGTAATGCAATATCTCCTAAACCAGCTATCGAGTGAATTAGAAATTTCCCATTTGCATTCTTCATTTATTCCAGATTACAAACGCATATAACAAATAATTCTAAATCCCTGACGAGGTAAGAAATGACCCTTAATGCCTTAGATAAATTGCAATTGGTATTTGTTCGAGAACCTCTATGTACACATATGCTCTGTTGTAAGTCGATTATCGGAGGGTTAGATTTGTTAACAGAAGATGAGTACCAAGCATATGTAAGATTAGTTTCTAGATTAATACATGTATCAGTAAACTTTGTTTGTAGGATAAGAGTATATGCAAGCTACTTTTGTAGGGGAAGAGTATATGGAGCTTGGCTGTAGAAGATACAGGAAAATTTGCAGTAAGTGTATTTTTACAGTTCTAATATCTTGTTTTCCATTCACGTAGTTTTGAGAAATTGCTCAGCAGAAAAGAAAGTTCATACTTTATTTAGTTATTGTACTGAAAGGATGAAATCATACAGGTTGTATAATTTCATGATGTTGTTTCAATTGTCAATAAAATATTTTTTACTCGACCGAATGAGATTTATAAATCAGGTGATTCAGGATTTCACCCAAGCAGTTGACATTTTTCTACCAAAACAAAGACCTTAAATACCCAAAACTACAAATTCAAATTCATCACATTGTACCATAAGGGTTCATATTCTAGCAGTATTCTAATTTTAGTGCTTTTCACAATTTAAATCTTGAGCTGAATTATGACTGCATTAACTGAAGTTTCTGTATGTATTATGAGTACGCTAATTCTTCAATGTGTTCATCTGTTGAAATTGAATGATAACATTTCTAAAATAAGTACTTTTACAGTATTTGACTACGTAAACGTAAAAAAACTACCTTTATAGGTAACTGGAGGGGGAGATAGTAGCATCAGGCTGTGGTATATGGATGAATCAAAGATGACAGACCAGTTGGTTTCTCATGTGTTGGTCCCCCCAAGGCAACAGGTAAGTCACTCACGTCTGATCAGCAGGTGTCTCACTGTTAACTCCACTGAACCATATGTGTTTAAATAGTTCATACACACTAATGGCATCTTGGTATAAAAAAATAATAATAACAAAGATGACTCCTCAAAATGATGTTTTATACTGCTCTTGTTATTTCGTTTTATTTTTTGTTCATAAACTGTAACGTGACTTGAGACATAGAGAAATGGTAATTTTCAAAATGGCTGCCCAGGATGAGGTACGTATAATAATAATAGTGATTGTCATATACATGTTTGAGTGATATAATGTTGGTTAATTTCTTCCCTACATTACCTTACAGGAGAGTGACACAGATTTCCCTCGTATTGTTGCCATGATTTCTTGGGATGGTGTGATAACCATGACGAATGAGGGGTAAGCAGTATTTTGTAGTAAGGAAACACACTACCTAGCTACAAGGCAAACAATATACATTTATTGACCTTATTGTGGGATGCGCAATTCTTTGTTCAGCCACTTGGAGCTCATGATCAGGTGTGTTTGCTCTCATCAATTTTTCTAGAGAAGCTCTGAATAAAGGAAATGTGATGGGGGAAACTTAGGTACATGATGCTGGCACAATATTTTTCATACCCCAGTCATGTAATCAATCTAATCAGACATGCTGTTTTATGATTTAATGATATGTTTATTTTGATTCTGTTAACAATTTCACATGGCTTTGAATCATAACCTTTACTATAAATTCTGTACCTGTTTCATTAGGAAGTTAATTCATGTTTAATGACTACATTCATTCAAGCATAATGTATTATACATGTAATCCATGTCCCTGGCAAAGTTAAAATATCACATACATTGTATTTCTAAATTCCAATATGTTATCAATAGAACAATGTATTATGATAATATTTAGATATTGATGATGTGTGTTTACAGGCGACTGATGTTACACAGCCAGAGCACGAGGATGTGGACTACCCTGATGTCTGATGTGACCTTCACCTCCTATTCTGTCTTGTCCCTGAGCCCTCATCACACCCACCTTGTTGCCCTTGGCAACATCAGTGGAACCCTCCGCTTATTGTTCACCAAGCAGTCTGGTAAAGGGCACACTTTTATCTACTGATGAGGAAAACATTGAAAAAAGTGTTAAAGAAGACAAAAGACAATTTAGAATAAGATGTATTATAGATATGTTTTGTCACTTTTATCTTTTCTAACTTTACTTTATTTTAATGAAATTTATGAGGCCATACTCACTCCAGACTAAATTGTCTGTCTCTGTGGACATGTAGGTTTCTTGACTGTAAATTAGATAGCCGTACATTGTAAAGTTAACGCTGATTACTCATGCCAAGAATCCTACAATATCCATATATGCCATTACTCTGCTTTATCTCGGGGAATGAGATGATTTGAAAATATCTTTTTGAAATTGGACACATTTAAAACTGATGACTTAATTTTGTTGCATATAAACCTGTTCGCTTATGTGTTTACATATGGGCTATTAGTTAAGTAACACAAATTTTGTGTGTTGTTACCTATGACTGATGATTGTGTTCCCAGATATTGATAATGATTGTAATTCACATGTGAGTTACAGGTATTCTGGTTTTTCCTGCAGATACAACCTGCAATGTGATGGATTTGGAGTGGTGTCAGAAAGATTTCGATGTGCACCGAGGAAAAGTGTATAGCATCAACTGGATCTCAGCCTCCAGCCTACTGACCAGTGGTCCAGATGGTGAAATGGTCAGTCGGTAATTTAGTACAAAATTTCAGTAGAAAGTGGAAGTTATAGATGTACTTTAGATTATGTAGCTGGTATGCTATGACAGGGCTATACAATAAGGGTAGCCCTATTGTCAGAGACTAGTGAAATCTCCAGCTGGATGAGTGGTTCTCTAAATCGCTTGCCTGATTGACTAGTCAAAATTTGATATTGATTATCTTGTAGAATAATAATGAGTTAGTGGAATTTACACATGGACTGGTAAAAATTGGAAACTACTACCCCAATTGACTAGTGGAATTCAAATTTGATTCTAGACCTGTATGATGATAACTGCTTTGGATAGCGTTTGTAAATTTTAAGCAAAGCAAATTTTAGACAACAATACTGATACCTTATTATACATCTATAATTTAGCGTTCAATCTAAATAGCTAAACAATTTTGAAAAGATGCAAATCTGAGTAAACAAGATCACCTACATGTCCTTACTACATAAAGACTAATATCCATTGTTTGATTACAGATATACTGGGAGCTGGGGCTCTCATCAAACCAGGTAACCCTACAAAAATTGTGTAGCCTAGAGTTACCTCCCTGTAAACACCGGTGGGTGTCGGCTGCCACCATGACCTCTGACCTGCTGGTGTGTGGAGACCGTGGAGGTAGTGTACATGTTTACTGTATGAGGACATCACCCTCCCCACAATCACAGGTAAGATGATCTTTGTTAGTATTATCGTTTATCGTTTGGACACATGTTAGATTTAAATAAGGGGGAGAGTCCCCCTTAATTGGTCTACCCCTTTTCAATTCCTATCTAGGTCTTTCTTTTCTGAACTGGTCTTCTGTGATCACTGAGGACATTATTATTTTACTACATAATTACCAAAAATGGCTTTGAGAAAAGCCTCCTAAAAGGGTCAATGTCTTTTCACTTTTTGCTTATACATGTATCTTTCTTTTTCTAAATGTCTGCCCTTGATCACTGACAACATTATCATTTTGCCGCAAAATAAACCCTTAAAGGGCTTGTTGGCTATTAGAATATACAACCTGCTAGAACAGTGAATCAGTATACCAGTAGTGACCTGTGTTGGTATCCTATTTCAGTCATCTGTCCAAACGTTTTACCGGATTCATGGTAAAACTTGTGTGACTCATATCTGTTACCATGACAACTACATCTACTCAGCAGGGAGAGATGGGACATATAATCAATATGAGGTCATTGAGGACAAACTAGTTCTCCTCCACAGTAACAAGGTAAGTGTTCTCCTTAGTAACAAGGGAAGTGTTCTCCCTAGTAACAAGGTAAGTGTTCTCCTTAGTAACAAGGTAAGTGTTCTCCTTAGTAACAAGATAAATGATGTCCATAGTAACAAAGTAGGTGTTATCCTCAGTAACAAGATGGATGTCGTCAGTAAATAGCTGTAAATATTACCCCTTCTCGGAAGTGAAATTCAAACAAGTAAGACCTGCCTGCTTTCTGTATATGCATCTTTGTAAAACCAAATTTCGTGTATCTTTATAATACCTTATTTATTTGTTTCTTTGTTGTCACAGATACACAAGGGATTTGATTGGTTGGACAGATTGGACTTTACCTGCAAAGACAGAGACCTTCTTGTATATGGTTTCCATTCGGTAAGTCTCGGCTAAACATACAGTTTATTATATTTAGATTTTATCAGTCTTTATATTCAAATAATTGTATTTCTATTGAAATAAGACACAATAACACTATATCAGGGGTTACCAGATTTGTTTACCAATTAACTTCCACTGGCTTTCAGTACATTTCAGTATATATCAGTTGTTTTTGATATAGTTCAATGCATTTAATGAAATATTTAGATAGTGGCCAGATCAGGGGATGATGAATTGAGCCAGTTGATGGACAAATTTAATATAAACTATTTTATAGTTCATTATGCTAGTCCTAGGACCAACTCAGTTCCTCACTGTGTGAATTTAATCATAGCATAGCTATTCCTCATGAAATGCCATGTGAATGAACTTGTTTCTGATGCTTAAATACTAAGCATGTCATTTTCAATTTGCAGTATGTCTGGTACATTTAGTTCAGTGTAAGAACCTATGTCTAAATCCATTTGCACTTAACACTTCACACTTAAATTTGCAGAATAATTTTGTATTATGGAGTAACCAGAACAACCAGAGGCTGGTACAAATACCATGTGGGGGTGGACACAGAGCCTGGGACAGCCGTATCCATGGCAACTCCATCAGATTTGTGTACATCAGGACAGGAGAGGTAGTTTTGTGTGAGACAGAACTCTCTACAAATCAAGTGCTACTCAAGGTAATAGACCAACAGCTTCCTTAGGTCAACAGTGAATGCATTTACTTTCTTGTTGTTGTATTTCATTTTATCTTCTTTGTTGAAAAAAAAAATGAATCAAGAATTATCATAATGTGTTTATTCATTAGCTCAGCAGCCCATTGTACATTTAGTCACCATTTTTAATAATCTGTGTATAAAAAAAAGGCATGGAGCAAGGGTATCAAAGGTAATCTTTTTCACTTTGACACTTACATTTTATTTACCGTACTTCTTACAGGAGAGTCTGCATGGCAGAGAAGTAACAGACATTCTTCATTTAAAGTCTTATGATCAGGGTAAGAATACAAGACTCTTCTATGACTAAGGGTGTAGGATATTGAAATTCCACCCTCTGGAATTTCAAATTGGTGACAAACTGTCAGGAGTGTAAAATAGGGAAATTCCTCCAAAGGGGTTTTCAAGTAGCTATATAGGGTAAAACCTGAGGCTCTGCCAAGGGTAAAACCTGAGGCTCTGCCAAGGGTTTGCACCACTTAGAAAATCCTAAGGATGGAATTTCCCTATCTACATCCCTGGACATGAAAGAGTATTTTTCTCTCATTCCAACCACTAAATTAGCATAGAAACAAACAAAACAAACTCAAATCAGAATAATCCAATTTCGTGATGTCACGTCAATGTTGTCCCATTGTGATGTCCCACGTGAAATTGGGTGTTAGATAGAAATTTCTAACACTCCTTCTTACCCTGGACAGTTCTGTCATATAATCACATGAATGAGAGAAATATGAATCTTTATGTTCAGGGTAAGAACAGTGAATCCTATGATCTTTATAAGAAACATGATAGTTATGATCTTGATAAGAAACATGATTGTTATGATCTTGATAAGAAACATGATTGTTATGATCAGGATAAGAAACATGAATGTTATGATCAGGATAAGAAACGCGACTGTTATGATCTTGATAAGAAACACAATTGTTAAGATCAGGATAAGAAACATGATTGTTATGATCAGGGTAAGAAACATGATTGTTATAATCAGGATAAGAAACGTGATTGTTATGATCTTGATAAGAAACATGGTTGTTATGATCAGGGTAAGAAACACGATTGTTATGATCAGGGTAAGAAACATGATTGTTATGGTCAGGATAAGAAACATGATTGTTATGATCAGGGTAAGAAACATGATTGTTATGATCAGGATAAGAAACATGATTGTTATGATCAGGGTAAGAAAAATGATTGTTATGGTCAGGATAAGAAACATGATTGTTATGATCAGGATAAGAAACATGATTGGGTTTAGGAGTGGCATGTGTAACTACTGTTAAACACCAATAAACTGATCAGCTATCACAATATGCAGAAATATTGATGTACATTTCCTGTCTGCTTGTCCACAAAAGGAAACAAGTCAATAAAAGCCCCTTTTATGAAGTTATGAACTGTGTGAAATTACATCCAATTCCATTCAAAGTTATCAATCTATAACAATGATGAAGAAGACTGACTATTGATTTACATTCACACCATTGATATACATACTCCTGTACCACATCAGGGTAGGGGCAGTACTTTTGTTCAAGAAACTTTTATCTCAGAAAGAATATTTTTTAAACGTCACTCTGGTGAAATACTAACGTCTTCCTTCCAACTCGGTCAAGGAGAATTTCTCTTTAGCTCATTTGGTAGAGCATAAGACTAGTAAGCTTAAAGTCCAGGGTTCAACTTCTTGAAGATGCTTTGAAAAATAGTTACCTTAGGGACCCAGAAAATAATGGCAAAAATACCCAGTCATACTTTCACAAGAATCCCTATGACCCAAGTTAATTCCTTGAGGGGGAGTATATATATGTCACCCTGGTAAAGTGCTGGCTGCTTTCTACTGATTCGGCTTCTTTTTAGGTCATTCTGTTAGTCTTAGACTAGTAAACCAGAGGTTCTAGTAAAGTAATGAAAAAATGACTTCTATTACATAAATGTCACCTGAAATTTAGCATATATGTTTTGTTTTCATGTTTTCCCCACCAGGTGGCAGCCCTGTTCACATCATTGGTACATGTAGTGAGGACACTCAAGTCAATCTCCTGTCACTAACAGGTATCCTTTAATTGTTTTAACATACACTTACCTAGCTGGTAATAATAGGTAAATTATTTATTTTCACTTGTTATAAACATGCAGAACTTGAATCAATTCTACCTAATGTATTTTGATGTAAAGCGTCCTTCAGACTAGAGGTAGGTGCTTATGTTTCTTGTACATGTTATTTTCTTGATTGTGATCATTTAATTTCTATAAACAAAGAAAACTCAAGTCAATACCCATCAATCTAGCCACCTTCATTCCCATCTTTATTCTCATAAAGTCACTGGATTGTAAATAAAGAAAACACTGTGTATAAAATCGCTGGTTAGAATGTGGACAACCAGTCTAGCATACTGTTGTGGTTGTTGTATTAAAAGGGTTTAGCTATGTATTGATAGCTGTATTCATCCTAACTTTCTTAACACTCCCTTAAGACAATCAATATGGTGTGACGGAGCTAAAACAGTTGACCACACTACAAGGTCACATCTCCAGCATTCGCACTCTAGCTATGTGTGGATCAGGGTTACCTTGGAAACAACCTCATTCTGAAAGGATTCTGTTGTTTTCTGGAGGAGGTAGAGCACAGCTCCTTGTATGGAGGGTGACCATTCCTAAACCATCTGGTCTCCACGGTAACACAGATTTGATGGTGGACGGTGTTTCACACGAGACTCTATATAATTACATGATTGATCACTGGAACAACAGGAACAGGAAGCCATGGAAAGGTCACAACCTCAAACCGAACCCCGAGACTCGCTTTATGGACCTGGCAGTTGTGAGGGTAAAGGATGTATGGTCTTTAGCACCACCTGGTGTCCATATTTTAATGGCTGCTTGTTCAGATGGCTATGTCAGGTATGTATCATCTACTCTGTATACAATATCTAGATTGGTTTGTGTATTATATCCCTCACTTTGTAGAGGGTATATAGTGATCACTGTCTGGGGGTAGTTCTTACTCTGTGTTCATAGTAAAAAGCTTGTGAACAAGATTTATCATGATTCTCAAACACATTAAGTTTATATTTACACTATCTTCTGTTCTGTCCTTGATTAGATTTTGATGGTTATGGGTCAGGGATCAAGAGTCAAAAGTCACACTTGACCATTTTAAAGTAAAAATCTTGTGAATAAGATATCTCACGAACACCTTAACAGATTTAGTTATATGTACATCATAGTTTGGTAACAAGAGATCTGTGTCAGATTGGATTTTTGGACGTTGTTGATGGAGGTCAAGGGTCACACTTATGTTTCTACATGAGCCCCGACTCACTTTCTTTTAATTTGAGATATAATCAATATAGGTGTGTGTATTATGTGGAAGAAATAAAAAGGGGGGAATGATTATTTTTTTAATTATGTGAAAAGCTCAGTTTACCCCTGTTACATTTGGTAAAACAGCAACTAGCCTAATGTTGTTTGTCTTTGATATTTAACTCTTTGTATTTTTTTTGTTTTTCTTACCTTTCCAGTAATTTACCTGGTGTGAACTCTTTCTTTGATTCATTAAAATCCTATCATTATTTTAGGTTCTATTGTTTTGATGAGGAGGTGCAGACCCTGACCCTCCTAGAGGAGTCTGCATTCCATGACCACTGTGTACTTCAAGTACTGAGCATGATCCATCACACACCAGATAACAGCAGCCATCTTGTGTGTCTCTCCGCAGCAACTGACGGCCGTGTTGCATTTTGGGATCTCAACCACCTTGTCTTAGATTTCATAGAGAAAAATTATCATAAAAAAGTTATCCGTGATGAAATGAAGTGTAAATGTTGCAGTGAAGGTGTAGAATCCATCCGTCCTGCTTCAGCAGATAAGAAAGACGATTTAAAAGTGACAAGTGAAAGAGAAACGGATTTACCTCTCCAAGATCATTGTCCAAACATGAAGGATCATTGTGCATGTCCTTGTCATAAACATCGTAATTTACAGTCAGAGTGTAGTACGGGACAGGGCACTGTCCACCATGAACATCGTCATGATGCTGACGATAACATCAACCAACGTTGTCAGGGAGATTCATCTTACACAGGACATTGTAATAAGTTGAAAACAACGGCTGCCACAGCCACCAGAGATAGTTTGGATCCCGTATTTGTGATATCATCTCATCAGTCAGGAGTAAACAGTCTACATATCTGCAAATTAACAGGTTAGCAGTTTTATCTTGTAAAGATACTATCTGGTTTATTTTATGCTTATTAATTGCAATGCCAAAGTATATGTTTTGTTTTGCATATTGTACAATGTAAGTCCAATTGATTGAAGAGTGAATTTGGTTATGTTAATGTGGTGAAGCCTTGGACGATAGAAGTGGTCATGTAATTTTGGAAATACATTGTAGAAACAATTGTTTTCCCAATTTTGGCAGATTTATGAATTTGTATGTATCCTATGTTACAGACTGTCAGTATATGGTAGGGAGTGGTGGAGACGACAATGCTCTGGGGCTGTCAAACATCACCATGGCAACCAACAAGGTCACCAGTCATTTAGAGGTCACCACGAATTGGAGTGTGTTAAAAGAAAATGCTCATTCAGCACAGATTACAGGTGAGAAGTGCATCTGTATCATTATGTAAATAACGAGGGTTTATCAGAGTTTGTTTTTTTAATCACAAGGGCAAGACTGTGTTTAAATATAAATTCCAGTAGAATCAATAAACTTAACTTACCACTGAGGGCAGATTAGGGCAGATTTCAATAATAAGGGTAAATCTTAGTTTTTAAAATAAAATTTATTTTTTAGAACAGCTCACAACAGAATATTTTGGTATATACCTGAACAACATTTCCACACTCTAATAAAGACTGAATAGATGTTAAATGATGGCAGGGTAAATTTTTACAGAGACCAGAAAACATTTGTTGGTATTTCACGTTTTTCAAGATGTGTTTTAAACAGCCAAACTTGTCCCTTGTTTTGATTTCACATAAAATAATTTCACAACAAATTTAATGAAATCAGTTACCAAGCCATTGATATTTTTATAAATCTTTTAATGACCAATATAACCATTGTCCTGCCGTTTCTCTACTTTTCCTAGGATTACATATACTAGGAGAAAGACGGGCTGTAACAGCTTCCGTGGATCAGAGGGTGTGTGTATGGGACATCTCCACAGAAACAGGAAAACTCCCGCAGGTTAGTATTGAAAGGGATTCCATTTTGAAATTACATCCATCTGTCACACACTTTGATGTCATTGCTTTACTGCTTCACGTTTCATTTGTTGCTACACAGATACATCAAACGAGTTCCAAATTCATGGTTGAGGATCTGAGGTGAAGGTCACTCTTATAAAAAGTTTACTATTGTCATTGCTTTACTGACTTTACTTTTCTTTTGATTTAAATGAGAGTACCCAAATCTGAAAGAGTTCACATTTCAGATTCATAGATTTAAAGTCGAGGTCAATGTTACTTTGAAAAGAATTTTAGTTTATCATGGCACTGGCTTCATTTTCCTTCTTATTGGATGAAACATTTTTCAGGACATGTATTAAGGACACTGCAGATTCCTCAAATGAGTTTTTGTTTCAGCAGTGTGGATATAAGGTCACTGTTACTGTGAATACCAGGGTTGAAATCTGTCATCAGTCTACAAATATTCTTGTCTTGCAGTCATTTGCCCATATGAGTAAACTCATATATCCCAAAAAGCCAAGTGTGCATCTGCCATTACACCGGGTTCATCGTTTGACTGTTGTCAACTGTTACTTTTCAAGTCTTCTAGTCCAGAACAGCTGAAGGGATTTTGACTGGCACTGATCATCCCTTAGCCAAGGGAATTCAATATAGGATCTCTTTGGGCCAGTGAGCTAAGATGATGCTTTATTTTGTATAATGAATAACAGTTTGGTTTAAACAATATTTTATTTACAAATATGCTGTATATAATATATAATTTTACATAGTGTAATATTAGGGATCTGGCAACAAGAGTAGGCTCTTATATTAAGCCATCTCCCAACAATGAGAAGATTGCAGTATAACACAAACAGGTTAAATAACATCAATAATTATATAAATTCAACTGATATACCTAATTTAACAATCAAGGCCGACCATTTGAAATAATAGGTAATAGGATTAGCAATAGAGAATAATGTTAATATTTACTTTAGAGAATAACAGTTTGATACTTAAACAACAATGTAAGGTGTTTTATTAATGTGAACAAATAAGAATAGTGATAATAAACAAGCACTGTGATCAGAAAATAAAATAAAAACAAAACACTTCATCAAAAGTGAAGGATGTGAAATACCTCTTTAAGTGTACACTGCTGTAAAACTATGTCACTGAAATGTTACCGGTAAGTGCATATTGAAATGATAATCAATGATACAGAGGGACAGTCCCTCTCAAAGAAACGACCAAAGAGTCCTCACTACTAACATCTTTAGTTTTCTTTCAAAGTAAACAACTACATGATATGTCCATATATTAATGCCTTAAACCTCTCCCACACTGGCTATGGTAGAGGTGAGGATTTTCACATCCCAAACTCTAGCAAAATGTCTGTACAATTGCAGTTTGACCATGTCTACTAATGTATTCAAATACACAATAATATACATTTAGCCAGTACATAATATTAGATTTTATCTATGACAGATCGAATTTGAAGTACATGTTACATAACTTCTGTTGTGGGTATTCAATTAGATGTTCAAGTAAATATTTTGCACAATACTGGTATCATCAAAAAGTTTAAGATTTGATTAGATAATTCACTGAAAGTTCAATCCAGTAGTGTAATTTATAAAACATAAATCAAATTTGATTTGGTAATTAGTAATGGCATCATCAAAGCTATTAAGTCTCCCAGCTCGTTCAAAATATTTTCACATTGAGAATTAGACAAAAGAATTGGGTCATAGGGTCCTAGTTCACAACAACGGATCAATGTCAAGAGTTGTTAATAATTTGAAGTGGAATGACTTGTCATATTTGAAGCTAACCTTGGTTTCTTGGCATTATCTAGGCAGACACTATCAATGATGTGTTTTGAAGTTTTTACCCATTGTATATTTTAAGCTGGTTTCAGCTTTGTGTCCTGTAACTGACATACTATCTACTCAGGAAACTCCCACTGTCAATCAAGCTAGTGCACAACGAGGGCTCCTAGGGAATGATTTGTGTACTGAGATGACAAATCAGTTATCTTCAGCAACACTTATTTGAGGCATCATTCCCCCCGAGGTGATTTAGTCTGAAGGGGAGGCGTCCTACCAAATCTTACCACTTCCTGCATTGAAGCCCAATGCTTTAGTCGCTGGAGAAAATATCTACACATGGGGTTGAAGTGATTGAACAGTTTCGGTCATCTGTAAAAATATAAAGCAAAAAAACCTTTTCGAAAATCAATTTAAATAATATTTTACGGTTAAATATCATTATACTTTAATGTTACCTTATCTCAATTCAAACTTTTTACAACTTTCAGAATACTTAAGTAGAATATCTTTAATAATCAACGTACAATTTTCATGATTCTTTGACATTACAAATTCAAGTTAGATACATAATTATGTAAATGTTTTCAAAATTATGCATACCTTCAACTTTTTTCATCCTGCCATTTGCTGAATTCCATCATCTTGATGGTTTTTAATGAGTTTGTTGTTAGGAATATAAACATATGTTTCCTGTTGCAGCAGCCATGCAAGCAAAATCACTTATTTTCATATGATGTAGATTTTCGCTGCCTCGTCGACCAAATCATAGGTCATCTTGTTAGTAAGTTGGAAGTTTGACAGATCCTTTACCAGTTTGGTCTAGTTCCTTGGGCACAGCTTTGAACATCACAGAACTTTCTTTATCACATGATATTGAATTCAGTGGTAGTTGACATATAATTGTTCAGACCATGTTGAATGGAAGTCCGGCTTGATTTCTGACAAGTCTCTCCTTTCCTGTTCTCACCTTGGCAAAGAACTTCTCAAGCACACAATCAGCTTCAGTTTATAACATATTGTTTGAAAGATTCAACTCCTTTCTTCTGTTTCAAATACATACAAAACAATTATGTCATAGAATCTTTTGTTTTATTAATGTTTCCAGAGTCTTTGTCTCAAAGATTCAAAAGTCATTTTCTTTCTAAGCAACAGATGAAAAATGTATGTTCATCTGCCATATTGTTGACTGTAATTATATCGAAGAAAAGGCAGTGATTAGCATGCAGTAATTTGACCTGCTGTAAGTTCAAAGACAGGGCAATTACATACAAATTTATTATTAATTACAATCTGTATCACTTTTCGATTCTTTGAACAGATTTACAGACTTGTCACATGACCTCACTCATCCAATTAGAGCTGAGAATTAGCAACAGTCATGCACCACAGCTAACTTCTGTCAGACCTCTGTGAGACATACATACATAGATACACCACATCTATGCTCTGTCAGACGTCTGTGAGACATGCAGACATATAGATACACCACATCTGTCCTCTGTCAGACCACTGTGGGCCATGCAGACATAGATACACCACAGCTATCCCCTTTCAGACCACTGTGATCTTTGCAGACATAGATACACTACATCTATCCTCTTTCAGACCACTGTGAGCCACGCAGACATAGATACAAAAGAGCTATCCTCTTTCAGACCACTGTGATACATATACATACATAGATACACCACAGCTATCCTCTGTCAGACCATTGTGAGCCATGCAGACATAGATACAAAACAGCTATCCTCTGGCAGACCACTGTGAGCCATGCAGACATAGATACACCACAGCTATCCCCTTTCAGACCACTGTGAGCCATGCAGACAAAACAGCTATCCTCTGTTGGACCTACGTTGAGCAGTACATACATAGACACACCACAGCTATCTCCTGTCAGACCTCTGTGATGCATTCATATATAGATACAGCACTGCTATCCTCTGTCAGACCTCTGTGAGACATACATACATAGATACAGCACAGCTATCCTCTGTCAGACCTGTGTGAGGCATTCATACATAGATACAGCACAGCTATCCTCTGTCAGACCTCTGTGAGACATCCATACATAGACACACCACAGCTATCTCCTGTCAGACCTCTGTGATGCATTCATATATAGATACAGCACTGCTATCCTCTGTCAGACCTCTGTGAGACATACATACATAGACACACCACAGCTATCTCCTGTCAGATCTCTGTGAGACATACATACATAGACACAGCACAGCTATCCTCCGTCAGACGTCTGTGAGACATAGATACACCACAGCTATCTTCTGTCAGACCTCTGTGAGGCATTCATGCATAGATACACCACAGCTATCCTCTATCAGACCTCAGTGAGACATACATACATAGATACAGCACAGCTATCCTCTGTAAGACCTCTGTGAGACATATATACACCACAGCTATCCTCTGTCAGACGTCTGTGAGACATAGATACACCACAGCTATCCTCTGTCAGACCTCTGTGAGGCATTCATACATGTACATAGATACAGCACAGCTATCCTCTGTCAGACATATATACATAGATACACCACAGCTATCCTCTGTCAGACGTCTGTGAGACATACATACATAGACACACCACAGCTATTCTTTTAATAGCGGGATTCCACTCATGAAAAGCAGTCTTTGATTGTGCTGACTCCCAGTAAGCTCTGATTGCCCTGTGACTGTCTCTAAGTATTTGGTAACAGATCCCGAGGAGAGTGTGAACTATCCAGTATTTGTGTCCTCCTCGTTCTTTATCATGTTGGAGTTCAATCAGTTGGTGTAGTGCTGCATCACATCCTATAGTATCTCCAAGCTTGTGATAACACAGGAATGACAGAAACACAGCATACGGCAATGGTGGGATAGATACATATGCATTGTCTTTCAACATTTCTAGACAGAGATGAGGAGGATAAAAGTTTTTGCTATCAAAAAATATAATGTTTGCGAATATTTTCTGTAGCCTGTCTAATGTTTGTCCTTGTCGACAATACTCATGTCTATACCTTGCTTCTTGTTGTGGATGAAGCTTTGCTTTTGGTCGCATGCTATCAGTGAAGCATGATGCAAGATCCATGCTTTGTTTGCACATATCAAGAGATTTACTGAAATTTCCAGTCAGGAAGTGAAAGGTGGCCACACGCAACAGCTCTGTACCCATTGAAGCACTGGGAATCATCCAGTGTTTACATTTCTTTAGACTTCTGTACTTGGTCTTGTTGTTTGTAGCAACCATGTGATCTGGATAAGCCTGCTCTGTTGCAAGTCTTTGAAGACCCATCATAGCATAGTGGTATGTGTAAATGTCTTCAAAATCTGACTGTGATCTTGATAATAAGTCAATCCCCTCCCTGATGGTTCCAAGTGGAGTATCACGTGGTGCCATAGCCATTTTTAAAATGGAGGCAGTTATTGTATCCTGGTGGAAGGAAATTTCCTCTGCAGTTTTAGGACAAACAAACTGAGGATTTTTTGAGACATTACTCAGCTCTTCCCACATTGAGGGTTTGTAGAAGGTTCCTATGGACAGACACATCCATTTCATCTTACAAAATTTGTTCAAAATGTCTAACAATATTTGTTGATGCTGTCCATGGACTTTCCTTTGGAACAAGTTGTTGGTTGGGATGAAGTAGTTGGGACAGTACCCTGCCTTCACCCAGGCAATCAGTGTATTGAAGCAAAACCAGAAACAATAAAACAAGTTTTTTTCTTGCCAGAACATTTGACTCGAATTCTCTATTGCATGAAAAAGAGTTGTTTTTAAAAAATAGGAGCACAAGATATCGTCATCCCCGATGTCTTCTTTTAATGTGTCTTTTATTTGTTTTAAGAAATATTTCAGCAAAGCATATACTTTGAATTGGATGTGACTAAAGGAGTGAACTAAAGATCTCTCTGCTGTTACAAATGAAATTCTCCATTGTAAATTTGTTTCTTCAGAACATTTGTCTCCAACTGCAACTAGATGACATCCACAGTGTACAATCTTGTCAATCAAGGTGTGTTGTGGCCATCCATACAAACGTGTACGTGTAATCCATTCATTAGCCTCCTCTGGCCAACAGTTGCATGGAAAGGAGAAAGCTGTGTCAGAATCATATGAAAATGAATTTGCTGTACAGCTGGGGCCATTGGATGTGTATTTCAGACCTATATGTTCACTTAATAAACTCACCATTTGCTCTCTAAACTTATCACTGGAAACAAAAACTGAATCTTCAGTTGCTATAAGTGAATTATATAAATGTAAATCAAATCCCTGTCCTACTTGGCCAAACTGTAGCTTTACATAGCCAGGGCGGCAGTCTGCCTCTCTCATGTACAGAATTGTCTTGTGTGCCATGTGTGGAGAAATGCACTGATCAGGGTACATAACTGTAACTTTCTTGATTATTGCCATGACATCTTCATCTGAACCCGGTAGATAAAATCCCTTTGCATGGCTGCCCGTTAGAAATTGATAAACGTTATTGCGGCCAGTATTTTCTAAATGTTCCTGTAAGACTATGGACCTCTGAATGATGTCCACCTCCTTTTGTGTCCCTGTAAATTTGTGATCTAAGAATGTTGACAGGAGTACAGACCTTTGCTCACTATCCAGGGAATCCATTCTGATTGTCTTCCGGATGTAATCTGTAATACAGAAATTAAAACTAATACTTTGAGAATGTGGTAATGCCTACTTTTTCATCAACTGAACTGCAAGTTAATTTTCTAGTATAACTTTACTGATACATGTACAGTGGAATCTGCCAAAGTGAATGGCCCTGGCACAACACATTTTAGCTGCGATTAGCCAAGAGTTCCATATTGTAGAGATTCTATGTGTCAAACATAATTGTAATTATTGAAATCAAATTCTTAATGGCATGTCTAGACATAAATCTGAATTGGACAGAATCTGGTGTAGACAGAGTTTGATTTAGACAGAGTCTGCTTTAGACAGAGTCTGATTTAGACTGAGGGTACTATATGATATGATTTACCTGAGCACCAGTTTTACAACCATATCTGTACTTCAGGAAATAATTTTTTCCATGTTAAAGTCAGGAAAGATCTTAATTTCTGGAAATATTTTTGATAACTTAAGGAATGTTTTCCTATGGAAAACCATAGGTTAAGGAGCCATCATGAAAAAGGGTTCTGCACACTCCTGTGTGTTTTAGATACTACTATCATTTACACGAAATGCAAATTATGTACATTACAGGATGGTAGGAGTTGCTAAATTCCAGTTTGTAAGAAGGAATCTTGACCTGTATCTCATATTCTGTATTGACAGTGTACAGTAAATACCAATTGACAACAACTTGTTTTATTTATTAGAAATAATCCGGTTTAACAAAGCTTATTACTTCAGATTATAATATTACTGCTCCTATTTGAAAAATTATATCATTTTAAGCAAAATTAGATTTCAAATTTTAATTTTGAACAATTTGAACATTAAATTATTTTAATTCCAGAGAGACACTGAAACAAACTCAGTTTACAAGGAAACAAAAACAAAGATGAACAAAAGTAGTGATAAAATTAAATATTTCTGAATATCATTATCTTGCTTATCATCAGAATTAACATAAAACTATATAAAAACAAGATTTAACTCAAGTGTTAGCTTAAACAAAAGCACACCACCTTCCCATGATGTACAAAGTTTGATGCCATTTCATAAAACAGAAGCTGAGATGTGCTCTGGAAACCATTATCTCACTACATGAGGTTTCTATATTACCTAATGTTTTACTTGTATTGTGTATTGTCTTTACAGATACAACTGGTGTGGTGTAAATTTGTACAGGTTTCTGACATTTCCAGCATGACTGTATGGATCTCAGACAGGTGAGATATAAAAAATACATATGGCAAAAAAATAAGGGTTAACAAGAATGGTATTATATTATATCATATTTTGTTAAAATATGTTGAATTTAGTATGAAGTGATGTATTGGGATGTATGCTGTTGGTATATTAAATATTTGAATAATTTGTTACTGTTCAGCGATAGTTTTAGACGTTGACTTTGGGCGGGGGTCATGTTTGTAAGTTTTTGCACTTAGCAGCATGTGTGACCACCATCAGCCTTGATGACTGCATTGCAATGATGCAGCATTGAGCTAGTATAATATATTGTTTGCTCTAACTAACTGAAGAACCTAGTAATTCGTCCGTCAACTTTGCCTTTTAAATGCTACAAGTGTATTTAAAACCCATGGCACTGGAGGATTGGCAGCATGAATGCATGTTTGTTTTTCTGGGTTTTTTTTTCTCATTGGGCAGACCTCCTCATGGTGTCTGTATCATTGCAAAATATTCTCATTAAATATTATACTGCAAATATTTCCAACAATTGGATCTGTCTCTCAGGAACACCCTTACATTGCTTTGTCCCCATTGGGTTGGAGGTACAGTATGGTTTATAAAACATTGCAACCTGTTGGGCCAATGATACTCTATATCCAATTTAGTTTAGTTCCCTTCTTCTGTATCAAAGAAAAAGTATTACTTTATAACTTATCAGGCTATGCCCCTCTGCCCCTAGGGGAGTAAAAACTACAAGTTATGTTAAACTGAGTCCTTGTTGCTCTAGGGTTTGTCTAATCAGAATTTGGTTGAAGGAAAAATATTTTAAAGATTTTCCCCTATTGCTCCTCTTGGGGCCCCTCTCCCTTTGCCCCCTGGGGGACCATAACATCTAATTATAATACAGAATTGAGTCCCCTTTACCCAAGGATGCTCTACACCAAATTTGTTTAAAATTCTTCCACTAATACAGAAGAAGAATGATTTTAAACATTTATCCCTGTGTCCCCACTAATGACCTGAGCCCCTCTGTCCCCCGGGTGGGACGGGGGCACTTGCACCCTCTGTTTCTACAAAGTTGATTTCTCTTTACCCTAGAAAACTTTATACTAGATTTGGTTTTAATCCCTCCATTTTTACGGAAGAAGAAGGATTATTTTACATGTTTACTGTGTTACCCTCCCCTCTGTTCCCTTTCTACAAAATCTACTCCCCTATTTGGCCCCGCCTTCTGCCCCGTAAAGGAGGGGGGGGGGGGGCACATTCTCCATTTACAAATTGAGTCTCCTTTGCCCAAGGATGCTCCAGGCCAAATTTTGTCAAAATCTAATGATCTGTTCAGGACGAGTAGCGTTTTAAGGAAAAAGTTGACGGACGGACGACGGTCGCCGCACCATGCAGTCCTTTGGACTAGATGAGCTAACAAAACTAGGCCCATCTCGCTCATGTTACAAAAACATCATCGATACTCAAGAGGTTACGCTCTCCGACTTCAGACAGCATTATTGAGCGGATTATCGAGGATCATACATAATATAACCAAAGTAATAGCGTGCAAAAACGATAGTTCATTGTCTCCTTTTTACTTCACACTTTACTTTCTCCATTTCGATTTGACTTTTATTATGGTAAAAACTACTTAATGAAACTGTAGAATACATTTATGGTAAGTTTCATTATGCTGTAACATAATTATTTTTGAAAACTTTATCGGATAAGCACCGCCAATGGAAAGAATTTTTTAAAATCAAATAAAGTCACAATGGCTCAAATTAAGGTATACGATCGTGTGCTCGATGTATTCTACTTTCGGTTTCATAATCACCACTTTACTTGTGCAGTAGCATATCAAATTATCTAAATTTTGTTATAGCCTATACTGCTTCAACTTCTAAATGACCGTTCCACGGACTTCGTTGCCTCAGATATATATCCCCGAATAAGCGTCTGTTTAATTTGGTCTGCCATTTACAAATATAGATGTGTAGAGTCTCGCCTTTGACCAGAAGAAGTCAGAATTCAAAAGAGAAAAAAGGTGTGATTTTTAGCAGCATTTGGTTTTAAAAGGAGACATACTTTCACAGACCTATCAAATTTCAGCATTCAATACTTAATAGTGTAAATTAGCAGAAAAAAATATACTCGAACTAATATCGCTGAAAACTAACACCATGGCATAACTCACGAGAGTAAATCAGTTTCGAGCTCCGTCTTGGATTGTGAAAGATAAAATGTGGGTCGAATAGTTTAAATTTTAGAAATATTAACCCTTTTCAATGGAGTTAAATCCAAATATTAAACCAAACCAATCAAATAAAAGTAGCCTTAGTAATAATTATTTCATGGAGATTAAATTAACTGCAATGAATGTTTTGCATGGAATAAATATTAAAAGGTCACAAGTTAAATACGAAATATATATTTTAACACGTTTCATTAAAAAAATACAAAGTTCTTGCCCAACAAGAAACTTTTTTGAAATAAAATGGGAGCACATCACATGCGTCGTGCAACTCGACGTTGGCCTATGTGTCGTCCATCTTCTTACAATCATCTGACCAATTACTAGACTTACATTTCTTGACATTTCATTTATATAGACGTCAAATCTAAGTGCAACTCGACGTGGGCCTATGTGTCGTCAATCTTCTTACAAAAAATCTGACCAATTACTACACTAACATTTCTTGACATTTCATTTATATAGACATCAAATCTAAGAAAATGAAATGATCCGATAGCTAAAGCTATTAGGCTCAAGGCCGACAATCGGCACTTCGACATGGTGTTTCTTCTCTGACCGATAGATTACAGAGGAGTGACACCCGACTTCAAAGCCTGTTAATTGTTACTGTTACGTGACCGCGAGATCCTTTTGATGTACATTAAATGATCGAATTAGTCTTCTTGTCTCATCAACTAGGTGGCGCACATGTACACTGAGCCTTCGATTATGCTATGACATAGTCCAAGGGTGCAGAGAACGAAAGGGAGCGTAAACCATGGAGTATCGAGGAAGATATGTCGCCGTGCATATAACTCGAAGACGTTCTAAACTTCAACACTTATAACATTTATTGACATTTCAATTATATAGACGTCAAATCTAAGAAAATGAAGTAATCCGATAGCTAAAGCTACTAGGTTAAAGGCCGACAATCGGCACTTCGACATGATGTTTCAAAAGCGATATTTTGTTTCTAAATACAGTATCTGACGTATTTATGCTCTCTGCGATACTAAGATCACATGCCCAAAATTTTACATAAATTTGTCGGATGCACTTTTTGATCCTATACTTATATTATCGTTGTTTTGCCATGTAGGTTTCCGTGTGTTACATTTGTATATAATTCCTCGACACCATTTTATCAAGCTGTAGCTTTTGACAACGTGATCTGCTTGACGCTACATGAGGATATTTTAGTTTGGCCATCGTCTGTAACTGACAAAATACAACGGAACCTCGTCCGGAAAATGTAAGAACTTTTAAGTCATGAAACATCACGGAATTGGATTAGCTATATAAGTCCGTAAAACACGCATAACTGTGCAGTTTTGCTGAATACGCTTTTTATCTAGCTCAGAATGAACCCATACATGAAAAAAAACAATGACATATTTCATTCATGACCCAATCGTTTTGTAGTTTGTCAAACCTTCAAGAGTACGTATGCAAGTGATGCAACACATCCTGTCAATTTATTTTCGCTGCCGAAGCGCGAAGGAAACATCATTATATAGGATAAACGCTGTTTGCAAAAACAAAATATGATAATGTTTGCTGTGACCTTCTGATTTTGATCTATGTTAAATGGGGAAAAGAATGAAAAATAATTTTCTTTCAAATAAATCATATATAAGACTACCCGAAAAAGATTCTACTATAAATAAATTTTATTTAAAAAACTGCAGCTTAAATATTTTAAAAAATCTGGAAGTTTCTAGTAAAGCGGTCCCGGAACCTATATTGCGAGTGTTGAATGCGCATGTCATTTTAGTAGCGTCTGGTTGCTATGCATGGTAAAAATCGGTACGCCATCTTGAATATCGCTTCGAGAAAGACAGCGGGTTAATAGGAGCAATTGCCGCCCCTAAAAGAAAAATGAAAAATTCATTGTTGCCTTAAAAAACAAAATCATCTAGTCTCTTGCTTGCTAGGGTGGTTTTATCTTTGGTGCCTCTCTCTGTATTGGGGAGGTTGATCCTAGCCTCGTCTGTCAATACACCAACAATATTAACAAGGTTGCTAACGTTCCAGAAAACATGCGATTCTGTCACAACCGTTCATAATATCACACCGGGAGCAGTCTAGATTGGTAGGAATTTGCTTATAAAATGTAATTTGATGTATGATTTACCTGTGGATAGTGCCAAACACACGACACGTAAGCAGTTCAGTTTATGTATAATATTACTGCAAAAGGTTGCTTACTTATTTGTATGTTACTTCACGTTCATAGATCATCCTGACAGACATCCCAGAAATTCGATCAACCTTGACGAACAAAATTCAATGAAGGCTGCTATGTTATGTTCTGTTAAGGACTTCCCTCCTTGGATAGGAGAACCTCTGTGTTGAGTGGAGTATAACAACCTTGGTAGGATCCATTCCCTATAAAAATATTTACACTCGTTTTGGAGCTTTAAATACACTGTCCTAAAACGTGTAGGCCTATTCGAGCTTTATATACATGGTCCAAAGTCAAACTTGACTAAAACATGCTAAAACACGTATTGCACAAGGATAATATATTACGATTAAAATAAAACACCGCCTGGTGGCGCAACGGCAAGCTGCACTTCCATTCTACTGTGTACAAGCTGTTTTGTTTAGTTCGCACTGTTCACCATGTAAAGCTTGTAGCAGAGTCTACGTGTTATGAGTTCCAAGCGGTTTTGTACAGTTACATCCAAAGCAGGTAGCATAGCGTCACACAAAAGGCAGCAAATGCGTAAGATGGGCCTTGTTACATGAGAGTCAATAATGCAGGCTGGGATGTATTCGTGTAAGTAGGGGAGACTGGGGCAAGGTCTGCCCATGTTTATTAGTCATTCTGGGCATTATAACATATGTATGGAAATATGTATATACACTATTTGGAAGTGAAATGTCATTCCTTTCATAAAATAATAACAAAAAACCCGTCCGTATTTGAAGATTTTTGTTTCTGTCGGAAAATAGGCAGTTTATGGTACGTTCGGCCCACGTTGAAATCATAGCGAATTTGCGACAAAGATATTTTACATGTTTCGGTAAAAATGGAATAGAAAGGATGGAAAGCTCTCGATGTCCAAAAATCGACCCCACGTAATTTTCTCGCATCAAGAAGAAGTTGAGAACAACTTCAGAAAACCTTGAGAATGGATTTTCCCATTAGGGAACGTATTTTCTCAAAAAAAGAGCGTCTGTTCCCGCCAGGTGACGTCCTGAACCGGAAATAGTATCAACATAAAGGTGATCTTCGTAAGAAAAAAATGTCATGAAAACAATTATGAGGATTACAACAATATTGAAAGCGATGACGATAATAATTAATTGTTTTAAAAATAAATTTCTTCATAGTGTTAATGCTCATTGTATACCTCCGCGGTTATCTTGGTAACGTTTGTCAGACTTTTTATTAATGGAGAAACATATAAGGTAGTAGTATAAAGATGATGAATAGGAAGTCATAAACAATTTTCGTGGATTGTCGTGAGAACGATATTCTCATCGCGAGCACGTGGATAAAATCCAGAGGCCACCGTAGGTGAACTCGATATTTTATCCATGTGGTCGCCATGAGAATATTGTTCTCACGATACACACTGAAAACTCAGTGGATAAAATCCAGAGGCCACCGCAGATGGACCCGATATTTTATCCATATGGTCGCCATTAGAATATTGTTCTCGCGATACACACTGAAAACACAGTGGATAAAATCTCGAGTTCATGGCAATTGTTTCCCAGATCGGAAACACGTTGTTCACAAGGGAGATAATTTTAGATTATGAAACTGTGTTGTTGGGGTCGGTCGTGAGAACAATATTCTATCGCGACCACGTGGATAAATCCATAGGCCACCACAGATTTGTATCCACGTGCTGGCGACGAGAGTATTCTCACGACCAACCATGAAAACACAGTTTGATAATCTATAATTATCTAACTCGAGTTAGTTAAACATCACGAGTTTGGAGACCTTTGTCTCCCACAACAATCAGATATATACTTGGGAACAACGTGTTTCCGATATGGGAAATAATTGCCATGAACTATGACGTCACAATGGACGATGAAGACATAAGGCATCGTTACATGATGTCATAATTAGTAGATTGACCAACGAAATCACTAGTAACAAACTTGTTTACCAACTCCTAGCAAGTTTATCCATTGAGTCGGGAGTGAGGAAACCTTTAGCGGTTGTCTTTCTTTGACACTTAAATTAAAGTTGAGGCACAGAAAAACTTTCGGCAGGCGAAATCTATTGAAAAATGTTTGTTCGGATTACTGTTTGAGGAACAGTTTCCAGTTGTTGATTTTTTTCCATTTATTAATTGTACACATGTTATTCACAGTCCTAGGTAATTTGCACATTTTTCTGTCGATATGAGTACGAGATCGCGGTTAGTTCATAAGGGCTTGAAAACCAATAACATATAGGTAGTGGGCCAACCTGTACATGTAGACTGTACGTGTGTGAAGCACCTTGTGATTTGCATATCAGGATATGTTTTCTCAACGGCAAAAATGCAATGGCAATTAGTTACTCACAATTAGAATTTTCACCTAAACGCTTTCCGATCTATCCTTCACTAGCTCTCTCGTCCGTATGAGCTGTCACTCTCTGCTTCTTCTTTTAAAAAACGTGCTCCTTTCCCGCCATCCCTTCGGAGCACCTCTCTTTCTGGGGTTTTCGAAACACCTCAGGGCATTACATCCCTCCTTCCTATCTTTAAAAACATGTCTAATGTTTGTATATCAGGTTAAAGCTACAACAGTAAAGGAAGTCACTCATGGTGACAGGTCTCCGAGTGACCCGTCCACCCTGAATTCTGCTGGGAACCCAAGTATCCATTTGTTCCCTGTCTTCCGAAGACAAGGCATCTAGTTCTTACATGTCCGATGTAATATCAGATGTGCCTGTGCCAGAAACTGCACTTAAGTTGGGTATCTCAAACATATTTTCCTCGGCTTCACTTTCCACCTCTGCTGGCTCTGCTGGACTGTCATGATAGGGAGGAAGCCTCTAGATCTCCACCGGGACGGATGGCTCATCACAAAGCCTTGAGGCAATTGGTTCTGCTTTGTGATCTGGTAAGGCGAACGACTCCGGCCATTTGGTAAAATAGCCACACATGACCAGGACATGGAAATGCTTGTTTAGTTAAACGCATATCTAGATCTGCATTTTGTTTCTGCCACATTGATTCAGTGTATAGGTCTATGCTGCCAGACTTTGCCATAGAGGTCACATACTACCAATCTCACCACTGATTGTTGGCAATCCTGATCATGCATCAGCGTTGGCATTGTCGCTTCTATTTCGGTGAACCACTTCTAGTCCCATCTCCACCTACCAGCGGTCCCGCCGACCGGGTGGTCATTAACCAATCTTCTGGCGTTGTGCGTTTAACAAGTCTGTGGGCTGTCTGTACAATGGCCCCGGTAAGATATGGTTGGAAGTGGCAGATGGCCCAAACCATTCCCCAAATCCTTGTCAAACGCTATCCGCTTCCTCTCGGCTTTTGTCAGGGTTTTAATCCCATACTCAACACCATGTTCTCTATCCCCTTGCATTCGAGTCCGATGCGTCATTCTGTACGCCAAATGGCAAGAGAAATTCTTGTTATGCAAGATAAGGTGGTCGCACCAGTGCTGTCTGTTGAAAATTAAAAGCAATTTCGCCTCATTCAAGGTCAGAGCATGCAGAGGGTCAGTTACCGATGCAAAATTTGATATAAATTGTTTATAAAAGGCTGCCAGAACAAGAAAAATTGTTACCTCAGTTTCTGAATTCGGTTGTTTGATACATGATGTCCTAGGAACACCACAATCTCTTGAAACAACTGACTTCAACTTCAAACCGCACTTCCGTAGACATCCAAAGACTTGTTCCAACACCTAGAGATGAGCAGCAAACGTTGTTGAATAAGACAATCATATCGACCAAATATACCAGGCAGGTCTTCCAATCTATACCAGATAACACTTAGGACATGAGACGCTGGAACTTTGCGGGAGCATTGGTCAGGCCAAATGTCATCACTTTGAACTCATGTAAGCCTCCACAGGCGGTGAATGCAGTCTCCTTTTGTCTCTCTCAAGTTCGGGCACTTACCAGTAACCACTGGAGCAGTCCAGGCAGTAATTAATTTGGGCAAGGGATGTGCATCTGTTTTAGTTATCGCATTCAGTCTATGCAAAACCGTAAGAACCCGCCTTTTTCTGAATCGAGACACCATGGCTACTTCAGGGGCTTGAGCTTTGGTGGGTAATCTGGTTCTCCAACAATGTGTTCACAGTTTCCTGAATTGCATCGCATAACGCTTCAGGAAGCCTCTGCGTAGGTTGTTTTATGGGTAGTTCAGTTCCTGTATCAATACTATGGTGAAACCTTTCTGTATAACTTTAGACGTCTTGGATACTATGTCACTGACACGTTTTAGCAATGCTTCGGCTTCCTGTCTTTCCCGAGGCTGTAACAACTCACTATCCAAATCGAAAGTCACGTGAACTTTACCCCTGGTCGGTTGAGGGTTACAGCACCGATACCGTCGTAAGTAATATCGTACCCAACCCTGGCAATGGCAACTCTTTCTCGACGGCTACATAGAATGATCCGATGTAGGATATTTGCGTTTGGTGACACATTCATCACATTCACTAATGTAGTTCCGCCCTTTGTTAAACAAAGCTGTTCGAACAGCCATTAGATCATCATCCTGGTATATAATTACTTATCCAATAATACATCATATTTACAATTTGGATCAAGGGCGACTTCAATCACTTTTCTTACTCCTGGTTGGAATATCGGTGAGTAAGGCTTTAGTGGAACATACTCGTGGGAAAGCCGGCCACTTGGGAATAAATGGTACATATTTCTGGTATCGCTTTAATTCTTAGAGTTCCTTCCTGCCAATCAATAAGAAGTCAACGATTCTGGATAAAATCCTATCCAAGAAGTGTAAGATGTGTGACTCTACGAGCTACATAACATCAAAACACAACGTCGATTCCCCCTTTGGCACATTCACTTCGATAACCCCTAACATTTCTTTGGGTTCATTTTTCACCGAGGTAGCTCGTATTGGCAAGTTTCCGTCTAATTTGCGACTTTACAGGACCTCCTGCCGCTCATGAAAAGCCCCTCTTATTAAACTTAACCTGAGCCAGTGTCAGTAAGAGCTTTGGCATCAACGCCTTTGAGCTGAGCTTGACATAGTGAAGTTACTCAATCTTGTTTTTCCTTGACTAACTCTTTGATGTAATGTAACGCCCGATCCTCTAGAGCTGACACCCTGGGCCAGGTGTCGGCTTTTCTTCGTTCAAATCATCGTTACCAGTTTCTTTTGCTGACCCGTTATCTGTCTTACCTGCAGGTCCACATCGATCTGCTCGGTTCTTCAAACGACGCCAAGACCTATAGCCATCTCTCCCTCTAAGCGGGCTTCGACAACGGTCACTCTTTAGCAAAATGACTTTTTCCTCCACATTTGAAAGTTACCACCATACTCTTACCGGTTCGTCCTTGGAATCGTGAATTTACGGAAAAAAACACTCGGATATTTGGCTGATGAATAACTCAACAACAAGAAAATATAGGCAGAAGATTGCCTTCTCATGCATGCATGGTTACTATAAATAGGCATAGTCCAACAGGGCCTGCTGCCGATACCAAAAATACATTGTAGGATAGAGAATTTCTAGTGAATTATATTAAAAAGGTAGAATCTGGTTACATTCCATCCTCGATACTCCGGGCGTTTCGTTTACTTTTGCTCTCTGAACCCCTGGAATGCGTCATAGCGAAATTGAAGGCTATGTATTTGATTAGTCTCGGAAAAAAACCAGACCAATCGCTAGGCTGATACATGTACTTTGAAGAGGAGCGACACCCGACTTCAAGGCCAGTTAATTTTACAGTTACGTGACCGACAGATTCCTTTGATATGCATCAAATGATCAAACTAGTCTTCTCGTCTCACTCACAAGGTGATGTATACTGTGCCTTCGATGTTACCATGACATATTCCAAGGGTGTAGAGAGCGAAAGTGAGCGTAAACCCTGGAGAACAGAGGATGGTACATTCCAAAACTAAGTGATTAATCTATTTGGGGAGTTCGGGTAGTGCACTGTATAGGGCACTCGCATTTCACCGAGACAGTCGGGATTTGACATCCTGATCTGACGTGAAATGATTTTGGGTGACCTGCATATCCACATAGGTTTTTCTCTGTGTACACTGGTTCCCTCCCACATGAAGACCCCTGCACGCTTTCATTCAGGTCAACAAGAGTGATAAATACAAGTTATAAAAATCAAATTGCCTATGTCACTGTAAGATTGGCAGCATGGAAGTTTGTGGGGTTTTTTCTATAGATTTTATTCTGAATGGACAGCTTTCATAACGGTGTCTGTATTCCATAGTACAATGCAACTTCAATGACTCAATTTTAATACGCACTATCTATTTTATACTTTTGATATGGTTTTATCTGGCATGGTTATAACATGGTTAACATTCCAATTGATACTCTGACATACATTTATGGTAAGTTTCATTATGCTGTAACATACTTATTTTTGAAAACTGTACAAGCACAGCCAAGGAAAATACTTTTTTTAAATAACAATCATACAAAAAGTGTGTTAAAGTTAAAATAGAAGAAGAAAAATGTTATCTTTAGAAACCAATTGATTTTAAAAGCACATGTACCTTTATTTTTGTCAGACCTGTCGACCTTGGCTGTTGGGCCTAATTAAGTCCCAGCATTCAATATTTTAAAGTTATTTTCAGATGTAATACTGTAAGATTGGATGTTTGACAATGGTTAAGGAGTACATTTGTATTTCATAACATAAGTCAAGTGATATCGTACTTAATGTTTGTAACGTGTAACTTGTACGAAACAAATACTATAATTGATAAAGCTGAAATCTTATACCATGGCATAGCTTATGAGAAAAATTCAGTTTTTATCTCATTTCTTGAATTGTGAAAGAAAACATGTGGGTTAGAAAGTCTTAATTTTAGAAATAGTGAACACTTTTAAATGAAGTTAAATACAAAATACGCAAAAAAATCAAATAAAAGTAGCCTTAGTGATGCAATATTAAAAGTTCCATTGCCTGGAGATTAAATTCGCTGCAATGAATGTTTTGTATGGGGGAAAAAATAAAAGATCACAAATTAAATATGAAATGTATTTGAATACGTTTCACTGAAAAAGTAAAATGTTCTTGCGGTCCTTTGTCCAACGACATACCATTTAAAATAAAACGGGAGCACATCACTTGCGTCGCGTTATTCGACAAGGTTCTTGCTGTCGTCCAGGATATATATTTAATAGAAGCGACCGTTGGAGACATTCTGTTGTTCTTATAACTGCAAAACGTCAACGCTAAATAACATTTCCTGACTTTTCATTTATAAAGACATGAAATCTAAGAAAATGAAGCGATCCGATAGCTTAAGTAAGCTACTGGGCAAAAGGTTGACAATCGGCACGTTGTAATATTTCAAAGGCGATATTTTCTTTCTAAATACAACATATCTGACTATCTATGTTCGCTCCGATACTACAAAAGGTAAATGAAGACCACATGCACAAGATTTGATATGATTTTGCCGGATGCAGTGTTTGAGCAAGTTAGGTGATCCGACACACACAAAATGTAGTCATATAATAATGAAGTCTTACTGGGCCAACGTGTTCATGTAGACTACGTGTGTGAAACCCCCTGTGATTCACTTATCAGGATATGTTGTCTCAATGTCATTGGCATCATCGATCCTCCGGTGTTCCGCTCACTGCACCCCTGGACTATGTCATAGCAAAATCGAAGGTTCAGTGTGCACCACCTTGTGGATGAGACGAGTAGACTAAAACCACCGAAAAAACGACAATTTAAAGCTATTTTTGTGGGTTTTCTTCAAACCCGGTCTCTTGTTGTGGATGAGTGCCATCAGGAGCAGTCAAAGTGAGTCGGAATTACAGACCTTTTGGGGTCACGCTTTTGTTAAAGAAATCATTAATAATCGATTCCCTGACTATCAGGGTTAGATTGGCTCATTGACGTCATTAGCAATCACTATATGGGCTTCATGTGCAAATGAGAAATTTGCGGACGGTATATGTTGGTTATACCATTGCAAACGATTTTGATTGACCAATCAAATGCTGTGTAACATGTAAAATGAATTAGAATAAGACTTTGTTTGTTTCAGACTGAACATACTTACAGCAGGAGTGGGGTTGGAAATGCTGTCTGCTGCTATGAATGACGAGGTCGAAGATTCTTCTCAATAGATGTCTCAACACACATCGACATCTCAGACAAAACTCAATTAAATCAATAGCAATTGGCAGGGTTCATCAGCATGGTTCCATAAGCATGGATAAGTGAAGGAATGTTGTCACTCAAATTGCACAAATATTTTCTTTTACCTTAATCAGTGAATAAATAATATATATAATTATGTATGAGTTGCTTATTTTTATATCCATGGTGAGAAAAATTACTACCAACATAAATGAACACCTTTACAATAGCTTTTGAAAAGACCGTTTCTGGAGCTTCAAAGGATGTCAAGAGTGCCTGTATAAGCATTGTATCTTCGAAACAGGGGGCACAAGATTACATACAATTCAATTTACATAAGATCTTTCATGTCCAAGGGTGTATGATGGGTAATTCCCACCAGAGGATTTTTCAAATTGGGTAAAATCTGAGGCTTGCCAAGAGTTTCGTCTTCATTTTGAAATCCCGAAAGTGGGATTTACCCATCTTATACCTCGGGGCATGACAAGAGTAACTTTCTTTCATTCCACTTCTTACATTAAGCTCAGAAACGACTTTTTGATTAGGTACCATCAACTTTTTCTCAGAGCTTTCCACAAGAACCCATTTCGCCCAACTTCGTTTTGCATAAAAATATTAATCCCATTTAGACTTGTTCAGTAAATAACCACATCTGAATTTTCCTGATATTATGACAATATATCATTATTGTCCCTTCACGACATCATACACATAAAATGGATTGAAAAAAAAAGTTCTAGGTACCTACCTGGAGAGTTTTATCTTACATAAACAGGAAAAAGAGAAATATACATAGGTCATACAATACCATAAATTGTCGACACAGAAGCAATAACCTGGATTTAAGTAATGTTTTCACTCGCTTTTTTTTCACAAATTAAATTCCCCCCCAAAAAAAACGTGTATCTGAAAAATTTGGTTTCGGAAACCTTAAATTATATTCTTTGATGAGGGAAAGCCACCTTTTAGTAAGATGAGCTAAAAATGCAATTTTGCATGTTTGTTGTATGATGAAAGAACATGTATATATTTTACTTTCAATGTAATAAAAAGAAATCAACCAAACAAATGTTTTCATTTTCATTTTATTCAAGGACATTTGACTCTGATTTTAGTCAGGACTTAAATACAAGTTGTGAATTACACGTGAACTTGACAGCTCTTGAAATCTGTCATCTGTTTACCATACTAGAAAGTGACATCACATACATATCTGCTATCTGAATAGAAGTCTTTAACCACAAATCATATGATGTCCCCATTCCAGTACGAGACACATACAAAACCGACCAAATGTAAGCTAGATCATTTATATATCTAGCTTGTGACAAAATATGACTTCTATATATTATATGATTCATGAGTTTCAAAAATAGATTCTATTAAACGATGACGTGATAATTTACTTAAGTCACACAGCAGGTATATCGACTTGTGATGTACATTGTTATGAATAGTTCACTTCCTATTCCAGCATATATATATATCTAGCTTGTGACAAAATATGACTTTCATATATCATATGATTAGTGAGTTTCCAAAATTGATTCTATCAAACAATAAAATGAAACTTTACTTCAGTCACACAGCAGCCATATCAACCTGTGATGTACATTGTTATGAATAGTTCACAGCCTATTCCAGCATATATACAGACAAGCATACTGAATGAGGTGAAAAGATCTTTCAATCACAACCAAACAGATTCTAACTACATGTATGATCATTATACCATATTTGCTGTAATAAGCAGATAAAGGCGTGCTTATAAGAAATAGAAAACATAGGTTATGACAGAAAAGTTATGTATAAGCTACTTTTCTGTGAGATGCATTCCCAGGGGAAAAGGTGGGTTCTCTTACAGAAATTTTATTCTGGAGCATATACAAACAGATGGGACAGAGTGAAAGGTGTAGGTGCAAAAGGGAGCATTCTATCATTTATATAGAGAGGCGCTTACAGAGGGAAAGAGAGTTATTAAGGCAAATATATAAAAGTAGTCATTATCTCTGGGGTAAAATGGGTAATACATAACATGTATTGCAGAAATTCCAATTTCATCTACATATATACCTGGGAACATACCCATCCAGGTAACAGAAAAGATTTTGTCTTTCACATCCAACTTTCATTATAAATAAATAGAAAGATTCTTCAGTTTCATTATAAAAAGTGATATCTGTAGATATTGTACAAGTGATTAGCACATAGCTATACACATATCCATGAAATATAAAATTACATACAAGAGTTCAGAGTATGGTGATATGCAGTGTGTAAATTTCAGACAAATTATATACATATGTACAATTTTGACTCATGCAAGTCAAAATACAACTGACAAGTACATTCTGCTGCTGCCTTTTGGGTAACCCTAACATAATGGTGGATTTATCTTTCTAATGAAACATTCATTTCATGGGAACTATTTTATGAAATTTTCAACAGCAGTCTAAAATATATTTTATAGTTATGTGTGCAGATCTGTTGCTGATGTAATCATTAATATCTGTGCTAATAGCCCTCTGAGGAACCACAGCTAAGGTTTCCATACTTATAATCCAGATATTACATTATGTACCAGGAGATACAGAAAGGAGGTCAGAATGTGTGCTCGGCCTGATCACATTGTGTGTCTACAAAAATATCAACATGTTTAACTCTTCCACTACCAAAGTTGTGATGTGCAATGTACTTTTGATTGCTGATTGCACAACATCGACTGTTACATGGCATCTCATAGCATATAATCTTCTGTACAATAAAACATGTTTTGTAAGAAACCTTTTCTAACCTCTTACTATTAAAACAATGAAGAAAGTTTTACAATGTTAAACAGTAAGAAAAAATGTGTGGGTCCCATAAATGGGTATTTGTCAGGTTGTATTGAACACATCATATTTTTAAAGTAATCAGTTTATTGTTTCTGTGTGGAGGCTTTCAGGACTTAGGTTTTGTTTCCTGGTCGCTGACATTTCGAATGTATATGGCATCCTCTGGTATATCTTTAATCTCGTCCGCCTCGTACATGTAAGAGGTAGCTATAGCCAAAGCCTGTCCATCATTGCTAAAGGCCAGGGAGGAGATTCCATTGGGATATCTGAAATTATGGTAAAATATTTACTGTCTACCCCAATATTCACTCGGTATTAAGGAAGCAGACTGACACATGACATGCCATAATATATGTACTGTTGAAATTTGCATATAAAAGCAAGTTTCATGTAAATCAAGTGCTATTTAGGAAAACCATTGCATGGAAACATGCTTAAGAAGTCAAGTTTCATCTAAATCTATTGCAATTTAACTTGTTCACCCTGATAGGACTTAAGGCGTTATGGGTCATTTTTGGCCTCATAATAAGTGAAAATTTCAACTTGAATTTATTTACCATTTTCTATTATAAACCTTATATTGGTTAATTGAGGCTATCTTTCTGAGTGCATTTATTAAGCAGAAATAGCCAAAATATGGTGTTTTTGGACAGTTAGCATGCAGAAATGAAAGCCTCTGCATATGACAAACAAAACTGGTAACTGGTATGACAATGTTTAAACATGTCATTTTTGTTTGGTGCATGCGCAGGCTTTCAAAAATTGAAGTGTTTATATAATTTCCTTCAAAATGGCAAATTTTTCAACCAAATTGAGCACAACAGACAATATTCAATGATAAAATGCGGGTTTATGTCTCTCTTTGTAATGTTATTATCATATCTCCTAAACCAGTTGTCGAATGAATTTTGAAACTTCATATTTGCGTTCTTCATTTATTAAAGTTAACAAATATAACAACTAATTCTAAATCACCAACAAGGCCATAAAAAAAGACCCTTAACGCCCCTAGTCCTTTCATAATGAACTATTCCAACCTTTGAATTGGAAGAGTTCAAATGTGTCTTCATGGGTGAATGAGTTAAGGAAACCACTGCATTGAAACACTCAACATCTGAGATGGTGGTCTGCCAATTAGTTTTGCACAGGTTTTGTTTAATGTCAAACTTCAAAAATTGAATTTGACTATTAAGTTCCATGTATAATAAATGGATGGACAGACATTGTACCATAATACATCAGGATTTCTCTCCTATCCATATACAAGTTGGTAAGTGATGGAGCATCAACACCAAACATCCCGTAAATGTACATTTTATAGTTAACATTTGTTTACATATTTCCGATGGCTAGGCCTACCGTCATCATAACTGTTACAATTACGGAACCCTTGGTATTGATGCTCCATCACTTACCTCCTTGTAGTTATCTCCCTTTGGTGGAGATCTACTATAAAGCCTTGGTATTGATGCTCCATCACTTATCTACTTGTAGTTATCTCCCTTTGGTGGAGATCTACTATTAAGTCTTGGTATTGATGCTCCATCACTTACCTCCTTGTAGTTATCTCCCTTTGGTGGAGATCTACTTTAAAGCCTTGGTATTGATGCTCCATCACTTACCTACTTGCAGTTATCTCCCTTTGGTGGAGATCTACTATAAAGCCTTGGTATTGATGCTCCATCACTTACCTACTTGTAGTTATCTCCCTTTGGTGGAGATCTGCTATAAAGCCTTGGTATTGATGCTCCATCACTTATCTACTTGTAGTTATCTCCCTTTGGTGGAGATCTACTATAAAGCCTTGGTATTGATGCTCCATTACTTACCTGCTTGTAGTTATCTCCCTTTGGTGGAGATCTACTATAAAGCCTTGGTATTGATGCTCCATCACTTACCTACTTGTAGTTATCTCCCTTTGGTGGAGATCTACTATAAAGCCTTGGTATCAATCTCAGATTTCTCCACCAGTACATAGACCGACCACTACCCACAGGACGTTTGATCTCTTTGCCCAATAATTGTATTGGTGTACCAATACTTTTATTTATTTCTACTCCTATCTCTTGTGAGCAATTTGAGTAAATCTGTCTTTTCATGTTTATAATTGTAATTGCGAGGTGTAGGTCTTCGGCTTTGACCAGGGTGTGTCATATCCACCAAGTAATTTATGTACTTATAAACTGAATTTAACCACTATTCCAATGGTAGAAAAAAATCCATGTGACACAATCCTTGATGCTATTGGCACATGGATTTGCAATTACAATTATTAACATGAAAAGACAGATAAACTCAAATTGCTCAATATATTTCACATAAAACACCATGCTTGCTTACCTATGGAACTGACAAAGGCGTTTCTTGTTGAATCCGTCCCAGATATTGACGAAGCCGTCAGAGCCTCCAGACGCGAAGGTGTTGTGATTCGTATGGAATGCTATGGCATTGACTGGGTAGATAGATTCCACTCCGTTTTCCTTTATCCGGTGACATTTGAAGGCATACTTTTTCTTCTGTACTTCGGGACTTGGGTCAAGGTATTCCACAGCTACACGACCTACAGTACAAAAAACATCCAACATCGTTTTAAAACAAAGAACAAATATCACAACTCTGAAAAATAAATAAAACTGGTAACATTTTGACAAGCATAAATTACTTGTTGACAAGCAGGACAGTTGATGCCTAGTCTGAACTGGACTTTTATCTATTTTCATATATCTATTTTCATACAAACATTTTACATTCCCTGCACGTTTTTAGCATGCATTTCATACTGTTAAAAAGTTTCAAAAACTCGCTAAGAGGTACCCGTATTGAAAGCAGTTTTTCGCCAGAACCAATCCACCTGTAGTATGTATACCAAGCGATCTTTATGACTACATGCTAACAACTGTGTTAAGAAATTTTTTTAGTAAACATTTGACTTGAAATGCAGAAATTGGTGGTACTGTATATTATAAACTATTTAAAGGATGTGACAAGGTTTTCACATGTATTGTTAAACTAAAACATGTAGAACAAGGCTTTGTTAACTATTTATCTATCAGTCCTTTTCGGGTACCTATTATTACCTTCTATGGAACTGAGTACATATCCTTGTTTGTTAGGGAAACATCGAATACAGCGAGTTTGGTACTTGAGACTGGATTCTCGCCGCTGCTGGACATAGCCCATGTTACGAAGATCCCAAACCAATATCCTGCGACCTGCTGTTCCAACCACCAGCCGGTCACCACACACTGACATAGTGTACACCTGCAAAAAGTCAAAGCATAGTACCACAAAACTGTTACCACATACAGAGTGTAGTCATCATCAAATACAGTTGTGCAGTAGGTATCATGGTTGATATATATATATAGGAATGGCCTGTGAATAACGACGATTTCATATTTAAGCTTTTATCTTTCTTAAGTATGTTGTCATGTTTCAGCAAAGTATTTATCGTTATCTATTTATCTAAGAGTAATGGACACATCATTCAACTAAAATTGTTTTTAAATGACCATAATCGTGTTTACTGTAGTTTTACGTTCATACACATGTACATACTGTAAATGCAGGTAAAATGTAAACAATGCAGTCTTACATATTACCAGTTACATGTTAATTACCAGCTGGTAACAGGTACATGTTTTGTATCACTTGTCAACCCTGAAGGAGTTATACAATTTCCACACAAAGAGTAACAGACACAATTAACACAGGTAAGTCTGGTTGCGTTTTGATAACTGTCAAAAATCAATCGACCCTCATCGGCGATCGACTACATTCAATTCACTATGGTTATTTCGTCCGTTGTGCGAAACCACAACTGTAGAACCACCAGTCAACAAACACACAGAGAAATCAACGGAATGAAGAATGGCTCATAGTATATATATTGTCCTTTCTAATATTTGACAGAGTACACCTACTACAAGTCAAAATCTAATAATACACCAGCCAGAAATACATTTAAAAGTATTTGTAAGACTCAACAAGTTTTGGAAAAACCATCAGTTCAAATTTGAGATGCAGTGATATCTGCACACCTGATCATACCTATTATTCAAGCGCACCGGAAATGTAAATACAATCAAAGTTTTTAACTTCAAAACACGCACTAGGAAGCTATAAGGCTTACCATTGGTACACAACTATGTGAACTATGTGAATATAATTCCTTTTGACAGCCACAACAACATCAAGGATTTGACAAGACTTTCTACACATGTACATAATCTACAGTCTTGGTACAGTAATTTTGATACCTTATCTGGTTGGCTGAAGGAGCCTGCCCCACACGGTGTACGGGGGTCCCACAGTTTGACTGTCGAGTCCCAGCTGCCAGTGATGACCACATTAACACTGGGACAATACTCCACACACCGCACTGCAGCGTCATGTGTTCCTACCGTGGTCCCTGATGATGATCACAAATAAAAAATGTTATTGTAGCATTTTATTACTAGTGTTGGACTCTCTCTTGTTCTTTTTACAACACTGAAAGACCAGATGCCTAGGGGTCTTTAACCCTTTCAGCCCTATGTAACTTTAGTAGACTCTACCATGCATTGACCTGGATGCGCTCATTATGGTCTAAAGTGGTGTAAGGGTTAATATAGCACACCTCTTCATTTTTTATTTACAATATGCCAATATAGTAGTTCTATCAAAAGTATTATTATAGATCATATAACTAATAAGAGAGAAATACTGTATTAAGTAAACACCATTATCGGTTTGTCAAAGCAAGATCAACTGTACTACAACTACTGAAAGTCATTGATAACTGGACTGAAATTCTCGACCAAGGAGGATCAATCCAAACTGTGTATTTAGATTTTATGATGGCGTTCGACACTGTACCACACAAACGCTTAATTGTCAAATTACATTCATTTGGACTATCGCCCGAAATTATAAGTTGGATACAATGTTTCATATCAAATAGGGAACAAAAAGTATCAGTAAATGGTGAAGTATCGAATTGGATGGATGTTACCAGTGGAATCCCTCAGGGCAGTGTCCTTGGCCCATCATTATTTGTAATATATATTAATGACTTACCAGAAACAACAAGAGGCCCATGGGCCTTAACGGTCACCTGATATATTTATACAGAGAGTTGATTTTGTTTTTAACATGAACAGAAATATTATTCAAAGTGACAAAAATCAATAAAACCACCTTACTCAATATCTAACATACAGATTTCAGACTAAAAAGGATTTGAAACTAGCACCTCTGATTCTTAACAAGGAAAATGAAGAAATTTTAGCACACTGACTCCTTTGAGCCCCAGCCTACAGCCCTTGGGGGTAGAGCTGGCTCAAAATGTAATATTCAAAGTATCATATTTGCCTCCCTTGAAATTTTTAGTCAATTTGACCCTTTTTGGCCCCACCCATCAGACCCGGGGGTCAGTCAGGGCTGATATGTGCATACTATCAGACTGCTACCTTATACTGATAATGCTTACCTAAATTGAATTACTTCCAATGGCAATTAAACAAATGTTGGTCCAAAATGTGATTTCCCTATATAAACTATAGTAAAGTTTACCCCCTCCCCAGGGGAAAACGTGAGACCCCAGGGGCAAGAAATTCACAATTTTTGTAAAGCACCATAAGACCCTTCCATCTATGAAGAGTATTTGATTCTACCATATCTGGGTCTTAAGAAGAAGATTTTTGAAATTTTAGTCAAATTTGACCCTTTATGGCCCCGCCCCTCAGGCCCCTGGGGGCTTGGGACTAAACCGGCAACCGTTTTTGTTGACCTTTGTCCATGGAAGGTTCCTCCAACATTTCATTGAAATTGGTTCAGTGGTTTTGGAGAAGAAGTCGAAAATGTAAATTGTTTACGGACGCACGACGGACGAAGGACGACGAACGACGACGGACAAAAGGCGATCGCAATAGGTCACTTGAGACTTTGTCTCAGGTGCCTTAAAAAAAAATGAATACAGCGCCACTTTATTTACGCAAAGACACCAATGAAGGGAGAATAAAGGTCATTTTGGAAAACGTTAACAAAGAAAAGGATCTTGGAGTAATCACAGATAACAAACTTAAATTTAATGATCATAGACATGAATCGGTAAACAAAGCAAACTGCATTATATATGGGGACCATGAGAAGAACATATACATATTTAAAAGCATCAACGTTTTGTCTGCTGTATTTTGTATGAAGCAGTCTTGGGACCACATCTGGAATACTGAGCTAGCATATATGGAATCCATACCTATAAAAGGACATTAACAAAATACAAAGTGTACAAAGGAAAGCCACAAAACAGAAACCAGGAATAAACAAGAGGCCCAATGGGCCTGCATCGCTCACCTGTTATTAATCTAACACTTGTAATCTTAAGATTTTAAAAGAACCTATTAAAAGATTTAAACATATGACGCCTCTGACCTTGATTGTTGAACAAGGACATTAGGTTGAAAGTGGATCAAGGTCAATCATTTGAACTAACATGGTAGTCCTTCATCCCAGCATGCTACAGGACCAATTTCAGTACCCTTGGCCATTTGGTTATTGAGAAGAACTTGTTTGAAGATTTTAATGACATCTGACACCAGTGACCTTGAAAGTGGGTCAAGGTCATTCATTTGAACAAACTTGGTAGCCCTTCATCCCAGGACGCTACAGGCCCAATACCAGTACCCTGGGCCTTTTGGTTATTGAGAAGAAGTTCTTTGAAGATTTTAACATATTTGACCCCTGTGACCTTAAAAGTGGGTCAAGGTCATGTATTTGAACAAACTTGGTAGCCCTTCATCCCAGCATGCTACAGGCCCAATATCAGTACCCTGGGCCTTTTGGTTATTGAGAAGAAGTTGTTTGAAGATTTTAAGACAACTGACCCCAGTGACCTTGAAAGTGGGTCAAGGTCATGTATTTGAACAAACTTGGTAGCCCTTGATCTCAGTAAGCTACTGGCCAAATATCATCTTCCTAGGACTTAAGGTTATTGAGAAGAAGTTGTTTGAAGATTTTAAAGACATCTGACACCAGTGACCTTGAAAGTGGGTCAAGGTCATTCATTTGAACAAACTTGGTAGCCCTTCATCCCAGCATGCTACAGGCCCAATATCAGTACCCTGGGCCTTTTGGTTATTGAGAAGAAGTTGTTTGAAGATTTTGAAGACATATGACACCAGTGACCTTGAAAGTGGGTCAAGGTCATTCATTTGAACAAACTTTGTAGCTCTTTATTCCAGCATGCTATTGGCCAAATATCATCTTCCTAGGCCTTTTGGTTATTGAGAAGAAGTTGTTTAAAGCAAAAAGTTGACGCCGGACAGACGGACGACGGACGGATGCTGCACCATAACATAAGCTCACTTGCCCTTCGGGCAGGTGAGCTAAAAACTAAGTTATCAAGACAGATAAAGGATTTTAAAATTACCAACTTTAAAACATAGAAGATTACGAGGAGATATGATCCAGGTTTATAAACTAATACATGGATACTATGACTCCTTAGTAACAGAAGGCTTTTTAAATATAAACGAAAACAAACGAACAAGAGGTCATAGTCGTCCACTTGAAAAAGGAATGTCTAAATTGAACTTAAGAAAGTATTCCTTTCAAGAAAGAGTTGTCAACCATTGGAATTCCCTGCCAAATCACACCGTCACATCACCAACAATGAAACGTTTGAAGCCCGTCTGGATAAGCATTGGGGACAACCAGAATGTTTTTTTAATCATGAAATTGACAATAATAAACTTATCCACTGTTGGGGCGTCAGCCTGGAGACCAACCATACATATGATCTGGATATATAGGCTTTTGCCTGCATCCAGTATTATTATGTCACTATAAGCTAAGAACAGGCAATAAAGTCTTTTCATTTAACTCCCATTTCATTTCATCAGAGTTAAATATTTAAATTTGAATTGATTTATTCAATTTCAATAAATAACACTTATTTAACAAGGGATATTTCTACCTCTTTTCCACCGTGGCCTATACGATGTGACTAAGTAAAACAAATTACACACAAAAAGCATAATTTTGGGGGAAAAGGATTTTTGTATTGATTTTGTGAAAATACAGCAGAAACTATTCAAAGCAAGAGGCCTCAATAGACTTAAATATAGTAATACATTTTGAAAAATTCTGGTAACAAACAACTTAGGCTGTTTTAAATTTTATGAAATGTGTTGTACAGTAAATTCATTACAATTGCTATAAAGAAATGATACATACCTGAATTTGTGTTGAAGTCAAACATCATGACGGTATTGTCCAATCCCCCACTGTAAGCATGTACAGCATCCTGTAACAAACACCTTAGCTTTACTTAGACTGAATTAAAATTGGCAATACATTTAAGTTTGCTCTGCTCAGGAACAAATGCAAAATATCAATTTCTTGTAAAAACAGAGTGATTTACAGTAGCTAGGTTTCTATATGTAACAAATCTTTGCTTTGAACAATGTAAAAAGTAATTGCAACTTTTTTGCAATTTTTAAGTTGTATATTTCCTATTAAATTTAAATCTACCTGCAAGATTTTCAGTAGATCCTTGAGTAATATCTTTTTGACTCAAGAATTTGAAAGGGCATGTCTATTTACAAGTGTTTTGACTCTTCAAATTGCAGTGAAAATGTTATTTGACTTCTGAAATAGCTAAATGTTAAGGGTCAATTGAAGGCTGTGTACACTGACATGGAAGCAGCAGTCTAGAACTGGAGCAGGATGGTGGTAGGATAGCCGCATATTATTGGCAACAACATCATACAGACGAACTGAAGTGTCCCAGGATGACACCAGCAAAAACTGACTTGAGTTAGGACCAAATTTAGCAGCTGAAATTCCATCCGTTGGAGGATTCTTCAATTTGAACTCATTAGGTGTTTCTGCCATCTGAAATAAATAAGCATACATAACCAGTAATTATGAAATTTCAGTGTTTATATATATATATGTATTTACAGCACGACATTTAAATTCATCCATCGATTCAAATTCATATGTAATATACAACAGGGCTACAGCGATACATTAACATGATGATACGATACGTATCACGATGTTGTGTTCACGATACGATACGCATCACAATACAATGTGCATATTGTATAACAGTGAAAAGGAAAGCGAAAAAGATATGTTGCAAATTTTAATGGCAATATAACAACTGGAAATAGATTTGGTCCAAAATTGGCATGACTTAAAAAGTTTCATACATTCCACGTCGTCTGATGTGCATACCAAAGTGGAGCTGTCACTCGCCATGTTGGAATGGATATGACTTGACTAAATTCAAAACCAACAAATCCGGAAAATATCGCGGGTGTGTTGTGGTCTCCCAAAATATATCATTATGCAAAGTTATCAGTTATTGACAACATTATTTAAGAACAATTTACACTCCTAATAGAGCCAATAATCATCAAACCTGCCAAATGTTTCGGAAAGCTAGGCGACGCACTCATGATGATTTAGAGTGACAATTTACCGGGTATTTTAGAAAACACAGGCAAGGGTGACAAATAAAAAATAAAAATAGCAATGATTCAAGTTTTGCGTCTTATTTGCTACACTTATTGATCAGTGTTTTTGTTTTTTCCTTTTGCACCTTAGTATACGCTCTTTGGAGGGTTCCTCTAGTATAACATTGGTCAGCAATATGTTAATTTTCATACTCAGCAGGCTGTGTATAGCATATTTTTTTTAGATGTATGACCACACATTAGTCTGTATTTCAGTGATCAATCTACAATTTATTTTCATGGATCCTTTCAACTGTATTGCTTAAAACAATTGGTTCCACATGTTACACGTTAAATTTAAGTATTTCCAGAAATTCTATGAGTCCCATCAAAATTCTATGAGAATTGGATTCAAGACTCATATATATGTTGAATCATTCACTTTTCATTGTCCTTGTTATCTGATTCATCAACCAGCTGCCATGGGTACTTCCCAGTTTATCTATTTTATAACCTCATTTCTCCACCTGTGTCCAATATACAAAATGGTACCTGGGCCTGTTGCCCAAAAACTGTGAAAAACTGCTGTCAACACAAAATAACATTACAAATTCAATAGTCAAAGTGATCAGCAGTGAGAGCAGTACTGTTAACATTTGTGGAAAGTACTGACAAACGGTGTTTGGATTGATTCTATATCTAGACGACGGCTGTGAAAACCATCATATGTATGCATTGTTTCAGTCGTTAAGGATGGTTAAAAACATTATTTTGTCATAATCAATACACGACTTTCACAGAAACGAACTCGTGATATTTGTTGTACAGATATACCAAATGTATATTAAGTTAAAAGTACCAAGAGAATGCCAACAAAGTTCCTGTGCTTACTTTACTTTTATATTCATTCTTTTTCTTCTAATAATCCTAATACAGTATATCAGTCAGTACAGTACCAAAACCATTTCCCCACCTATTATTCTACTTCTTCTTCTTTCACATAAGGAACTTATCTGTTCCTTTGCGCATGTACGGATAAAAAATGGTGATAAAAAAATGATACATATATGTACATGACAGGAGAATGATTTATAGTTTGTAAAGAGTAATATTGACATACACAATTATACAAATTCAGGAATTTAATTTTAAAAAGTTTTCGACTCCTGGGCGACCCAGGGAGAACAGGTATATAAACACACAGTGGTAGCAAGTTAGTTAGATTCAGCAGAAATTAAGAGTATGATCCTGTCTGTAATGCAGTGCATGTTTATGGGAGGATTGGTCGAGTGGTTAACACTCCGGCCTTCCAAGCAGGCGGCTGGGGTGGGTGTTGCGGTATCTGTGCTGTAGCATTCAAGTGATGTGGCACTATAAATGATACCGTTGGAAGCACAGTCCCACTACAAACGGAACACAATACATCTCCAGCACACACACATATGGAGCTAGTAGCCATAGGACTGGTAGTTAGAGCCTGATAAGGGAGCTCCTGTGAATTTCTCAATATTGTATTGATTAATATATATGCTAATTGTATTGACTGTATAAAATTGTATATATATGTACTGTAAAGTGGCTTATGTTAGCTAATAGGGCGCTATATCAAATGTTGTATATATTTTTTTATTTATGTTCCTGCTACTGCTGTTGGCTGGGGTAGAAGGGGGGATCCCGGAGGGGCTTATTCAGTTGATGTGGATTTTACTTGTTAAGGCTACATTTAAGGGACTCTAGCGAGTCCTTTGTAGCTAAGGTTGCTGGGATTTGATTCCAGTCCATGACTATCCAAGGGAAGTGTTTGTAGCATTCATTGTTGATGAATATCTTAAAATATATGTTTGCCTCTGGTTGGGGCGTCATAGGTTTGTAATATATGGTCGGTCCGCACTGCTAGTAGATTGTTTGCTATTTTGTAAAAGTTTACTAGTCTGGCGTTCTCCCTGCCCTCCTCCAGTGATGGCCATTCTAGCAATTTCAGCACGTCAGTGACCGGCCCTCAGTGACTGCTCTTGGTGTTCTGGAGTAATAGTCATTGAAGACATACCTGGATGCTCTACGTTGGACAGATACCAGTTGGTTGATGTGATCACTGGAATAAGGGTCCCAGGCTGAGCCACAGGTGCTAGCAACGATTAATAGGGGATTCTTATCCCATATAAATCGTTGCATTGCTAGCCCCTGTGGCTGAACTGGCACATGTACTCTAACATTCTATAGTCTACATATGTTACAGGCATTAGTGAGTCTGACTTTTTATCCGCATGCATGGTAATATAACGTACATTCAATAAACAATTCATATTATTTTTTACTTACCGTACTATATATACGATTTGTAAGTGTACCAGAAAATCGTTGAATGCCGCGTTTTCAAAACCGGAAACAATAATTCGATTATAAGTTAAAGACGGAAGTCGTTTTATTTATTCCGGAGATTAATAGATTAAAACCTATTTTATTTCTTTTGTTTGCTATTTTGTATTTTATAATTTTAAATATTTATTTTGTTCATTAAGGTATATTTTTAGAATCCGGTTTAATTATTTGTGCTGAAAACAGAATAAATCAATTCATAATGAAATGTTCATGAAATGTTCGTATAAGAAGTGACGTTATCCCGTGCAGCCAATCACAGATAAGTATAAAACGAAAGTAGATCACCTCTTTTGTCGAAGTTATGGATAAACCGAATTCCCATAAATGCGATTGTGATACCGGGAGTATAGTTCAATTACTTTCAATCGTAAAGTAAGGCAGATGTTTTATTCATCTTAGTGTTTAGTACATACGTAAACGGTGAAAGAAGCCACTGAATTTACAGGTAAGTATTCAAACGAAATATTGTCACAAATGTATCCAATATACTGTAAGTTGTTCAATTACACACCATGGCTGACAGTTGTTAAATCAGCGGATATATATTCAAAAACGATACTTTGATTGCCCACTATAATAAAAAAAAATAAGCTAACAGAACAGCAATTATTTAGTCAATTTAAAGTTTTTTACTTTCGTTTTTGACTCTGTTCATTATAATTTTCAGTACGATACTGAACTAAATTTTCCCTTTTTTGGAGCTTTTCGATAACGTTTTCTTATTGTTCATATACTTAAGGCCCTGTTGCATGTATTTAAAAACAGTATACAACTTTTAATTTTATCATAATAACTTGTAAATGATCTACTTTCGTTTTCAGTTGAATTTTAGAGACATTCCTTATCTGGGAAGTTTTTTCTAAAATTCTTGTAACTTCATTAAATTCTTCAGCAGGTTACAGTTCTAACTATGATTATGTCTGCAAACGCAAAAGCAGCGATAACCTTGAACTGTTGTGTAGTGTTTTATTATTGTTATAATATTACATCAAGCCCCTGTGCATATTGATCTGTGACGTAATATCACTTATATGTATTGAGCATGCGCACTAGTGAATAAACGACATGTGAAGCGGCCATTACTAAGTTGTTAGTTGTGTTCAATACGAACGGTTGAATCCGAGGACAATCCTACAATTGGCGACGAGGAGTTTGACATCGTTAGTGTCTAACGTGATCTAGAAAGATCGTAGTTGAAAATGGCGACATCTATAACGACAGATTTAGGTGGAATTGCTGCATTTGACTGTCACGGTGACCAAACAAATATTGGCCCAAGATGGAAAAAATGGCGCAGAGCCTTCGAACTTTTTGTTGAAGGAAAAGGAGTGACAAATAATGGTCAAAAGAAAGCTCTTCTTCTACATTGTGGTGGAATACCTATGCAGGACATTTTCTACACACTTACGGTGCCAGAACCTACCGGAGATGAAACTGTTTATTCTGTTGCGATTCGAGTGCTTGAAGAATATTTCAGCCCACAAGTGAACGTCCCATTCGAGAGACATTTATTTAGAAACATGACTCAACAATCGGGAGAAACGATAGATCAGTTTATTACACGTTTACGACAGAGGGTAGAGTACTGCGAATTTACAAACAACGATGAACAGATCAGAGATCAAGTGATCGAGAAGTGTCTCTCACACCATTTGAGAAGGAAACTTCTAGAAAAGGGGAAAGATTTGACCCTAAAACAACTACAAGCTACCGCGCGAGCTATGGAAACGAGCGAGACACAAGCAAATAAAATTGAAGCAGTCGACGGAACACGTGGTGAGGTGGTAAATCGAGTACACCAATCCAAGCGTCGAGGTGATACCAGATTTGATGACAAGCGTCGGGGCGGTAATTATACACCAACTTCCGGTTCCGGTAAACAATGCTACCGGTGTGGTAAACAAACACATCTTCAGAAAGACTGTCCGGCACAATCTCAGGAATGTTACAAGTGTCATGAAACAGGGCATTACGCGAGACGTTGTAAGACGAAGGATACATCACACAGACAAGGTGGATCGTCACACAAACAATGGACAAGGTCAGATAAAAAGTTTGGAGGAAAACAAAAAGTCCAAATGGTGAGTGACGAAACAAACAATGATGAATATGCTTTCTCGTTCTTGTCAAAATATGAAGACACTACAGTTAATGTAAATATCGGTGGGGTATCGAACATTCCCATGATTATTGACTCTGGGGCCACATGTAATGTAATTGATAAAGAACTGTGGGACAATCTAAAAACCAACAAGGTTGAATGTGACTCTAAGAAAGTTGACAAACATTTGTACCCATATGGATGTAGTGAGCCCATAGAAGTGATAGGAACATTTCACACATGCTTAACTGTAGGAGATAATTCTGTGTCGGCGGATGTTGACGTCATCAAAGGGAAAGGTCCAGCTTTACTAGGGAAGAAAACTGCCTTACAGCTTGGTGTTCTAAAAATAGGACCCAGTGTTAGTGAACATGTCAGTGTTGTGAAAGACACACAGGGTCTTGGTACAGAACAGGATATTTTTAAACAATTTAAACCTTGTTTTGAAGGTATCGGGAAATTAAAAGATTTCCAATTAGACATCCCTATTGATGAGATGGTAAAGCCTGTAGCCCAACCAGTAAGGAGAATTCCCTTCAATCTGAGAGATAAAGTGGAGAACAAGTTGGATGAGTTAGAGAAACTCGACATCATTGAGAAAACAGGAGGTCCAACGCCTTGGGTATCCCCGGTGGTCGTCGTTCCCAAAGGTCAGTCAGACATTAGACTTTGTGTGGATATGAGACGGGCTAATGAGGCCATAATTCGAGAACGTCACCCAATACCAACTGTTGAGGAAGTCCTCTATGATCTAAACCAGAGTACTGTGTTTAGCAAATTAGACATAAAATGGGCTTTTCATCAGATTGAACTGTCTGAGAAATCTCGATCAATCACAACATTTGTTACGCACAAAGGACTCTATCGTTACAAGAGACTTATGTTCGGAGTATCATGTGCACCCGAAATGTATCAACGGGTCATACAGCAAACTCTAGAGGGATGCGACGGAGCGCGAAATTTGTTCGACGATATCATTGTTCATGGTAAGTCGGTGAAGGAACATGACCAGCGACTTGAACAAGTACTTCAGAGAATCCAAGAAACCGGTATGACTCTCAACAAAGACAAGTGCGTTTTTCGAATGTCAGAGTTAGTGTTCATGGGACATTTGTTGTCGGCGAGAGGTATAGGTCCGGAGGATGAGAAAGTGCGTGCTGTCAAGGAGGCACGACGTCCAGAATCTGCGACCGAGATAAGGAGTTTCTTAGGTCTTGTGAACTACAGCAGCAGGTTTATTCCTGATTTGGCTACTGTTGCTGAACCCCTACGTCAATTGACCAGGAAAGACACACCGTTTGTATGGGGAGACAACCAAGAAACCGGGTTTCAAGAGTTAAAATCTCGACTTGGAAATACCGAAACGCTCGGATATTTCGACAACAAAGCACCAACTTTTCTCATAACTGATGCCAGTCCAGTGGGATTGGGAGGAGTTCTCGTCCAAGAGTTGAAAGGTGAAATGCGTGTGATTTGTTACATAAGTAGAAGTTTAACCGACGTTGAGAAACGCTATTCTCAAACCGAGAAAGAGGCGTTAGGGATTGTGTGGGCATGTGAACGTCTACACATGTACTTATACGGAGCTGAATTCACACTACTTACCGATCACAAACCATTGGAGTGCATATACTCGACAACGTCAAACGGTAAATCGAGCGCAAGGATACACCGTTGGGTACTAAGACTACAGACATACCGATTTACTGTCAAGTATATCCCAGGCAAGCAGAACATTGCTGACAGCCTATCGCGGCTCATCGAGAGCAAGGGGAATAACTCTAGTACGCAGCCAACCGATGCCGAAACGTACGTCAGATTTGTTGCCCAAAACGCGACACCGAACGCCCTATCGACACGACAAATAGAAGAGGAGTCCGCTGTCGATGAGGAACTTTGTAATGTTAGAAAGTGCATTAAAACACAAAGGTGGCATGAACTTACAAACAAAAGGTATTTGGCAGTGAAAGATGAACTATGTATCATAGGAATGTTGGTACTGAGAGGAACGCGAATAGTAATTCCCGAAACGCTGCGCGAAACAGTTTTGAAACTCGCACACGAAGGACATCCAGGAATCGTGAGTATGAAACGACGGATTCGTACAAAAGTGTGGTGGTTTGGAATAGATAAGGACTCTGAACAATTTTGTAAAACTTGTTATTCCTGCCAGCTACTAGGATCAACACAGGCTCCGGAACCGATGAAAACTACGGAACTACCCTCAGGTCCTTGGCAGCATGTATCAGCTGATCTGATGTCACTTCCATCCGGTGACTATATTTTTGTAGTTGTTGATTACTACAGTAGGTACTTTGAAGTTGACACGATGAAATCTACAACAACGGACAAAATAGTGCGTAGTCTGGGGAAAATGTTTCTCACACACGGGTTTCCGATTAGTATTACGACAGACAACGGTCCTCAGTTTGTGAGCGAACTGTTCAAAGATTACCTTGCAGAACGAGGTATTGAACATCGGAGAGTTACCCCCCTTTGGCCTCAAGCTAACGGTGAGGTGGAGCGACAGAATCGCTCCCTACTCAAAAGTGTCCGAATCGCTCAACTGGAAAGAAAAGACTGGAAAACAGAACTCGATTCATTCTTGTTAATGTATCGTACCACTCCACACTCTGTAACTGGAGTGAGTCCCGCCGAACTTTTGTTCAAACGCAAACTTCGAACGCGCATTCCAGGAATTGAGGAGCATTCAGTAGATGACATCGAAGTTCGTGACCGAAATAATGAAAACAAAATGAAAGGGAAATTATATGCAGACGGAAAGAGAAACGCGCGCGAAAACGACCTTAAAACAGGAGATGATGTACTGTTAAGACAAGAGAGACAAAATAAACTGACACCGAAATATCAGGAACAGCCATATACAGTCAAGGCTAAATCTGGAAATTCTGTGCTAATTGAACGAGACGGAGTACAGTACAAACGCAACGTTACACATGTGAAAAAGTTCTTGAAAAGAACTGATGGACAGAATCGTAGTGAGCTAAGCAAGCCCACAAGTATCAACCGTGATACTCCGATTGTTGACATTGATGAGGAATCAATTCCATGCAAAACCGATGAGTGTAATGATCGTGAAACGGTTACAGAAAATGCGAGTATGCCAACTAGTAGTGTACTAGCCTCTCCGCGCCCAGTTCGCGTCAAGACAATGCCTCACAAATTCAAAGACTATGAGGTTACGCTTAAGTGACTTGATATATGTATGTTTACCATACATAAGTTAGTAGTTTTTAACTATCCTAACTTAAAGACTTTATTTTCGGTTGGAAAAAAAAAAACCAGTTACCGCAATTCCAATTGATCTCCAATAGAGATTTTGAGTTTGAAGTTAGTTGAACATTTATAATTTTATATAGACTGGAATATAAAGACTCTTTGACTATAAGACTTTATGATAAGTTGATATTAACACAAACACATTAGCTTGGAAAGAAAAAAAATCAGAATATTTTGATATTTGGTAAATAAGTTTTAATTCAAGAAAAGGAGGAATTGTAGTGTTTTATTATTGTTATAATATTACATCAAGCCCCTGTGCATATTGATCTGTGACGTAATATCACTTATATGTATTGAGCATGCGCACTAGTGAATAAACGACATGTGAAGCGGCCATTACTAAGTTGTTAGTTGTGTTCAATACGAACGGTTGAATCCGAGGACAATCCTACATGTTGTATGATCATTTAAAACAAATAAGTTGAAATGAGATTTTTGCTATTTCAAGGATGTGCATTAATTGTAATGTCAAAGTCACCTTAATAGCTTCAGCTTGTGAAAAATTGTGCCAGAGCGTCAGATATGACCCTTTACCTCAGTGCTAAAGTATCAGATTTGAAAGTTGGATTTCACTGGTTCAATCCCATGCAAATTAATGCACATGTTCTTTTCTCTAGTATTTCCTTCCTTTTAATACAGATTAGTATACTGTTGCTATCCAACCCCGACCCCAGTCCCCCTCCTGTTTCTTAGCTTTGAACTTCTACGACTAACTGCCGTAGGGCTGTGCATTTGTATTGTATTACACATATTAAGTTTATTCATTTATTTTAGCATTACATTTTATAAATTTAATTCAGGTACTGATTTTCTCTTTCAGGTTCTACGATGGAATCTAATTCAGACAATGACCAGGGGGATGCTTCTCCTTCACAACAGAAGGAATCCAAGCCGGGTGGAAATACAGAGGGAAGGTCGATGTCAATTATGTCTCAGATAGCAAAAAGGCAGGCAACACAGCAGGCTGGCTCTGACGAGCAACAGGACACATTTCTTTCTGGATGGAGTTCTGCTATACGAGGGAATATTCATGATTTTCAGGAAAATATAGGAGATTGGAGAGAGGTTCACGGAGAAAGTCTGATTGAGGAAAAGGAAAATCTTTATCCCACAGGAGACATATATGTTATACCACCACTATCTGGTACTGGACACATACAGAGACAAGAAGGAGACAGCACCAGGATATCATCACTAGAAGACGGCCCACATGTCGGTAGCACTGATGTCATCCTTAAGATTGATAACCAGACTCTAGATGTTGGCAATAAAAGTGACGGAAACATCAATGAACTTGCTTCTACAGAAACCCAGGACTTAGAACTTCAAACTGTAACACAACTGGATGACAACAGAGAGTCGGAGACTGTGCCTGTTGTGGCAAAGTCTACTTCTGATGCTAAAAAGGACAGCAGTAAAGACCAGACTGTGTATGATATAGAGGGTAGAACTGATGTCAAAACTGAGGAGACTGGAAGGTCACAAAGAAAACCACCAGAAGTTCATCCTAAACAGTTTAAACTTCAATCTGAACCATTTAAGTTTATTGTTGATGGCAGTTTGATTCAGGACCAATCCAGATCTGAAGAAAGAGCCATACCAAAGAAGCCCCATGTAGACTCGCAGACTTCTACTGATAAAAGTTCTTCTGGAGTTTTACATGAGAATAGAAAATCTTTCAAAGACATATTACATCAGTTTGAAAAGCCTAAACCTAAAACAGTCTCTACTTCTCAACCTCACCCGGAGAAATTAGTTGACCAGCTAAACCAGCTAACACCCTCACAGAGGACAGAGTTCAGTGACAGCCACATCAGTGTAAGCTCTGATGCTTCTGGGGGTCTGGGATCAGACATGGTGGGGAATTTGATAAGAACTAATATCATGAGTGATTCAACAGCTTCAAATATTAGTAGTATTGTGCCAGGCATAGATCAGTCTCTGTCCCATCCTACTCTCCAACCAGGTTCACAACTGGTAGAACAGCCTGAACCATCGATGGGAGTTGGTGAGCAAAAGGGTGAAGAACCCAGCATATCTAGTTTTACATCACTGACAGAAGGGTTGTCTCAACAGATACAACAGCAAGGGAATACAAATGTTGGGCTTGAAGGCATCCAACTGACCAGGGACCAGGGACCATTTCAAGGTCAGTTTATGCATGCAGAGTCTCCTCCTCATGATCAACAAATTCATCCTGAAGAACCAGTCCGAAGTCAACCTGTTCATGCTGGACCATATCAAGGTCAAGCAAAACAGGAAGAATTTTATCATCAACCTGTACAGGGGGAACAATTACAGGGTCAACCAAACAATCAGTATCTAGGTCATCCATCACAGCCATACCAATTTCAAGGTCAACAGTATCATCAGCAGGAACAACCACAATATCCATGGCAACTAATGGGAAGAGAGAATTGGCCTGACTGTCAAGTATTTCCTGGACAGTTGGGAAATATACCCCCACATGACCCTCAGTACCATGGCATGTATGGTCAGCCAGGAATGTACCAACCACACACAGTGGGCCAAGAGTATTACCCTCATGGTCACTGGAGAGATGGACAGAATCCTCAGGATTCCCACCCTCAAAACACTAATCCTGCTGGTCCCCAAAAACCAAACGTTCACAAAGTAAAAGAGGAACCCAGTGCTAAACAACCAAGAAAGACAAAACCAGCATCCAAAGGTACTCCTAGCCCTGACCAGACGCCACCCAAAACAGATCAGTCCTTAGTATATTTTAAAATCTTAAAAAATATTCATAATTTAATAAATAATAAAAATCAAACACTTTCAGACTAAATTCTGTGTCACATTGACATATTTAGATTTCAGAAAAATATATCACATTGAGGCAGATTTAATTGTTCATAGGATCACTGTTGCCTTCTAGCTTTGTGCTAAAAGGAAATTCCCTTCAGCTGGATCAGTAAAATGGCAGATTGGGAAGCTGGGGGTCGCAGGTTTGATCCCTAGTCAATGCACACTACTCCTTCCTGTTACAACAGTATCACGAAGGAACCATTGTGTCACCAAGTACTGAATGGTCTTGGAAATTTGAAACTACACACTGATTTTTTCTATATTCTGTATAAGGGAATAGTTACTTTAGTGACCTGGGTTTTGTAATTAGAGCATGTGCTTGTGTATTCATTTCCATATTAAAACAGGTCTGTAAAACCTGGAAGAAAACCCTATGAGATATTTCTCTTATTTAAATGGAATCAATATATGAGGTCACTTAAAATTGTGTCTGCATGAGCAAAATGTATGTTCTTGTATGGATAAAAATTGGCCATATGACAGCACTTTCTTCCCATAGCACTAAAAACCTGATATTTAAAGGGGACTTACAAACTGTACCTCTATCTATATTTGGCAGATTTTAATTGTACATGGGATTACGGATGCCTTCTAGCTTTGTGCCAGAAGGAATTTCCCTATATCTTAATCAGAATGGGAATTCAGCTGCCAGGGGTCACAGGTTTGATCCCCACTGGAAGCACACTACTCTCTTTCCTCTTAAAAATGGTGTCCATGGCCCTCCCTGTGGTGACAGGAAGTTAGAACCTAGGTTGTTGAGGTATTCAAGGGTGAACAAATTTAAAAAGGGGGGAGTAGCTGGGTGGCAGATTCTAATTGTACATAGGATTAGGGTCGCCCTAGTGGGAATTTCCCTTTAGCTAAATTGGTAGAGTGGCAGACTGGGAAGCTGGGGGTGGTGGTTTTGATCCCCAGCTGATACACACTACTCCCTTTCCAGTTACATACAGAACTAAGACAGTACATATACATGTGTCTAGTACTGCGTCACTATGGATATGGACACCATTAACTCCTAGACCTGTAACACAAATAGATTTTTGGAAATCAAGATCACAGAAACAATAAAAACTACTTTGAGACAAAAGAGTTTCCTAGAGCAAGCTGTAACGTGATCCTAATGGGTGCAGGTGCTTTTGAGGAGCTTTATATCTGACATGAAGTACTTTCTCTAGTAGAAAACATGAAAAAGCAGAGGACATTATAAGTATAATGTCTTACAAAAAGAACTGAAGGTAAAAAAAGAAACCCTGGTTAAATTAGTAGCAAATGTCTTTGTATGTAGTTAACAAGTGTGTCCCTCCAGGGCTTTTTGGGATATTGACAATGCGAAATCGAACATCTGAAACGAAATGATGTTTGATAAATAAGAATGTTTTAGTCTGTTAAACTGTCCGACACTGCCTGTATATAATGTATTCACAGATTTTCTTTCTTTTATAGAGAAAAAGGAACAGCAAACACCAAAGGTAAAATATCAAAACCAAAGGTAAAATATCAAAACCATAGGTAAAATATCAAAACCAAAGGTAAAATATCAAAACCAAAGGTAAAATGGTAAAATATCAAAACCAAAGGTAAAATATCAAAACTAAAGGTAAAATATTAAAACCGAAGGTAAAATATTGTCTCCCATATTAAGCATTTTCATTATCTGTTGTCATATAACTAATCTCTGAATTGTAACTGACGACTGTAGTAATTCCTGTACATGTATTGTGAAATCATTCCCTTACTGCTGTTATGGATGATAAAAGGTATGATATTACAATAGCTTATGTCATAACCATTGATGTCCAGGGACCACACAGCATGGTTGTTTACATCTGACACTACTACAGATCCTGATATAAAGGACTGAGTCCAATAACTAGTTTTCAGTCTGGATTGCAGTTACAAGGGAAAGAAGTTTATCAGCTGAATCAATAATATGATCACACAGTCAGTACTTTTATCACATGTACAATCAGCGATAAAAATGTGATAATTGAAGGTTATGATATATGACTACTTTTGTTTTATATCTCTTATTAGTCTGAGGGACAAAGGGCTGATATCAGTCTGAGGGACAAAGGGCTGATATCAGACTGAGGGCAGTTGTGATATAAAAACGATTGTATGATAAAGTAGTTTTATTATTAGATCACCTGCCCGAAGGGCAAGTGAGCTTATGCCATGGCGCAGTGTCCGCCGTCCATCGTCGTCGTCGTCTGTCGTCAACTTTTTCTTTAAAACCTATCTCCTCCTAAACGCCAAAGAGGATTTCAACCAAATTTAGTCTGAAGCATCAATAGGGGAGGGCAATCATTTCTTAAATAAATGGGGTTGGTTCGACCTTTGATGCCAGGAGGGCAGGGCCCTGAAGGGGAATTTAGCTAAATTTGCTTTAAAACGCATCTCCTCCTAAACACCAGAGAGAATTTCAACCAAATTCAGTCTGAAGCATCACTAAGGGAGGGTAATCATTTCTTAAATAAATGAGGTTGGTTCGACCCCTAAGGCCAGGGGGGCGGGGCCTTGAAGAGGAACTTAGCTAAATTTGCTTTAAAACGCATCTCCTGCTGAACGCCAGAGAGGATTTCAACCAAATTAAGTCTGAAGCATCACTAGGGAAGGGAAATCATTTCTTAAATATATGAGGTTGGTTCGACCCCTGAGGCCAGGGGGGCGGGGCCCTGAAGGGGACCTTTGCTATATTTGCTTTAAAACGCATCTCCTCCTAAATGCCGAAAAGATTTCAACTAAATTTGCTCTGAAACTTCATTGGGGGAGGGCAATCATTTCCTAAATAAATGAGACTGGTTCGACCCCTGGGGCTAGGAAGACCGGGCCCCAAAGAGGAAAATTATCTTATATTTTGCTTTAAGACACTAATATCCCCTAATTGCCTGCAAACATTTCTTAATTGAATGAGGTTGATTTGGCCCCTGCGGTCCTAAGAAATGGTACAGCTAGATTATCATTTTGTATGGTGTAGTTTTTATAAATTGTTAAAAATTGGTTTCTAGGTTTATAAAAGCTTATAGTTGAATGAAAATTAAAGTATTGTCTAATTACACCCTGTAATATGACATATTACTTATTTCAAAATCTGTTAACATGGCAACTCAATGGAGGCCCCTGATTAGTTGAAAGTCAGATATTGTGGTCCCAGTTGGGTTAGAACATAGATGTTGTCTAGATTTGAGATGTACTAATGCATTCAGTTGTAATGACTTAAATATAAAACCAGGTGAGCGATACAGGTCCAATGGACCTCTTGTTACATTTTTAAAACAATTAAACTCTAATCAACAAACAATTGATGGTATTTTTAATATAACAAATGATCGTGTCACATTGTTTATCTCATTTTATGTCATTTATCACAATTGTTTGTCAACAATAGATATTGGTTAGAACTATTTCACTTCATATTTTTCATCGCCATCACAAATAAGAATTTACAGAGTCATTGTAAGCTAAAGGCCTGAATTCTTACTTTGGGTTTTGAGTTGATTTTGGGTAGGATCTGGAACGACCAATAGAATTATAACCTGCGTATCATATACTATACAATGCCTCTAGGTATCCTTTTTATATATATAGTGTATATACTAGAAGAAGAATAGATAATTATGGTACATGTAAATGCATTGATACGGCCCAGATATTTCCTATCACTGAAGCCAGCATTTCCATATGAAGATTGACCTGTAAAGCCCTATATCACAGACAAACACATGTACTGTAAAGAATTGAATGTTCACGGTGTATGCATTTTGTGGTTTACATTGTTGCTATGTAGAAGGAAAATAAATACAACAAATTTAATTGATATACTTGATACCTGTTTCTGGTCGGGTGGTGCAGTGGATAGGGCACTTGCCTTTCACCAAGGCGGCCAAGGTTCGATTCCCCTATTGGATGTGAAGAAGTTAGGTCACCCACCCGACCACATGGGTTTCCTCCGGGTACTCGGGTTTCCTCCAACATGAAGACCCCCCCCTACGCTAACATCTGGGCTAACAAGAGTGATTAATATAAGTTGAAATAACTTGTTTCACAATTGTTGTTAAATAAATAATTTTCATATAACTGTTTGTTTTATATGGGGTATCCAGGAAAGTTGGTACCACAAAACAATCTAAATAGCTTCATGAAGAAAAGTACCAACAAACATTTCAAGTTAAGGAGTGTGTGATAATATTGATTAAACTCACTGAAACAGTTTGGTGGTCGAAACAATATATATCTTATTATATTTATCTCAGAAACCAGAGAAATCGTACGTGTGTGTGAAGGGGCTAAACGCCAACACTGGGTTAGACACACTATGGCTGTATCTGGAAAACAAATCTGGCTGTGATGTGGACAAGTCATCTGTCTTATATACAAGTGACAAGACTATGGCTGTGGCTACTCTTCTGGGGAGTCCTGCTAGTAAGTGTCTGTTACAATCACTTTAGTAAGTCAAAGTCATCTATATATCTTACAAATAAAATAAATAAACAAATAAGTATTTCATCATTTCATTAATATTAATGATGTAGCCCCACCTTTACCCCCCTTGATGAAGTTGGAATCAGTGTCCTTTTTTGTTTGAATAAAGTTTGTACAATGCCATGCGGCTAAACTTCTCAACAATTTTTTATGAAACTTGGGAAAAATAATCTGCACCTCAGTTGGTTGTTTCCTTACAAATTAATTTGTATTTCAATGATTTTTGTAGAGTCATGTCCCTTCTCTAATATTGTATAAATTTTGTCCAAAGTGTTCCTATACTCACATCATAAATACTCTTCATTGTTTTACACTTGCCGTTTATTTTGGATTTCGGCCATTTAAATAGGACTTATACCCCTTTTCTGATTTTCCATTTATGAATTTTGTCCAAAATACTCCTACTTACCTTCTTGACTAATATTTATGAAACCTTGGAAGCATCATTATAACCATACGTAGTTTTAGGCTTGCATTTTATTTTTTGTCTTCACATGTGATTACTATATAGGGTAAACTGTGACCTAATATTTGCTGTCATGCTAAATTCACCCCTATTGGGGAGGGCGAAAAAAGCAACAAATAAACTGTAGCAAAACTTTCCCAGTATACAGTATCGTACTTTATTATCCAACAAGTCATTTTTCTTTTCAGATTTTCAAGAATTCAAAAATAAATGTCATCAGAAGAAGCTAGAAGGTGCCAGTGTCCGAGTGTGTGTGGTACCGGCTCCAGTCACTGTAGTTGTCAGCTCTGAACAACACATGCCCTCCGAACACGAAATGAAGAAACATTTCCAACAGGACAAGTTTGGTTGGGTCAAGGTCAGAAGGATCAAGATGACCGATGATGGCTGCTATAGGGTTCAGTTCAAGGACAATGCTGGTAAACTTAAGACTTATATTAAATATGTGATGATTTTGGAAATATGTTTGAAATTTGATAATCGATATAAATTGTTAAATTAATATTCATGTCTCAGGTGTAAGTACCATTGTCAGATACAATTTGTCAAATACATTTTTTAACAATTGCTGTTTCTTTAAAGATTGTCTTAGAATATTAAAACAATAGTCTACTAATTATCTTAAGCACAAGGGTTATTAGTTGTACCAGTTTTTAATGACACATATTTATTTTATTTATAACACATAAATGACTTTAACAGTGACCATGGAAACAGATGTTAATAAATAGAAAAGTATTTAAATTAATGAATTATATATTATTTTATGTTTCATTTAACCTTATCTAAAAAAAAAGTCAGTGGGTATACCCTGAGTTCTGGAATTACATTTACCTGGTACCCCTGTCTGTCTGCCCTGTGTTCTGGAATTACATTTACCTGGTACCCCTGTCTGTCTGCCCTGTGTTCTGGAATTACATTTACCTGGTACCCCTGTCTGTCTGCCCTGTGTTCTGGAATTACATTTACCTGGTACCCCTGTCTGTCTGCCCTGTGTTCTGGAATTACATTTACCTGGTACCCCTGTCTGTCTGCCCTGTGTTCTGGAATTACATTTACCTGGTACCCCTGTCTGTCTGCCCTGTGTTCTGGAATTACATTTACCTGGTACCCCTGTCTGTCTGCCCTGTGTTCTGGAATTACATTTACCTGGTACCCCTGTCTGTCTGCCCTGTGTTCTGGAATTACATTTACCTGGTACCCCTGTCTGTCTGCCCTGTGTTCTGGAATTACATTTACCTGGTACCCCTGTCTGTCTGCCCTGTGTTCTGGAATTACATTTACCTGGTACCCCTGTCTGTCTGCCCTGTGTTCTGGAATTACATTTACCTGGTACCCCTGTCTGTCTGCCCTGTGTTCTGGAATTACATTT